TGCTACCTGTTACATACAAGACCCTTCCGACACGATCACACGGTCAATATTTGAATTGGGGTGGGCCTGTTGTAAGGGTCTACATAACAGTGCTATGACAACGCTGGTAGGAGTGTTTGGAGTCAGCTTGACTATGGGCTTGGTCAGTTGTTCAGCTATGAAAGTGAATTATTACTTACACATCACGCCTGCAGTTCGGAATGCGCTGTATGCTCATGCGCGGTCAGCAAACATTCGTCCTTAGATAAACAGACAACCGTAACATGTAGTATTCTAAATGTTGATATCCCCAAGCATTGATTGCTTATATGTATAACCGATTATATTTATATCGATTAATAAATACATTGACTTGAGAACTTTATGGGGTCCCGTGAGTTTTTACCTTGGCACATTTGCGCAACACTTAGTTGATACCAATCTATGAAAATGTTTCGCGCGTGTTCTGTTTGTAGTATAGCGCCGCTCAGCAACATTTCAGCTATTTGACGAAGGACTGTACAAAATTAGTCTGGACCAGGCAGTCCAGTGATTGACATGAATATCAATCTAGGCTATTGGGATACGATGACATACATCAACCAAATCAGCGAGCCTGACCACTCGATCCCGTTAGTCGCCTCTTAAGACACAAGCATGGGTTGCTGAAGACCTATTCTAACCAAGATCTTCACGCGTTTTATATTATGTACTCACTATTCGAGATTTATAGGGCAACAATGAAATATACATATAACCTAATGAATTAGTATCTATCACACACACACACACACACACACACACACACACACACACACACACACACACACACACACACACACATATTGTGGAATTAAGGGTAAGGGTATCCAAGACACCGCATTTGGCTGGGTACGTCTTCTAGGGAATCACAATCTATATCTCAACCACGCACGCACACACACACACACACACACAAACACACACACTGTGGAATTAATGGTATTTGGAATAAGGGTTGGCCCTAATTATGTTTCTAGGTTTGTCAGCAACATACCTGTCTCGTATTGGTAAACATCTAAGACCTGGATCAATTTGGTCTTTCCTCCTACATAATGTCATTTGAAAGGTGACAGAATTTCGTGATCGTGAGTTCGAATCCCAGATTCGCCCTGATTATGTTTTTAGGTTTGTCAGCACCATGTCCATGCCCGGGGTATCGCCAATGTGATAACGTCTAAGATATGCACCAAGTCGGGTTTTCTTTTTATATAAAGTTGACACATCGTGATGTAAGTAAAATACTGTCTGTTCAAAGGGGCGTTAACCCATTTCAACTTTAAAGATAGAATATTGTTGACTGTAGCGTTAAACAACAAACAAACAAACACACTCACTCACTCATTGGGGTGGCGGGGTAGCCTGGTGGTTAAAGCGTTCGCTCTTCACACCAAAGGCCCGGGTTCGGTTACCCACTTGGGAACAATGTGAGAAGCCTATTTCTGGTGTCTCCTTTCGTGATATTGCAAGAATGTTGCTGAAAGCGACGTAAAACCGTATTCACTCTTTGATTTGTACAGTCAAGGGCACCTTTAATATCAGGTCAGCCTCGCGTGTGTAAGTCGTATCACCTTGTGACAGAAACGTTTTATGGATTCTTGTTAGGTCAAACGTTTTACAGACCGCCAAGTGTACAGTCGGCGGTATGTAACCCGTGACACACAACACACAGTCGGCTCAATAGGCCGCTTAAGCTGTGATTGTGGATCTGTGACCGGATTGCAGCACAATATCATCTTGGCAGGTGATCAACTCCGGCTTTCAGAGGGAACAGATCGATCACCATACCACGACTATAACATTTCACCACAGAAAGCAAAGGGAGCGTTGTTTACACATGCAAATCGTCTTATTGGAGACGTCAGTCCTACCACCTTTTTCTGTCAAACAGTGGGCTTAATTAAACAGGTCGATGACACAACAAATAAAGGAAGTAGAATGTTGCCATTCACTCCTTCAGTACATTTGTATTGCCCCGCAGTGGCGGGGTACCGTATTTCCTCGATTGTGAGCGTGTTCGGGTTAACAACGCTTTTTAAAAGCGGTGATTGCCTAAAAGTCGGGCCAAGAAAAGTCGGGCCGGGCCGGGCCAGCAATTAATACTAAAAATGGAAGGCAGACTAATAAAACGAAACACGCATATCTAGGCATATTTCAAATGTCCACAAACGTACAGTTTTGCTCTTTAACATTATTCCAGATATATCCCGGCGTGTCAAATTAATGTGGGAGGGGAGCCCGAAGTGATGCAGGTCTTAGAGTTTTACAACTTTGATGAGCCCCGTGAAGATCCGGGATAGAATAGGTCTTCAGCAACCCATGCTTGCCATAAGAGGCGACTACATGCTTGTGGTAAAAGGCGACTGATGGGATCGGGTGGTCAGGCTCGCTGACTTGGTTGATGCATGTCATCGTATCTCAATTGAGTGATTCAATGTTCATATCATCAATCACTTGATTGTCTGGTCTGGGCTCGATTATTTTTACAGACCGCCGTCAAATTGCTATTGCTGAGTGCAGAGTTAAACAACAAACAACTTTGATTAAACCCACGGAAGGGTGCTGACAAACCTAGTAACAGAATTGTGGCGAGCCGGGATTCGAACCCACAGTCATAGGTTTCTGGCTTAACCAAGGGACGCAACTCTGCACAGCGAATTGCGGCGCCTTAGACGACCGGGCCACCCGTACCCGGGGACTCGAATAAACGCCCGGTAGTTTTTTTATGCACGGATTTCTCCCCCTTATTATCTTTGCGATTAAGCGCCGGGGGTAAAGCGTGTCTGAAAGAAATATACTCCCGTACGTTTAATCAAGGAAATACGGTATATATCGTCGTTCAGTATACGTTCTATGTGTATTGAGTGAATTGTGTTGTACGCCGCTTTGAACACTGTTTCAGTATGTCAGGGTGTGTCAGCTTGATGTGGGAGGAAATCCCGAACTGATGAAGGTCATAGTCGTCAATACCACCTTGATGCATTAAACACGTGGGTATAAGGGGTTGACAATACAAGGATCACAATCACGGCGGACTGTGGAGACAAACACAACCATTGGATTTGGGCACACCTAAGCCACACAGCCCTGCACAGCAAATTGCAGCGCCTTAGTGACAAGCATAAACAATGAGAAATATATGTACTGTAGCTCACCCAAGTCAACTAAACATAATTCGGGTCCTACGTGTGAAGATAATCTGCATCAAGATCTCTTCCCCTGAGGTTCTTGTCATGCAGTGGGGTGTTGCTAAGCGACACCATCAATTCCTCACGTTATGCTTACAGATGTGTACTTGGCATGTATGTTGGATTTATCAGACAAAACCCCTTGAAACTCCTTGAATGATCGATCGCCTCCGTGGTCCCTGTCTCCCCGGAGACCGGAAAGTCGGTGGTTCTATCCACGGAAACGTCATACCTAGAGGAAGCTAAAAGATGTTACTTGTTTCCCCATCCCTGACGATTCGGGTTGGAATAGGTATTCAGCAACCCGTGCTTGCCATAAAAGGCGACTAACAGAATCGGGTGGTCAGGCTAGCTGACTTGGGTGATGCATGTCATGGTAAGCCAATTGTGTGGGTCATTGCTCAAGATGAAACAAACAAGATACGAATATCATAGGCTATGCTTATCAGTGAGTATCTCACACCAGGTACCTGATGTCTCGAGGAACATGGGGATCACATTTTCACAGTACACTGTTTTAAATGAGCAGAGTAAAAATAAGGTGAACTATGAAGCATATCTTTTCTTTTGCCAGGCAGCTTAACGGTAATTGTTTATATTGTCGATGTGGAAACAAGGTCCAGTACTTTTACCATAATACCTAATTGTTTCAATATGTTACCAAAGTTGTTTGTTTGTTGTTTAACACCGCACTCAGCAATATTCCAGCTATATGACAGCGGTCTGTAAAAAATCGAGTCTGGACCGGGCCAATCCTGTGATTGACATCATGAGCATCGATCCACGAAATTGGGAACGATGACATGCATCAACCAAGTCAGCGAGCCTGACCACCCGATCCCGTTAGTCGCCTCTAAGGACAAGCATAGTCGCCTTTTATGGCAAGCATGGGTTGCTGAAGACCTATTCTAACCCGGATCTTCAAGGTAGGGGAAACAAGTAACATCTTTTAGCTTCCTCTAGGTATGATCTCCAAGGTGCCCGATTCTAATTGAATTACTACGAGAGAAATATGGATGTAGTTTCCACACGCCACATGTATGGCCTTTGAGAGATCATCTTAGCAAAGCCTATGAAGTCAACTGTGTGTCCTTGAATGCCAGTTTGATATAAATGTATTTTGCAATTATAGAGTGAGTGAGTTGGGTTTAACGCTGCTTTTAACATTATTCCAGTTATATCACGGTGTGTCGGCTTAATGTGGGAGGAAAGCCCGAAGTTATGCAGGTCTCCGACATTTTCCACTTCGGTGAAACCCACGAGCACGGGTATGGTGCTGACAAATCTAGAAACATAATTGGGGTGAACCGGGATTCGAACCCACAATCATAGGTTTCTGGCTAGTCCAAGGGACTCAACTCTGCACAGGTTGGTTTTGGTTGTTTTTTTGTTTAACATGGCACTAGGCAATATTCCAGCTATATGACGGCGGTCTGTATATAATCGAGTCTGGACCAGACAATCCAGTGATTAATATCATGAACATCGATCCACGCAATTGGGATCGATGACATGCATCAACCAAGTCATCGAGCCTGACCACCCGATCCCGTTAGTCGCCTCTTACGACAAGCATAGTTGCCTGATACGGCAAGCATGGGTTGCTGAACACCTATTCCACCCCGGATCTTCACGGGCAATAGGTTTCTGGTGCACCCAAGGGACACAACTCTGCACAGCAAATTGTGGTGTCTGTCCAAAAACCAAGTGTTGTGAAAGCCCACTGAGATAGCATGCCATCTATAATAACCGTGCCAACTTTGAGATCCAACAAAATGGTAAAAGACCACACACAAAAACAGAAAATGTTTATTTTGTTTGTTATGAATATTTATTGTCTATCATAAATATACTCATATAATATAATTGTCATGTATGTATTTATTAATATAGCTTTGGCAATTTACACTCTCAGCTCTCCTCCCTTATTCCTAAACCACACAACATAATTTTATGCCTCAGTGATGGTTAAGTTTACATTGATAAGATTTACAACAACACTTTATAACATAAGCTTTCAATATTCACTGAAACAAATTAGAATAACGACAAACATAACCATGATAACACATTAATTACATGAACATCGGAAAACTAGTACACAATCAAATAATGAACGCTGGCATATTTTCTGCTGGCATGTGTTAAACATTTTCATGACTTTAATAAACAGTGACAAAATGTCCACATAAGGCTTAAAAAAATAAAAGAATTGGTTCTCAGGCAATGGCTTTTAAAAATATAGCGCTGGCGGTGTGTTTTTTAGGAGGGTTGTTCAAGCTAGTTTGTCTAGGAATTATATTTACAATAATTTCGGAGAAATCATGTTGTTCTTAAGTATTGTAGCATTTTACTGCTAGGGTCATGTGTTCGAGGAGCGGGATATTTGAAGATTTTTTAATTTAAAAAAAAATGAAAATATAAACGAAATGTGTTGCAGACTTTATGATGATGAGAACCAAGACTATTAATTTTTTTTAGCCTAATAGTTCCACAAACAAATGCTGAACCATTCAGAACAACGTTACAAAATCTTGTTTCACGAGAAGAAACCGACTCTCAGTTTCCATCGAAGTGTCTGTTTGGCTGACGTCAGCTTCATTTCCTCTCTTCACATGTCTGAATGGCTGTGTTGAAGTCAAGCAGTAGATAGTGGACTCAGTAACAGATCCGACAGTATGATCAAATCTGGCCTTCCACTCGCATGGAGAGCATGTGTCCATCACTGACTGCACGCTCGACGTTGGCACCCCAAACTCAAACACATGCTTCTCCTCAATGGCATTTGTCTCGTAGTGTTTGAGCATCTGTCTGGCTGCTGAACCGAGCGATGAGTGAGGCAGACTGAGAAACAACTTCAACATGGACACCATCTCCAGCACGTTCTGCAGCTTTTCCAACTGCTCCAGATTCTCCTCCAGTGACTTGGACATAGACACCAAGTGGGCCAAGTGGGAAAGGGTGGTCATGTCCGATGACAGAAACGCGTTGATGTAATCCCGTTTTAACTTCTCACCACCCATCTCAGCTAACAGTTTGATTGGCGTTATTCCCTTCAAAGGAGGGACCATCATGCGGCCCATGTAGGAGTCTCGGACCAGCTGTGCCATGGTGGTGTGGTTGTTGTTATGGACCATGGGTTGGACCCTCCCGCTACTGAGGCAGTTGAAGATGTACTGGAGGCTGCTGACAAGATCCGAGTAGGCCGAACAGCTAATCAGCACCTTCCATAGATGGTCTGTGAAATCCAAGTCTTGGCGTTCCTTAAAAACGAGGTTCTCTAGAGGTGACATCAAGTCAACCGAGTCGTCTTCATTTTCCTCATGAACAACTCTGTCTCCCTGCTGTAGCTGCTCGATCAGTTTCTTCACACTCTCGATCAGTGGGACATCACCCACTTCCCCAATCCAGTTTACGTCCCCAGTTGTCACAGATGAAACGAAACTCGTCAACAGAGTCAGCTCTTGATAGAAGGAATATGCCGGACTTCTCATGTCACCTGCAAAACGCAACAACCAAGCAGAATAAACCAACAGTCTAGCAATGTTTACAATCAACCGTAAATAATATCAATCAAGTTTGTTATTCATGCAAAACACTGCAATCAGCAATATTCTAAGAACAGAGACTGTGTTTGATTTGTAACCAGAATTTTATTGAGGACGAATATCATTTTGTGCTTATATGCAATGCTTATAGTGATTTAAGAGCTGAATACATTCCTCCTAAATATTTTACAACCCCTTCTAAAAATAAATTTAATGCTCTTATGTCATCCACTAACTTTAAAATCATACGAAATCTAGCAGTCTATGTTTACAAAACTTTTCAACTTTGGTCATTACATACGGTCTAAATATTTATTTGTATATATGCATGTGTATGTGTATGAATGTGTGGATATGGATATATATGTAAAATAGTGGTAATTCTTTTTTCTCCCTCTCTCTGTAAATAGTTCTGTGTAATAGGCCTACGGCCTAACACATTTTGTGAATAAAACAATTACAGAATATTCTAATTATAGGATGGTTGTCTGTTGGTAACCGTATTTATCAAGTGTAAATAGCCAATCATTAATGATGACAATTGTAAAAACTCTTGCTGTTCTCATGTGAGTCAAATGCTGGTAAATTGAAGTCAACACAAGTACATTATAACATGTATTCTCTTTACCAGGTATGGAAATGTATACCTTGGTGCTTAAAAGTGGTACCACTGCTACAATATCCCAATGTTTACTAAGTGTTAACTGAATTTAAACCATGTTTATACATTTCAATACCTGGGTGCTTAAAAGTGGTACCATTGCTACAATATCTCAATGGTTACTAAGTGTTAACTGAGTTTTAACCATGTTTACTTACAGTGATGACAATGCTTCGTACAGTTTACCTTGTTTAGTGACAGTTTTTACCTCAGTGAGTTACTGACAGATATAGTCTACTGGTTACCAAAAGTTGAAAATGTTTAAAGACACTTATAACCAAGATTATTGACAGATATTGTCACGTTCACCAACATTTATGACCATATTTACTGACATATAAAATAATGTTTACAGAGAGTTCTAACCATGTTTACTGACAGGGATACCATGTTTACTGACAACCAAGAAAAGTGGGCACCTGCAGTAACTGAAGCCTTGACGAACGCTGCTGCATGAGAAGGTGGTTTCTGTAGCAGTGACATTGATCTTGCCCACTCCAGGTCTACAGCCAGGGAGCCTTGGTAACCAGCCTTGTCATCCCTCATAGAGTCAATCACATTGTAGCGAGCATAGCAGCTAGTATCAGACAAGATGGAGGAGCCATCAAAACGAATTTCTCTTTTCAAATCTATATTCTTGTCAGATTGAGTTACTGACGATATTCTCAAACCAGGCCTTCCATCAACAAGTACAGGCTGGACACCTCGAATAATTGTTGACTTGATGTCGGAACCATCACAAAGGACCCAGAAATCTGGTATGTGATCAATATTCTCATTTCCATTGTTGGTGCGATTGTTTGTGAAATAGGTCGAAAACATAGACAACAGGCCCCTTGCTTTCTGGTTGGAGATGCCAAAATCATGCCTCTCTTTCTCGCAAACCCGCTTTATATACTTCGGAGAACATACCGATGAAGGAGAATCAAAAGCAGACAGATCAGCATAGGCTTGCAGCTTCAATGGGGAGCCGTCAAGATCCAATGAAGTTTCCTTTCCGTTTGTGGAGCCAGTACTCCCCTTCTTACTTTTCGGGGTGCTAGCTATACTGTGACTTTGAGATGATTTGTAACTATTCTGATTGATGGAAACATTTTGGGAAATATCAACACTTTTTGTGTTGTTTATATCACACAATCTTCCCTTGTAGGCAACAATTGACGATCTGTCGGAGGAAATGTCAAGAAAATATGTCATTGCGTGATCTAAAACGCTATTGCTGGACAGTTTACCCTTAGACCTGTACTCGAACACCATGCTACTGTCATATTCCTGGGAAGTCTTGTTTTGTAGTATATTCCTAAAAGTGTCCACAAACTTAGATATCGCGCTTGGGTTCATTTTCTTGCTCCGATTGTGTCAGCAGTGTAGTACTCTACCTTGTTTGAAAAAGCCCGCAACTCTGAAGCTCCGGACAAGCACCGACACACGCGCTGCAGAGGAGTTTGTGTGTCTACGCGGTGTGCTTTTGGATATCCTTTTGGGTCTATTTATATTATATTAGCTAAAGACGACGTTTTTCCTGAAGTAAACTAACTAAATGACTGCAGTGACTTCTGAGACCTGCCAACAGGAGATCTTCGATATTTTGGTTTTCAAAATATATCACGTTCATATTTCAGAATAATGTTTGAATGGTAATTTTAGAAACAACCGGAAATTGGTAGTTATAGCCTTGATGATTGGTCAACTTGGTCCAATAATTAGCTTCAATACAACGCACTTTGGCGTAAACACAAACATGGCGGCTGATTTCAAGTGAGTTGTGATCATTTCATTAATAACGTAACACGTGGTAAATAAAACAGTCATGTGGCTTTAATTTATATCCAGGCGTGAATTACATGTCGTGTCTCTCTTACATTTTCCAAGCAGCCATAGTGTCGATGAATCTTTTGAATGTTACGGCATCACTTACGGCATCACATTAATCGGTGTCGACTGCCATTGACATTCGTCTTTGACAACAAAACCTTGCCTTCACTAAGAGTGATGACCTGAAAACAGATTGGTTGCCTCCCTGTTAGACACACTAACGGTAAACAGGGTGCAGGCTAGAAGTAAAACGTCACCGATTTCTCGGGCGAAAACGGCACCGCATCTGGCGAAAACGGCTACTATGTGTCGGGCGAAAACGGCACGTCTATTTTTAATAACGATAAGAACGATTTATGTAGTAGTGTATATGGTTTATTTACATGGTATTAGATGTATTTACATGTTATTGGATGTATTTGATGTATTTACATGTTATTGGATGTATTTGATGTATTTACATGGTATTTCCTGTTATTTGTGTTTGTAAGAGACGATGAGAGTTTAGTTTCATGTATTTTACTTCAAAGCATGTTATGTTTTCACAAGAAATTGAGTTGTGTATGGGCTAAGTTGGAATTTAGTTGGATTAGAGGCTAATTTGTAATGTAAACTTGTTTCAACATTTCACAATTATTGGTGTTTGCAAGTTACCATGTAAGTTTAATGTCATTTATTTTACCAAGGTGAAAAAAATAAGGTGCCGTTTCGCCAGGCAATAGTAGCCATTTTCACTTGAGGTGAGGTGATGTTTTCGCCAATCGGTGCCGTTTTAGTTATAACCCCGGTAAACAAACTGAAAGAAGTTATCTGAGGATACTTATGGACATGCATTTTTTGTTTGTTGTTGATACTTACACATCTATCTTGTAAGTTGTGTTTTGTAATCCAACTTACGATTAGTGATTTCTCAGATTCATCTCATGAACTTTGTTTACTATCAGCTGTAAACATGGTAAAGTGTCACTTTCACCAATGATTTACTTTTTGTAGGACAGCTCACCCAAGAGAATATTACAGACGATTTTTGGTAAGTTAAACTTAGTAATACTGTTTTCGTTTTTTTAAACTGTGAAATCATATCTCTGCACTGCACTGCATTTACCCCTGGTCGATCGCTGTGTCCATCAGTAGTGACAGTGGCCAGAGAGCCAGCACATTTACCACTGGGCTTTTTCTACTGCTCTTTGAGCAAAATAATGAGGATTGGCAACATGGCATCATGTCAATGGGTTTTTTCTTTAGGAAAAAGATGTCCGACCTGATGGCAGGGAGCTGGGGGAATTCCGTGCGACAGTGCTGAATATAGGTAATCTCACATTGTTCCACATCTGTCACTTTGTGTGATCATTGGTCCACAACTTTATAGTTAATGGAAAAGCCTTTGAAAGTCTGTGAGTCATTAAAAATCAATGAAGTTGCCAGTTTAATTTAAATTCCAAATTCCTGGTCAGCATAACTGGTATGAACATTAGCTTGATTAGTATGTTTGTTATAACTATGATAACAATATTAGCACTAACATGAAAATGTGGTGACTATTCTACATTCTTCAGGCAGATATGATATAATAGTAATCACTGATGTTGACAAGTGGTAGGTCTGTGAAGGCAGGTTAGGTTCATCTAATCTACGGTAGTCATCTGTACCATTGCAGGATGCGTCACAACAGCTGAGGGCTCGTCCCTGGTCAGACTAGGCAACACCACTGTCATGTGTGGAATAAAAGCTGTAAGTAATGACCCCAGAACATTGTCAAGTTAAAACAAAATTGGTTGTTATGTCATCATCATCATCATCGCTATCTCACTGATACTACTGTGGATGCTGTGAAGGAACTTACATATCAACAAGTAAATGAATTTTGGAATGATGAATTATTCTGTATCGCTGAAGTTTATTCTGTATTGCTGAAGTTAAGTGCAGATAAGTTATGGGATGTCACACTACGTGATTATTGACTTTGCCCTGGTTGGTTTTCAGCTGTTGATTTTGTTAAAAGAAAGAACTATATGTGTTCCTCTGTTTCAGGAACTTGCTGCCCCCAAAACTGACACACCTAAACAAGGCTATATAGGTGCGTGCCACTGTTGGTCCGATTGTTTAACACACATGCATATGTGAAAGTTACAACCTTCTTGACCAAAGGAAAATTTTGTTCAATTTTGTTCTAACTAATTTTTTAACAGAAAACATAGAAAGCAGAACAAGTGATTTTGGGTTGACCCTATGACAAAATAGTTTTTTGTAGAAGACATAAACATCAATTAATTTGGAGAAAAGATTAACATTATGACATTGTAGCATTCTCAGTAAGAGGTTGCATCTACTGTTTATGATTCATCCATCTCGGGTTTTTTCAGTACCAAACGTCGAGTTGTCCCCCTTGTGCTCACCTCAGTTCCGACCAGGACCACCAGGTGAACAAGCTCAAGTGTTGAGTCAACTTATGGCTGAAGTGGTTTCTAGGTAGGATTGTCATATAGAGGATCCATATATTTATTATAAACTTTTTGAGTGAATAAAGGAGACAAAAATGAAACAGTGGCCTGAGGTGCCACATCTTGCTGTATTATTCCCCTTAGCTGTAGGGATTCCAGGTTAGAATTGGTCCCGGTCATAAGAGGCGACTTAATAGTATGACTTGGTGACTTGGTTGATTGGATGTCATCCAGTTATTTTAAATAAAATACTGATGCCTACTTTCCGACTTACACTGAGGGTGTCTGATTTGGAAGCTTAATCATTTCACTGTCTAAGAATTTTATATTATTAAAGATTCCTGTTTATAGTAAAGGCAGCAGTGGTGTCTCATTACCACTGTTACATCGCTCAATGTGTTGTTTCAGCTCGAACTGTATACAGTTAGAAGACTTATGCATCGTTCCTCAAAAGGTAAGAGAAGAAAGTTTGTCATTAAGTTGTTCGGGTCACTCAGCGAAGTAGGTAAAAATAGGACTAAATCGGATAGTAGAGAAGTGTAGCAAGTATGTGTATTCAATTCGGCCAGAAAATGTTTGTTCTCTCTGTCATGTATAATAGGTGTGTGCAGTAGCCAGAAACATAACCATGTATTTGATTAGTCATTTAGGAAAGTGAACTGATGAACAGTTATGTTTGTTAATTTTTTTGTAGAGGATTCTTTTTATTGATAAATATACCAGCCAGGAAAATGAAAAATTATTTAGACTATTTTTTTTAATTTATAATATGTTTCTTGCCTTTGGTACAGGTCGGTCATATGTGTAAACCCCAAAATAAATGTCCTCTCAAGATTAGTACATGCAACTGATTATGACTGTATTTTGTGTATTTAATTATGTTTCATTGAGCATTGTAAGACATCTATTGACTATGAAGAAGTGTGACTCATGAATCATGTTGTCTGTGTGTAGTTGGTGTGGGTGTTGCACTGTGACATGGTGTGCCTCAACTACGATGGGAACATCACCGATGCTTGTGTCCTGGCTCTCCTTGCAGCCTTCAGAAACAGTAAGTCAAGCATCATGTTGATAGTATTGACAGAGCAGCCAGTGTACACGCTGCAGTGCACAGCTTATCCTCAGGTGCCAGGGCTCCAACCCTCTCCTTTCAAATCTTAGTTGGCATGCCACTGTGTTACAGCTTCACAGGCAAACTAGTCATTGTGTGAGCATCCTTCATCCCTGCCACTCAGATGAACTCAATCTCATTAAAATCATCCCATTACAAGTCATATCAGAACGACCTTTCGCAAACTTTGCCCTCAGATCTTTGTTTAGCAGTAGCCAGAACTAAGATCTTATTTTAATGGGATTAAGATCGACTGAGGGCTAGTTGATGAAATGAGTTGGTTTAATGATGGTGTTTGTAGTCTGCCAATCTTGCATGTAGATTGCCTGCTTGTCGCCTATTGTTGTGTAATGTAAAACGCTTGGAAGGATTCCATAGTTCTGGTTTTAACAGCAACATATCATGAAATAAGACAGTCATAGTGAATGTAAAGCTTTTTTAGTTTTTATTTGCCAACTTTAAAAAAAAGTTAGACAATGATTTGTGGTGTTGTGTTGCAGCTCAACTGCCGGGTGTGCATGTCAGCGAGGAGACGGAGGAGGTGGAGACAGACTTGAGGAGTACCGACCCCCTGCAGCTCCGGAGTCTCCCAGTCTCAACCACCTTCAACTGCTTCGATGAGTGAGTGTCATCAGGGGCGTGTGTAACATACCCCTGTACTGTCATACTCTTATTGCTGTAACATCTCACCTATTGCTGTAACATACCCCTGTACTGTCATACTCTTATTGCTGTAACATCTCAGCTACTGCTGTAACATCTCACCTATTGCTGTAATACCTCGCATGTTGCTGTAACATATCACATTTTGCTGTAACATCCCTAGTGCTGTAACATCTCAGCTACTGCTGTAACATCTCACCTATTGCTGTAATACCTTGCATGTTGCTGTAACATATCACATTTTGCTGTAACATCCCTAGTGCTGTAACATCTCAGCTACTGCTGTAACATCTCACCTATTGCTGTTACATCTCACCTATTGCTGTAACATCACATGTTGTAACATCTCACCTACTACTGTAACACCTCACCTATTACTGTAACATCTCACCTCTTGATGTAACACCTCACCTCTTGCTGTAACATCTCAACTCTTGATGTAATATGTCACACCTATTGCTGGAACATCTCAGCTATTGCTGTAACATCTCACACCTATTGCTGTAACACCTCAGCTATTGCTGTAACATCTCACACCTATTTCTGTAACATCTCACATCTATTGCTGTAACATCTCAGCTATTGCTGTAACACCTCACCTCTTGCTGTAAATATCTCACCTCCTGCTGTAATATGTCACACCTATTGCTGTAACATCTCACCTATTGCTGTAATATCTCACCCGTTGCTGTAATATCTCACCTTGCTGTAATCATTGGTGTTCTTTCAGCCGCATCCTGTTTGTAGACCCTACAGCGGATGAAGAGAGCTTAGCCACGGGAATGATCACCATAGTAACTGCTGCTGACAAGATGTGTATGCTGCATAAACCAGGTATATCACTCTGCATGTTACTGGGTATGTTGCACTGGATGTGACTGGGTACGTCGCACTGCATGTGACTGGGTATGTCACACTGCATGTGACTGGGTATGTTGCACTGGATGTGACTGGGTATGTCACACTGGATGTGACTAGGTATGTCGCACTGCATGTGACTGGGTATGTCACACTGCATGTGATTGGGTATGTCACACTGCATGTGACTGGGTATGTCACACTGCATGTGACTGGGTATGTTGCACTGCATGTGACTGGGTATGTTGCACTACATGTGACTGGGTATGTCACACTGCATGTGACTGGGTATGTCACACTGCATGTGACTGGGTATGTCACACTGGATGTGACTGGGTATGTTGCACTGCATGTGACTGGGTATGTCACACTGCATGTGACTGGGTATGTTGCACTGCATGTGACTGGGTATGTCACACTGCATGTGACTGGGTATGTCACACTGCATGTGACTGGGTATGTTGCACTGCATGTGACTGGGTATGTCTTACTGCATGTGACTGGGTATGTCTTACTGCATGTGACTGGGTATGTCTTACTGCATGTGACTGGGTATGTCACACTGCATGTGACTGGGTATATCACACTGCATGTGACTGGGTATGTCACACTGCATGTGACTGGGTATGTCACACTGCATGTGACTGGTTATGTCACACTGCATGTGACTGGGTATGTCACACTGCATGTGACTGGGTATGTCACACTGGATGTGACTGGGTATGTAACACTGCATGTGACTGGGTATGTCACACTGCATGTGACTGGGTATGTCTTACTGCATGTGACTGGGTATGTCACACTGGATGTGACTGGGTATGTCACACTGCATGTGACTGGGTACATCACACTGGATGTGACTGGGTATGTCTTACTGCATGTGACTGGGTGTGTTGCACTGGATGTGACTGGGTATGTCACACTGGATGTGACTGGGTATGTCACACTGCATGTGACTGGTTATGTCGCACTGCATGTGACTGGGTATGTCACACTGCATGTGACTGGTTATGTCACACTGCATGTGACTGGTTATGTCACACTGGATGTGTGCAACCAGCATATTTCTGTATACATCAGCCTTTTGTGTGGCACCCTCATCTGCATTCCAGGACAAAATCAGTCCAAAGTATTCCATGCTTGTTATAAGAGCCATCTCGTGAGAATTGGTTTTTCATGATATGTGACTTGACTGATGGTGTGTCATTGCACCATGATGGCTAGGATTGTTTTTGCTTACCTGGCCCCAGTTTTACTATTTTGACTGCTTATATAGAAATATTTTTGAATTCTGTGATGTGTTAAAATGTTAAAAAGTGTTAAAAAGAAACTATCTTGATTTGTTATGGATTTATAACAATTCTGAGAACAGTTTTATATTATATTCCCTGAAAGAATAAATCTGTTTTCGATGACTTGTATTTGCCCTGAAAGTCTTGCACGTTCTCTGACTGTAGTGTTGGTATTTGCAGGCGGTAGTCCGCTCAGTGAGAGCCAGATCCAGCAGTGTATCAACAGAGCAAAGGCTCGCAGTCAACAAGTTCTCAAACTCATTGAAGACACCCTTGTTAGTGTGGATAGATGACATTAAACATTCATTGCTCTAAACATCTTTGTGTTTATTTGATGTTCCAGATTGGCTTTGGAAATCTGCCTATCTGCTTTCCTCACTGTAATAGGTGCTCAATGACAGTGTACACACAATATCACACTGACAGGATTCGTACATTACATTGAAAACAAATCCATTTGTCAATGACATCCCTGGCACCTCTATACACCCAGGATGATGACGACACACCTAGATACATTCAGTGAGGATTTGAATGGGTTCTCCGAGTCTTAACATCATTCTTCACTACTCGGGAGTCCATGGCTGTGTTCAAAGTACAGCACACCCAGGTCACAAATGCATTTGTCACTTTAATCAATCAGAGATTATGTGAGACTTAGGAGATAAACATACTGTTTTCAATGTAGAGCTAAGTTATTGCGCTAAATTCAGTTTGGAATATGCATCGCATTGTGAGGTTTCAAATGTTAAGTTTAGCACGGTCAATCTACCGGTAACCTAGCTCTACATTAAAAGCGCAGTTTATCTCTCTTATAACATGACAAAATAAAATGCAAACTCTTTGGTGCCAACATATTGGGTGATGCAACATGAGTTAAGTCCCAGGTTTTCAGGGGTTGTCTATCTGAATTAAGGAAACATTGATGAAAGCCATTGAACAAAGTTTAGTGCTGTATATTCTCGTACCATGTCTGTCGGTCCGTTTTCCGTTTCCGGGGCAGATTCTTATACTTTTTATTTTGTTTTCTTGATTTGTCAAGATGAAAACAAGTTGTTTTCTGTGTCTGAAGCAGAACTCTAAAACCGTTAAAACTTGCTATGGAATCAGTCTCGTTTGGAACTGGTGCACTTTTGAAGATTTGATTTTTTTATATTTTTATGTTATGACAAGTTGGACTAAATAAGAGGGTAGTGCTCATTTCCGGAGCAGAACTCCCAAACTGTTGAATATTTCTGGATGAAACTTGCAATAAGTTTACCACTTCGGTGAAATCAACGAGCACGGGTATGGTGTTGACAAACCTAGAAACATAATCGGGGCGAACCATGAATCAAACCCACAATCATAGGCTTCTAGCATGCCCAAGGGACTTAACTCTGCACAGCGAATCACGGCGCCTTAGACGACTGGGCCACCTGTGCTAATAATGTAAAGGATCCTTTTTTGGTACATAAGAAGTTCGGCTTGAATCATCTATGTAAAGAATTATACATCCAGAGAACTTAAAGTCACACAAGAAATTCAGGGCTCTGATTGGTTTTATTTCACATACTTAGGTTTGATTTACGTTTGTTAATTGGTCAACTGGGTAGAAAGACAAGGTGACATGGTTGTGAGGTTGTTGATATCATTCACTGATGTGCCTGATCCAGGATTGATTATTTACAGGTCACCATCATAACTGGAATACTGCTTAGTGTGACTAACCCAACCAAATCTTCAGCAAGAAAAGGATTTATCCCATCTCGGAAATTCCATGTGTCAGACAAGTTGTTCTGCTTTTGAGAAGAAATATAAGTGATAAACAGAACCAAAATATCATTTAGTCAAATTTATTTCACAAGATATACATAGTTGAGATGGACCCCATGGCAACATGAATAAAACGGATTTAACCCAACATACGCGGAGGACATCTGAATGTCCAGCACTGGATGCAGATAGCGCACCCATCATGGCACAACATTGACATAAAGGCTTATGTGTTGAATAACTATAAATGCTGAATGAACAAGATTAGACTCGGTTTACTCACAGAAGACCTATCTTACTGCTGTCACACTAACATGTAAAGAAGAAAATTCGGCTGAACACACCTTTGAACGCTATGTGTGTTTAATACCAAACTCAGCAATAGTCCAGCTATATGATGGCGGCCTGTGATAATCGAGTTTGGAACAGAGTGAGTGTGATGGTTTTACGCCGCTTTTAGCAATATTCCAGCAATATCACACCAGAAATGGGCTTCACACATTGTACCTGTCGGGAATCAAACCCGGGTCTTTGGCGTGACAAGTTTGGACCAGACAATCCAGTGATTGATAAGTTAAACAATGATCCATCGGTATAATGTCAAGGCATCAATCAAGTCACCAAGCATGACCACCCTATCAATTAAGTTGCCGATTATGACCAGCAATGGTTGCTGGATACAGTTCTTACCAGAAAAATCCCCAGAGGGGGAAAAGCACTGTCCGCCGACCAAGGGTCATTTTCAGAACAAATCATATTCAAACCCACAATCATGGTGCTTTCACTGCTTCTGCTTCTGATGCCGAAGTGAGTGAGTGAGAAAATAATATACCACATTCAGCAGTATTCCAGCTATCTCATAATAGCCTTATGGTATCCCAATTATTGAATCTTTGAGCAATGATCCTGAGGGTACGATAATCTGTCACACATTCTAACATGATACTGGAAACATCGTAATGCTCGAAATGTCACTTACGCACATTGTGATCTGGGAGATATCAGGTACAAATGGCATGATATGGGAGATATCAGCCTCACTGCATGTTATGGAAGATATCAGCCACACATGGTATGATATGGGAGATATCCCCCACCAGTTATGACAATATATTCCTTGTTGAAAAAATTGTGATTTTGTCATGATGAAAATGACACATGAAGTTTGACTAAGAAACAAACTAACAATAATCTCAATGTGAGATTCTTAATCAACAAAAGGTTTTCCCCTATTCAAAACATTGAAGTCAAGTCTGTCATACCAGCAATAACTTTAATGGCCATTTCTCACAGATCCACCATCCTGAGATCACAGAAGACAAGATAAATGTAGTGCCATTACCTCAGTGACACAGAAACAAATAGTAAGTCAACAACATTTCCACACCTGGGACATATGACCAATGTACAAGTATCAGCCATACTGAACTGATCACGTTCTTAAAAAAACCAATTGTCATTATCTTTTCAAAAATCTCAAATCAAAAGTCCAATTTTTAGACACTTCTTTTGGAGTAACTGTCTGGCCTCCTCGATGTATGAGTGAGGGAGTTGGGTTTACCGCTGCCTTGTACAGTATTTCTGTGACACCACTGCATGTCGGCTTAGTGAGGGAAGAAGGCCCAAATTGACAGGACATGAACACACCTTTGGTAAAACCAACCAGCATGGGTATGGAGCTGACAGGCCAAGGATCATAGTCAGAAAATGGGATTCAAACCCATGACTAAGGGATCCCAGGCACAAGAATTGCAACCAGGCACAAGAATTGCAAGGCTTTGGACCTCTGATGACCCCATTGATGAAGCCTTGCTTCATGCACCCAACCCTTGTGAGTGAGTATGTTTTTACGCCGCTCTTAGCATATATTCAAGAAATAGGCTTCACACTTTGTACCCATGTTGGGAATGGAACCCAGGTCCTCGGCGTGACGAGCAGAAGCTTTAAACACTAGGCTCCCAGACCACGTCGACCACCATCCCCCCCCACACACACACTTTTGTGAGGAGACCATACAGTGAACTCGTAGTTAACAAAACATTAATAGATAGTGTCATATTTTCATACAAAATTATCAGGTGGACCTTATAAGTAACACATATATATTGTTATTGTCATGATATATTTCCCATCACAATTAGGAATATAATATGAAATGAATGTAATATTTAATTATGAAAAGTGATGACGTCCATTCTTTGTTAACACGTTTACAAGCTTCTCCAACCAACACATAGAACATCCACCACCACATGCAGTACAACGGGTACAACACTGGCTGCACGTTTTCCACAATACAGTGGAACTATGCCTACATGTCAATCTGTGCTACTGTTTAGATTGGTTGGTTGCTTTGTTGTTTAACGCTGCACTCAGCAATATTCCAGCTATATGCCGGCAGTCTGTAAATAATCGAGTCTGGACCAGACAATCCAGTGATTAATATCATGAGCATCGATCATTGCAATTGGGATCAATGACATGCATCAACCAAGTCAGCGAGCCTGACCAACTGATCCCGTTAGTCGCATTTTATGACAAGCATAGTCGTCTTTTACGGCAAGCATGGGTTGCTGAAGACCTATTCTACCCCGGATCTTCCCGGGTAGCTACTGTTTAGAGCTGCAGTCATACAATCACATTGCGTGGAACTGTTTGAAGCTGCAGTTATCAGGTATGAGAATGGATATTTTCCTTCGCAACTGAGACTTCTTTGCTATGGAGAGTGGTCCATAATTTGAGGGTGTTTAGGGGGAAGCCATGAGATTAAAACAAATTTGTGGTCACAAAAATTTGCATATCCACGGAAGATTCTCACCCCCGAGTTATACAAGTTGTGTGCTACTTTTAGAAGCTGCAGTTATACAATCAAGGTGCATCCAGTTATACAAAGTGTGTGCTACTGTTTGAGGCTGCAGTTATACAAAGTGTGTGCTTCTGTTTGAGGCAGCAGTTATACAAAGTGTGTGCTTCTGTTTGAGGCAGCAGTTATACAAAGTGTGTGCTTCTGTTTGAGGCAGCAGTTATACAAAGTGTATGCAGTTATACAATCAAGACGTGGCTACTTTGTGTAGCCACAGCAACCACTGGGAGTATTTCACACTTTCAAATTATGACAAAAAATATATAGCTGTACTGATCATAAGGCTTTGTTTGGAGGGCTTGTGTGACATGTTGAACATTAAAAAAACCAACAGAGTAATAATTGTTGAACAATACAGTACACTGATGGCAACGGAGTAACAATTGTTGAACAATACAGTACACAGATGGCAACGCAGTAACAATTGTTGAACAATACAGTACACTGATGGCAACGGAGTAATAATTGTTGAACAATACAGTACACAGATGGCAACGGAGTAATAATTGTTGAAAAATACAGTACACAGATGGCAACGGAGTAACAATTGTTGAACAATACAGTACACTGATGGCAACAGAGTAATAATTGTTGAACAATACAGTACACAGATGGCAACGGAGTAATAATTGTTGAAAAATACAGTACACAGATGGCAACGGAGTAACAATTGTTGAACAATACAGTACACTGATGGCAACGGAGTAATAATTGTTGAAAAATACAGTACACAGATGGCAACGGAGTAATTATTGTTGAACAATACAGTACACTGATGGCACAGAGTAATAATTGTTGACAACAGAGTCAATGATTACAGATTATCAGCAACATGGTACGATAAGCAAAGATGGACACATCTGGGCTGACTAGCAAGTACACTGGCTGTCAAAATAAACGGACAGTGCCAATTTAGTACCCGGGACTTGTGGCTTTGTACAAAGCATATTACCCTTAGCATGTCTTTGTTAAGTAAGAAAAACAAATCATGGTGTCATGGTCATTTGAGACAGGAATCATTACACTTGAAACTAGTTTGAAGTTGACAGTTATTCTAATACAGCTGAAACAACTGAAAAAGAACGAACTTAACTAATAGAAGAATATTTTTGACATCCGGTGGACATTTCCTTACTGTTGAAACCTCCCAAGAACATCATAAATTAAAGCCCATATTTTCTGTTAGGTGTATAAAACAGACTAAAAAAGAAATCAACTTTTTTTAAAATAAAATAAAGAGAAAACTTAACAAAATTATTTTGGACAACGCAATTCAAAGGTGTTATCCCACGACTATATAAGCAACATCATCTGTCAGTGTTCATAGAATGAAATCACTACCATGAACAAGGTTTGGATTCAACAATCGAAAAAAACCTGATTTGGTTGACATTACCTTTGGCTGTAAATATTTGTGGGTCTATACATCGATGGTGGAATCTGCTGGAACAAGAGTGAAACCTTCAACTGCTGACACCACACTACGGCTGGCCAAGCTAACACTTGTTGGTATTTTGTCCTCAACCAACTAACGGTACTCTAAATATCTGGCCAAACATTTGGTTAACCAATAAGACAAAAAAGGAATTCATGACTTGCTGACATGTGTCCTTTTATGTCTACAAGACTTAGTGACCGACAATCGGGGGTCACAAAAATGTATATTGTAATAGTCTGGATAAAGGACTAGATGTTTTTCCTCCATGCAGAGCTAGATTGTCAACATTTACTTGTATCAAAAGTTGACTTAACTTGATTTTAATATGAACAATCACGTTACCATCTCACATGTAAAGCTCACCTGCTACAATCAACGTGAAATAGATCTCTTCTGGATGTACATCGTTATGGTTACCAAGATTCATGTCAAGTAACACATGCGGAAAATGAAAACCGTTCCTAAGATATAACATATCAAAACTGAGTGCAGAGGCAGATGCCTTTGTCGAAACTCATCATTTTTAACACAAGAGTTAACTCATTCACTGAATGTTTAGAACAAAAGCCTTGATCTAAATGCCATGATTAAATCTGAAACCTACAAAGTGCTTGTTGTCCTACCTGGGGTTTTTAGTTAAGAGTGAGTGAGTGAGTATGGTTTTACGCCGCTTTTAGCAATATTCCAGCAATATCACGGCGGGGGACACCAGAAATGGGCTTCACACATTGTACCCTTTGGGAATCGAACCCGGATCTTCGGCATGACGAGCGAACGCTTTAACCACTACTGCCCTCTTAATTAAGAAGACAAAGCATAAACGGTTTCAATAATTGAAGAATATTTAATAAGAAAATAAGTAAGTTTGTCAGGATCCAAAATTTTACTGGAATAGGCAAAATTGAATTCCCTAGTAACGCCAATGTCAGTGAGAAGGAAAGAGATTTTGTCTCTATACAATTTTTTTTTAACAGCATGAACAAATCCAACTGATGCCAGACATCTCGATTAGGTTTCCGTCTCTTCCCTACAGTTAGTTCGAAGAAGTTGAACCGACAGACAGATGAACACACCATGATATCAGATCACTGGGACCTTGGATCTCTAGAGCTAAAAACATTGACAAAAACATAAAACAAAATATTTCACTGAAGCTCTTCCCAAATTACCAAATGCACCACATTATGTACCATTAATTGAGAGAAGCACTTCATTGTTAGAGGGGACATGATTACATGTACAATCCATCAACGGGTTCGTGTAATCTGGAACAAGTTAGATATGAGAAAAAATGAGGTTATTGAAAGCATGCTGGTGTCAGCACATTCAATCATGTCTCGGAATCTGTGTCGGTAGGAACATATGCACCTGTACAAGCTAGATATATCCATCTAAATTTTATTTTTTTTAAATTGTATTTATAAAAAATATTCTCACTAACATTTGTTTGTGTGACATGCTCATATTGCAATACAGAAGCCGAAATTGATTATGTGAGAACATATTTAATCACTGTTAGTCGACTACTCCTTCCAATTCTTCTGCTTTCATGGAGATTGGCAGTAGGTTAGATGTTGTCATCATGGTTTATGAAGCCATATCCGCTCTTAACGTTGAACCACTTTGCCGGTACCGGTGACCCGCGTTGCTTTCTTTTTAACTGCCACCGGCTTTTCCTCCGGTTGATGTTCGGAGTCAGATATGGGTCTTAGCTTGATGGTAAAGCTGTCCTGTCGCTGGACCCTTGCTCTCCCTTTATTCCCCCTCAAAGTGGCCACCGCATGTCTGGTCACATACATTGTTCTTATACCAACTTATCGGTAGTATCTTAGACATCTATCACAATGAGGTAGTCATGTGTACATATTCTCAAATGAGTGAGTGAGTACGGTTTTACTCCGCTTTTAGCAATATTCCAGCAATATCACGGGGGGAATCGAACCCGGGTCTTCGGCGTGACGAGCAAACGCTTTAACCAGTAGGTTACCCGACCGCCCCTATTCTCAAATGAAGTTTCCATATAATGAAAACAAAGGACCAGTGCATAACATTTTTCCAGGTGCATATATCCACTTCCACAGCATCACTGAATGGATGCTACTGAAGCGTCTCACTGTCAAAACACACCCCTTCCATATACACTGATTACATACTCCCATCCTACTCTCACAAACTTTGTTGTTTAACACCACACTCGGCAATATTCCAGTTATATGATGGTGGTCTGTAAATTATCAGCCTGGACAAGACAATCCAGTGATTGGCATCATGAGCATCGATCCACCCAATTGGGATACGATGACATGCATCAACCATGTCAGCAAGCCTGACCAGCCGATCCGGTTAGTCGCCTCTTACAACAAGCATGGGTTGCTGAAGACCTATTCTAACCCAGACCTTCACAAAGACACAACTACCATTACCTTCCTACTCACTACTACCTACCCCGTAGTTGTCTGTATACCCTAACCATTCTAACACAGCTTCTAATGTTCCCCCAACACCAGCCAATGACCCAGCATATTCACGACACAAGAAACACATACCATGCACTCATTTTCCACTGGTATTGCACACACAAGACAATAAATCTGTTAGTTCCCTACAATGTAATGGAGGAGGATCCTGGTGGGGGTGTTACAAGGCAGTAGCCAGTAAAACTTGGGGTCTTTAGTCAGCAGTCAGTCTTTTTTCGGACTTAGTCAGTAAACTAGAATGCGTTTTTGCTCAAAAACACATGTCTCTCCCCTCCTTTTTTTTGATACATTAGTTCAAGTTATTTCTGTAAATGTGTTTGCAAATCAGAAAAACAATAATAGCAAATTATAGTCTGGAACGATAAAGGTTTCATGCAGAAAACACATGCAAATAGCGACCAAGTGGAATCTAAAATGCGAAACCATCTCTATGTGATTGCAAAAAATCTTACTTTTACAATAGTTTTTGAAAAGTTGTTCTAAACTAAACAGTATACCCCTCAGGACCCTCATGTAAGTCTTGATAAGAGGAAGAGTAAAGTGAGTGAGTGAGTGAGTAGTTGGGTTTAATGCTGCTTTTAACAGTATTCCAGCTATATCAGTATGTCAGCTTAATGTGGGAGGAAAGCCCAAAGTGATGCAGGTCTCAGACGTTTACTAATTCAGTGAAACCCATGAGTACGATATGGTGCTGACAAACCTAGAAACATAATTGGGGTGAACCATGATATTAACCCACAATCATAGGTTTCTGGCGTTCCCGAGGGACTCAACTCTGCACAGCGAATCGTGGCCACCCGTACCCCCAAGATAAGTAAAGAAGAGCAATGTGTATAATAATAGTATTTCAGTTTCTCCAGCTTGTGTCAAATGCCTGTGCTGACAAATAAGGAAACATAATCATGGTGAATCATTGGTTTGAAACCAGCATCATGAGCCTAAGGGACGACCCACAACTGAAGAGCTTGGAGCCATAAGGGCCAATGCCATGTGGAGTCTGTTTTGAGAAAAGTGATGAAAACACATAATATAATGCATGTTAATGAACTTAACCGATAAATTCCTAGACATTAACGCATTCTAACAGCAGAGATTTAAATGTTTATAAATAACATTCACAAAAGGAAATAAACTTACGTTTTTAATTTGTGTAAGGGTGGAAAGGGCCGATGTCTGTATTTTGGCCCTTTTTGACCCTCAGGCATTTGCATGGGATTTAACATGAGATTGTTTAACTATTACTGAAAGTACAAACACATAATATGGAAGTATTTTTAGATGATTCAAACTAATGCCAACTTTGTTAAAACAGTTGAAACATAATAATAATGAGTCCAAACTTTCAAAATCTCTCTCAGACAACCAGTCTCAACCACACACGGAAATGAGAACTAAAAGGGCCAAAATCTAGCAAAGTGACTTTGGCCCTTTGGAACTTGACTTTGGCCCTTTTATATAATTTTAAGTAGCTATATTTCAAAAACGCATCAATGAAAACAAACCATATTTTTTCTACAGGTAGACAAGAACTCAAAGATGTTATTTATGCAATAATATGCAAAAAGGGCCAAAGTGCATTTTGGCCCCTTTTAGCTCTAAGCTCTTCATATACACCTAACCGCATGAACAATATATCAACAAATACCAATATCTCAAACAGTAATGTACACATTATCTCAATACCAACATTCAAAATGTTAAAACAATGAAAAAATGTTTTAAGGCTTTCAGAAACATGTCCCATTTGAGGTTACAAGAGCTGAGGATCTTAGGTTCAAACAGCTTCAATGTGTAGAAGTAAATGTGACAGTACAATGACATCGGGATGAGGATGGTGTTGTGACTTAATGAGGATGATGTTCCGGCTCAGTGACATGGTGTTGATGGAATCGTCATCTTCGTCCCACAGCCAAGGGAACACATGGATGTTCGAATGTTTCACCGTCACGTGTGAACGTTGGACATGGAATGAGATTAACTGTCAAACATCAAGTGGGGTAAAACCTCTTTCACAAAGTCACATTTATTCTGTTCCAAAATACTTCATCCCAAAATGGTTGGGTGCAACAGAATGCACCTCTGATGTGAATATCGTCAATCCCGGGAACTGTGCAATGACGTTCTTGGCAGCTGAAAAGATACACCGGACTGTGAGACTGACATAACAGGCATGGTTACAGTCCCAACTATCTTCTGCTTCAAAATCACACATCATCTGACCCTGTCCTTGCGACCATCTGAAGGAAGATACAGGGTTCCTATACCGACTCAGGTATTGGTGCTATCCTAGACATTATACTGAGGTCAATTTCATATGTAGATATTTCCAAATGATACATGCAAGTTTAAAATAAATGAAAATAGTCATTCAAGATAACTTAACTCTTGCGGTTGCCTAGCTTAAAGGTTTCACTCATGTTATTCAGCAGTTTTAAACATTATTATTGCCTGGAATAACATTTGCTATGGTGAATGAGATTGTTACTATCATTACATATATATAGTCGGTATCTCAAAGTTACAAACCCAACTGGTACCTGACAAATAATCTCTAATTCTGAATTTTATTTTTCTGAGTCTACATCCTTCTCCCTGTACACCACACCCTGGGAGAGTCTACACCCTTCTCCTTGTACACCCCACCCTGGGAGTTCCCTCCCTTCAAATGCCATGGCAACTAACCTTGAGGTGTGCAGAAAAGATTAAGTAAGATGACATTTTCCTGATCGACATCGTGAGCCTGTAAAATATTGACTGCTTTGGACACGGTGTTACCTGTACCTGGAAGCATACAGGAATAAAAGTCAGTAGGCAGTCAAGTGGTACATGAGAACAAGAAAGTGTATAATGTTGTGGATAACAATGACAGGTTTATTGCATTTAGCGACGTTTCAATGTTGATTCTTACACCATTACTAAGCTGGGGTGGAAACTTCCTGAACATGCGAATGATGAGGGCATTCACCTTTCACATCAAATTATTTCCTGGGACAGTGGGGTGGTCTAGTGGCTAAAGCGTTTTTTCGTCACACCGAGGGAGCCGGGTCCATTCCACTCATTGAGTCTGGTGTCCTCCGCCATATTTCTGGAATATTGCTAAAAGTGGTGCAAAACCATACTCACTCACTCACTTAGGTTAGAGCTGAAAATATATACGTGATATTTTCTCACAGGTAGGTTACCGACGGATGCTGGAATTCCCACATAATGACTCACTCATAATAGGGTACATCAGGAGAACTTTTCGAGATGCGATATCTGCCGGCAGTTTTGAGTATACAATCTTTGCTTCGTGAGTGTCTTCGTCACTCTGGATGAGTATTTTGCCGATCCGGATAGATCTACAACAGTCGCGGAGACCTTGTTCCATGGCTTCCCCTGCAACAAGAAAAGCAAACCCGTTCAATGACATGTTGCATTTGTTTGTTTACTCATTGTTTTTCTCTTTACCTTTCGGCAGACTGAACAAGTGTTGCAATTCTAAACAAACACTCACTGAAAAACATGTGCTTGTTTAAGATATTTGGTAGCAAACGACCGTTTTTGAATCAAGGTGTAACGTGGCTCTGTCTGTACATGTCACAAGGTCTTCACCACACACTGAGCCAGGAACCAGATGTGACAGGCTGGGTATCATTTCAAAAGAAGAGCTATTGCGCCGTGAACAAAAAGTCTGCCCTTTAAATTCCAGGTGAAATCACATTTGTAAAAAAATTGAATAAGGTGAAGCCATTGTTGAAAAACATACTTTTAAAAAGTATATATGACGACGGTCTGTAAACATGGTAAATAATCAAGTCTGGACCAGACAATCTAGTGATTGACATCATGAGCATCAATCCACGCAATTGGGATGAGATGACATGCATTAACCAAGTCAGCAAGCCTGACCATCCGATCCTGTTAGTTGCCTTTTACGACAAGCATGGGTTGCTGAATTGCTATTCTAACCTGGATCTTCACAGGTCTTTGAACACATGAACGCACTCAATGAACAGATTCTTAAATAAATCATTTGTTTCATTCAAATGTATTATTCAGGGAGGCACACTCAAATTACAAAGGGCCACACATCTACATTAGTGTAGAAATGCAATAAACAGAATGTGCAATCTTCCATGCCACTACGTCCACAACTGCTGACTAAATGCTGCTGGTAGGTACTAGTTGCCTCACCACTTCTGACAATGCTGACACCACAGTTCCCCTTCTCGTAGCGTAGACCATCGTACGGCTGACCTGGAGGAGTCACAAAATACACGTCTCAATATCTCGGAAACACATGGGCACAAAGATGATGACTAAGGACACACATGTTTAATATTATGTTTCACGGATTTATTTCAGCTTTTCCACACAAGGTTTGTCGAAATAAAAATAAAATTAAATAGCTATGTCATTTATTTATTTATTAATTAATTTATTTATATGACAGTCATTCTGCTGTGGAGTTAAAACTGCAACTGGCTTCTTGAATCACTGATGTAGACATTGAGTTTATATATAACATTCTATATTGTATAAGAGAGTCCATTTTACTAGCAGGAGACAGTACATTTATTTTTGTGTGTTTAATTTATTTCTTGGACCGAATGTTTTTCAGTAGGGGTGGCTGGCACGTGAAACAAAAAATGAAACATGTGCTGACTAAATATTCTCGAAGTGTCATGATTATCATCTTGTATAGTTCATAATCACATAACATAAGCATCTAAATGTCTGATAACTACCCGTATTCATTTCCCATTTAGTGAAGGGTGATGACAAAAGCGCAAGCACGGTGAAAACATGCCGGCATACTATTACGTGCTGCCCAATTCCATTCATGTTTGTGTGTTTGTGTCTCTAGTCCCAGGAAACCTATTCTGAAGCCTAGATGTGAGAATAAACATCACTTAGGGTTTTAGTAGAAACTGTAATACTCAGGGACACATACTGAACAGTGAGTTACGTTGATGTTTATATGAAGCACAGCTGAGTGGTAATTTCCTGCTTGCTGTAGACATACATACATACATACCAGTAGGAGTTGTAACCACACACTTTCTGTAGGGCAGCTGATTCAACCCCTCCTCTACCACCAACCGGATCTGAAATAACAGGCAGGATCTTATACATGATGCACAAGGATTTACACTGTTAACTTAGTAACTTAGTAACTTTGTAACACTGTAACTTGGGAGGGATTAACACTGTTAACTTTGTAACATGCCAGGAATATACTCACTGTATCTTGGGAGGGATATACACTGTTAACTTTGTAACATGTCAGGAATACACACTGTAACAGAGTCTACACCCTTCTCCTTGTACACCCAACCCTGGGAGAGTCTACACCCTTCTCCTTGTACACCCCACCCTGGGAGAGTCTACATCCTTCTCCCTGTACACCCCACCCTGGGAGAGTCTACATCCTTCTCCTTGTACATCCCACCCTGGGAGAGTCTACATCCTTCTCCCTGTACACCCCACCCTGGGAGAGTCTACACCCTTCTCCTTGTACACCCCACCCTGGGAGAGTCTACACCCTTCTCCTTGTACACCCCACCCTGGGAGAGTCTACATCCTTCTCCTTGTACACCCGACCCTGGGAGAGTCGACACCCTTCTCCTTGTATACCACATCCTGGGAGAGTCTACATCCTTCTCCTTGTACACCCCACCCTGGGAGAGTCGACACCCTTCTCCTTGTACACCACATCCTGGGAGAGTCTACATCCTTCTCCTTGTACACCCGTCCCTGGGAGAGTCTACATCCTTCTCCTTTTAAACCCCACCCTGGGAGAGTCTACATCCTTCTCCTTGTACACCCCACCCTGGGAGAGTCTACACCCTTCTCCTTTTACACCCCACCCTGGGAGAGTCGACACCCTTCTCCTTGTACACCACATTCTGGGAGAGTCTACATCCTTCTCCTTGTACACCCCACCCTGGGAGAGTCGACACCCTTCTCCTTGTACACCACATCCTGGGAGAGTCTACATCCTTCTCCTTGTACACCCGACCCTGGGAGAGTCTACATCCTTCTCCTTTTAAACCCCACCCTGGGAGAGTCTACATCCTTCTCCTTGTACACCCCACCCTGGGAGAGTCTACATCCTTCTCCTTGTACACCCCACCCTGGGAGAGTCTACACCCTTCTCCTTGTACACCCCACCCTGGGAGAGTCTACATCCTTCTCCTTGTACACCCCACCCTGGGAGAGTCTACATCCTTCTCCTTGTACACCCCACCCTGGGAGAGTCTACATCCTTCTCCTTGTACATCCCACCCTGGGAGAGTCTACACCCCTCTCCTTGTACACCCCACCCTGGGAGAGTCTACATCCTTCTCCTTGTACACCCCACCCTGGGAGAGTCTACATCCTTCCTCTGTACACTCCATTAACAGACTCCCATCATAGTAAGTCTCAGAACTTTTCAGCCAGCTCCTGTACAAATGAATGTGTGCAAAAAATGTCCCAATTTGAGAACATTTACTTACTAATCGATCAGCATAAAAGATGAAATCACTGCGTGATGTTGATCTGAAAAGAAAAAAATAACTGGGAGTCAGCATAGTGATATGACTACAGGAAACTGGACTGAACTCTTTGACAAGTTCAATCAAAAATGCAGACAAACATGGGCGTGTGAAGGTCAACAGATTTCAATATTAAGATCAGTAAAACTAGGTCACACCAAACAAACACTTTATTCTTAAACAAAGACAGTGGCATCACTCCTTCGGTTTGGTTTGGTGTTTTTCGTCCCACTCAGCAATATTCCAGCTTTATGACGGCAGTCTGTAAATAATTGAGTCTGGACCAGACAATCCAGTGATTGACATCATGAACATCAATCCACACAATTTGGATCGATGACATGCATCAACCAAGTCAGTGAGCCTGACCACCCGATCCCGTTAGTAGCCTTATACAACAAGCATAGTCGCCTTTTACGGCAAGCATGGGTTGCTGAAGACCTGTTCCACCCAGGATCCTCACGAGTCTCACTCTTTCGGATAGACATGGTAGAAAGCAGCAGTAGAAATTGGCATTATTCCTATAGTCCTTGTGAAATTACCCATTAGTTATGGTATCATAAGGACTAGTACCAGTAGGAGGTTGCCATTTTTAAGGGTTTTGCTATAAGTTATTGTAAGGACAAGTGGACTAAAAATGTTTTTATTGCTGGAAAGTTGTAAAATATACCTTCACACAGAACAAAACTATCTTAGAACAAATTTGTTTGTTTATTTGTTGTTTAACGCCGCACTCAGCAATATCCCAGCTACATGACAGCGATCTGTAAATAATCTGACTGATACCGATTTATAGTGCTAGCCCACTGAGATACCCTGCCGCAGTTTAACATGAATACCCCACTCAGACACAGTATACTGACTCAGAGCCGACCAGTCCTTGTTTTAGCCCTTTAATGCCGAGCGCCAGACAGGGTATAAACAAGTACCATCTTTTAACGTCTTTTGGTATGACGAGGCCGGGGATTGAACCCCGGACCTTCCGCTCTCCGGGCGGATGCTCTACCACTGGACCACGGAGACGGTCAAAACATGCTGAAAGCCAAGAAACCTGGAGCGTAGAGACATTGAAAGTAATGTGTTCTCTATACCACCTATTGTTTTACAAATCTTAATATTGCCCTTGATATGTCTCAGTGAACGGTTGTGACTATTATATGTGGTGTCAAGCACTGGATTGTCTGGACCAGACTCGATTATTTACAGACCGCCGTGATATTGCCGGAATATTGCTGAGTGCGGTGTTAAACCGCCACTTTTTCCTCCAGGAGGGAACGGAAGGCCTGTCAACTTTGAGACACAGCACAGGTCACACATTTGACCTCATAGGGACAATTACACTCTTTATGTAAACAAAACACAATCACTTGTCTGATAAGGATACTGTATTGCCATAGTCAGCTATATGATGCCAAGAGTTTCAATACTGTTTTATGCTTTTGAAATTTTTTAATTTTCCCCAAAGAAATTAATTGCAGTTTTAGAAAGAATATCAATGATCATATATATACAAAGAGAAAAATAACAAAGTCAGTTCACCACCACTTGTGTCCCATATATGGCTCATTTATCTTATTTGGGTATTTTGTTCGCACAAGTGTCAACACACATTCCGGCATTATTTGTCTGTGATAGAAGACAACATGCTCCCCATCACCCAGTTTGATCTTCTTTTGAACATATGCTGGTATTTTCCACCCGTTACAGTTGTCAATTATTTTCTAGAATTAATAGTAGAGAGCCTTTCTGATGGTGCAGTTAAAACAGTAGGGGCATGTGCCCTCCTCCATTCGATTGTCACCCTCGGGATATGCCTGATTAGCAATGTCCTGTTCCCCGGGAATAGTGGAGTCCACTTGAATTTGTTCAATGACATGTGTATATGCTTATGTTTTGTAAATACATTTTTTGTTATTATATATATAGTGCATGTAACTATTCTATAAACTGACATGGTTATAAGGAACATTATTTGGTGATTAATGTATATAAGTTATTTGATTAGGATATGCACTTTGACTGGATATATTCTTATTATGCAGTTTTAATTATTATGAACTTTGTAGCCCACATACCTGTTGTCCTGTGATGTTCCGTAGAAGCCATATGTTTTTGACCTGACATGAGATCATGCCCCTATGTATGTATGTATGTATGTATGTATGTATGTATGTATGTATGTATGTATGTGCTGCTTATTTATATGCCATTGGGTTTGCTGAGGAAACTGTATTTATCGTCATGTACATAATACATAGACATAATTTAGAAGTGAGATCTGTTTTGTTATATTTCAATTGTTTTAATATGTACACTTGTTATAGTGATACATTTACTCAAGCCAACAAACGGAAAGAAAGTATTGTGTATTTAGGAGATTTCATTATGTTATGCTGCCTTGGACCTGAGAATTGTCCGCAGTCACCAGCTGAGAGGCAGAGGGCCACACGACCCCTTATCCATAATTATATGTGGCAGAGGAATGTAATGTTTAGAACATAAAGTGGGAAGCCGATTTGGGTGCTGAAAGGCTGCAACTGGCGGTTTAAACAACAAACACACACACACACACAAATATCACCGCATTCACACAAACATTGAAAATTAAAATCATGAAACTCTTGTATTGATATGTCTTGATATCATGGGCTTTAGCATCTTTGCACCCCTGTAAAGCAAAAACGTGGGGTTTTCAGATATCAGCAAATATAGTATCAAGAAATAATATGTACTGTTTTGAAATATTGAAACAAGGAATGGGACACCAATTATGAGTTTGTAAACAAATGATGCCAGATTTTGAGTGCACTTGCAAAAAATATAGGAAGCGGTAGAAACTAACATGTTTAGACCTCTAGTCCTCATAATGGTATCATATAGCATAACACTAAAAAATGGCAAACTTTTAGGAGTTTTCAATACCTACTAACGATACAATAGGAACTACTGGGCAGTTTGGCAAGGACAAACAGGACTAGTGCCAATTTCTAACGCTGTATAGGTACTGTATACAGTCTCTTGACTGACAACTCATAATTTGTAACCTAACCATGCCTCTATCTACTAAACTGACAAGTTATGACAACACATTTCTACAGGGAAATCATAGTCACATCCCACGATACAGAAACAACACACAGTAACTCTCGGAAGACCAATGTCAAATGATGCATACACAACTTCCTTGTCACACAAATCATAACATAGTATACATCAGTATACATCAGTGTACATGGTGTAGTTGGAATGTATGGTGCGACCTGAGAATATATAAACAACCCAGCCATTGTCATGGACTTGTATCTATTATCTGGGCTGGCTCTGACATGACGTTTTTGTTTGTTTGTTTGTTGTCAAGGGGCCACATTCAGCAATATTCCAGCTATATGACAGCGGTCTGTAAATAATCGAGTCTGGAACAGACAATCCAGTGATTGATATCATGAGCATTGATCCATGCAATTGGGATATGATGACATGCATAAACAAAGGCAGTGAGCCTGACCACCAAATCCCATTAGTCACCTCTTAAGACAAGTATAGTCGTCTTTTACGGCAAGCATGGGTTGCTGAAGACCTATTCTACCCCGAATCTCCACGGACCTCTGGCATGACATATTTCACTGATAACAGGACCAATAAATTGGAAGGTTTTTTTTTTACAATATTGTATTGAATGTAATCACGACAATGCTAAAATACCTGCTATGGACATTTAGTATGCACATGTCGCTATCCCTGTAATTCTGTATGCTGGGTAACTACTGTAAACATGGTAAAGTTAGCACTACTACATATACATATCTTCGTGAATTTCATCACAAACAGGGAATACTGCTGGAAAAGTGGTTAGGGTCGGCACCTAACATCAGTGTTCCTGCTTGGTACTGAAGCTGCCCGCCCCCTATAGTCCTTGCCAAACTGCCCAATAGTTAAGGTGTCATAAGGACTGGTACAAATTTTAAGGGTTTTGCTACAGGTTATCATCAAAGGGACAAGTGGACTAAAAATGTTAGTTTCTATCAGTATCACTGTAACAATTGATATTTAGCTTTGAAACAAAGAGAAGTGTTATTTCCTTGCACTAACAAGAGTTATCAGAAGATGACAAATCCTCCCGGCCCCCACAATAGCAATACCACTATACCCCCACCCACCCATATGACGGGGAGGTGGGACAAAAATAGAGAACAGATCAAATGACTGCTAATGTTGACACCAGTGCCACCTCACAGCCAGTATGAGAAATATAGAATCTCACTCGAGTGTCTTTTGATATCAAATATATCAGCACAAGTTGATATACTTGATATCAAAAGACAATCAGGTGTGATTTTATTTATCATCCAACATCATTCTTCCAACTTTTTTCAGCTTGTAGACAGTATAAGTAGTGTCTAAATGAAAAATGTACTGCTAACAGCTTCAGTAGAGAAGCCTTTAGAGATGTCATTTGATTGTGACGTCATGGTAACCAATGATGTCGTAATAGTCTGCAAAGTCTTGTGATGCAATTCATTGCAGCAATATCTACAATGTTGATATCGCTTGATCTCACACAAGCTATATCTCCTGCCAGTTTTGGATGATAAACAAAATTCTTTGTTTATTATAAATGAGCACAAATACAGTATTCACAACAAATGATCAATGTAAAATATGGCTGCTAAATAAAATGTAGGGAATAACTACTTTTCTCCACTGAATCAAACTTAAATTTGAAATACGCAATCATACATTCAAATTCTTCAACGTAGACACGCCAAAAAAACGGACTATAGGCCTGTAGGTCTAACATACGGAGCTAGAGCTGTCTACTGACTTCACCGCCCGATATATCTGTGATGTTATAAATACATAACAAAAACCCTAAATGAATATGTAATATTGCTATTTACGACCGACGGACACACGTAATGAACAATCGGTTAAGGTGATATCTAGGCCTAACGTGGGTTAAACACCTAGGCTAGTTCTTACAAAGATGCTGTGTTGACCATGTTGACGATATTTAGTATTTGTCATCTCAACAAAGACTCCCGCTAAATTTGACAGCCCGCCTCCTTTGAACCCGAGGCCATATCTCACCGAATCTGACGACCGGGTGACTGTTAACAAACGACTCTTGGATAATATTATAGAATTAAATAACATACAGTGAAACAGTATTTCGGAGATAATTCGGCAAGACCGGCAATATTCTAACCTTCTGCGTGGTGTGCCATGTGGTCATGTTGATTTCAATTTATCAATGGAAAGGACATTGCTTTCATCACTTACTTGTCCCTCAAAACAGTTTGTAATTCTCGAACATTGTCTGTTATTTTCAGTGTCTTCAGATTTGCTCCCAGGTCACAATCATCAGCAAGATTTGAAAGAGAATTGGGGATAACGTCTGGCTCCATGTTGAGATGTTTTCCGCTAGCATGCAACTCCGACGGTTTACCCACCAGTGCACGTCACTCCGTCAAAACAAAATAGTTCCCCTACTGAATCATGTCAATAGAATATCAAGGTCTTCAACTGTATTGCGATTACTTATTATAATTATAGGTACAGTCGATACCACAAATATTATTATTATTCCCCGATATCTCTTTCACATAAACATGTTGTCGTTGTGTGACAAATTCACCTTTAACCTACACAATTTGTGTTTATACGCTGAGACAAGGAAGAAGATAGGTCCACAGAATTTGGGTGGGAAGAGTGGAGGGATAAATGTCTGATCTTAAATAATAATCTATTTACATTTTACGTGATGCATCAAATAGCTGCAAATTAAGAACACAAATGAAAAGGCAACCCTATTAAACACTTCTTATGGTGGATACGATCTCGCTTGTGAATAACGAGGCTTTGCAGGAGTCGGACGCTCTACCATTAGACTACAGGGACAAACGTTTACGAGCGCGTTATTACACATAATATACATTTTCCATTGTACCATTAAAGTAATTATTATAGTAGCACCACTCCTTTCTGGAGATTGGCGTCAATTAACGCTATGGGACAATGTTGTTTTCTAAGACGTGGTCGTGAGCAGTGCATGTTTTGTAAAGGGGAGATGAAAAGGGTTAAGAAATAATAGGTTTTTTTGTTTGTTGTATAACAGGCACTCGGCAGTATTCCAGCTATATGACGGTCCTGACCAGACACTCCAGTGATTGACATCATGAGCATCGATCTACGCGGATAGGATAGCCAAGTTAGCGTGCCTGACCACCCGATTCCGTTACTCGCCTCTTACAAGCATGGTCGCCTTTTTGGACACGAATGGGTTACTGAAGATCTATTCTTACCCTTCAAAGATTAAATACTAGTTAATAAAGTTGTTTTTTTACACTCGCATGTGTAAATTCATAATTACCCTCGCTCTCGCTCGAAAATACATATGAGTTCTGGAACTCGTTTCGTAAAATCAGTTTCACACATATGCACGAATGATCATGTCTCTTTAAAAATAGTACTATCCATATGCAAGTAGTCAATGTAAGAGATAATAGAAACACTTGCGAACACACATGTGAAACAAGAAAACTTTGATCCTGAGGATCAACACGGCACATACCTACCTATACCTATTGATGCAAGTATACCTATATATACTGTCATAACCCAGGAGACAAAACAAATTGCAATTGCTTCCTTCAAAATGAGGAATGAGAATATGGCACATTTCTGTTTAAATATTTATGAAATATGAAATAAGAAAACATACTTATTATGAAACCAAAACTAGTAATATGTTTTCACAACAATGACTTCCTGAAACGTTTGTTATTGTTTTCAAGGAACAAGCGGTATTAAGTTGACACAATACTTGATACTGTTGACATTTAACCACGAACCACACTTCTATGAGAGTTACCTCCCTCATGCTTACAGTGTTACTCCTGTAGCATGACACGTCAATTATTCACGCTGTCCAAAAGTGTTCATACCCCGTTATCGTAGCGTGAGTGAGTATGGTTTTACGCCGCTTTTATCAATATTCCAGCAATATCACGGCGGGGGACCGTTACAGTAGATAGACAGTATGCCCATAACACGTATTTATTAATAATCATTTCAAATCTTTCATTTTAAGAGGCTTTGTCATGCAAGTCACTGTGTTGTATCCTTGGACAATGTAATTGACTCCACTTGTTCTGCTGTGATATGAATGAAACAGCTGTTAACTATGATGTAAACATCATATACCCTTTCTTGAAAAAAAAGAATAAATATATTGCAATAAAACGTTACCAAACAACATTGTTTGATCCTTAAAACAGAACCAATGTCAAGGAAGACACTTGTATTGTCAAGAGAAATGAATTATCAACATCATTACAAGCTATTAGGTTAATGAGAACAAAAATGAAGGTATTGTGTCCACAGATTAAAGGATGGGGTCGGGTATTCAGTAACTGGTCAACCATGAAGACTGAAATCAGCACATGGAACTTTGATAATTCAGAATGTCATAATTGTCAGTCAGTTTTGTGTATCATTTTAAAAAAGTACGAGAATCTGTAAATTGTAATCTCAAATATAACATTTGTTAAATTTGACCACTTTCTAAATGGCATTGTGTGTTCATAATTTGGTGTATGTACATCGCGGGCATCAACTCGACGACGGGCAGAAGATGGGAGACGTCTGATCACAAGAAATGGAAATCAACGCCATTCTTCTCAGAGGGCCTGCGCTAACTGATCCTTGTTATTAGTGCATTGACAGGGCTACAGATGCTGCATTGACCGGGCTACAGATGCTGCATTGACAGGGCTACAGATGCCGCATTGACAGGGCTACAGGTGGTGCATTGACAGGGCTACAGATGGTGCATTGACAGGGCTACATATGCCGCCTTGACAGGACTACAGATGCCACCTTGACAGGACTACAGATGCCGCCTTGACAGGGCTACAGATGCTGCCTTGACAGGGCTACAGATGCTGCCTTGACGGGGCTACAGATGCCGCCTTGACAGGGCTACAGATGCCGCCTTGACGGGGCTACAGATGCCGCATTGACAGGGCTACATATGCCGCCTTGACAGGGCTACAGATGCCGCCTTGACAGGGCTACAGATGCCGCCTTGACGGGGCTACAGATGGTGCATTGACAGGACTACAGATACCGCATTGACAGGGCTACATATGCCGCCTTGACAGGGGTATAGATGCCGCCTTGACGGGGCTACAGATGGTGCATTGACGGGACTACAGATGCCGCATTGACAGGGCTACATATGCCGCCTTGACAGGGCTACAGATGCCGCCTTGACGGGGCTACAGATGCCGCATTGACAGGGCTACAGATGGTGCATTGACAGGGCTACAGATGGTGCATTGACAGGGCTACAGATGCCGCCTTGACAGGGCTACAAATGCCGCCTTGACAGGGCTACAGATGCCGCCTTGACAGGGCTACAGATGCCGCATTGATAGGGCTACAGATGGTGCATTGGCAGGGCTACAGATGGTGCATTGACGGGGCTACAGATGGTGCATTGACAGGGCTACAGATGGTGCATTGACGGGGCTACAGGTGGTACATTGACAGGGCTACTGATGCCGCCTTGTAGGGGCAACAGAAGCCGCATTGACGGGGCTACAGATGCCGCATTGACGGGGCTACAGATGCCGCATTGACAGGGCTACAGATGCCGCCTTGACAGGACTACAGATGCCGCATTGGCAGGGCTACAGATGCCGCATTGAAGGGGCTTAGTCAGCACTCAAAGAATACAGAAAACATAGTCCAATGGAGTCAGGGTCCATCATTTATTATCCCTATGACATTACAACTGTGATATGTTGGTTATTCATACGGAATATTTCCTGCAAATGTACCCTTTGTATGACTGTAGAATTTGGGATTCGATTAGGTAGTGAGTTGCCACTTAGCCAGCAGCATTAAACAGAGTAGACGCCAGCTTGCGCGAAGTTGATAGACGCCCAGGCTTCTGATAGAGAAAACACAGTCCGAACAGAGCCCCCCTTTAATAATACCAAACAGAACCACCCACCATCCTGTGCTATCAACAACTCTATTCAATGGACCTACATTGTTTGGTTTGTTCCAAGACGCTTGACCTACATTGGAATGTTTCTAAAGGACTTAACGCAGGGATGGTTTTCTGGGGCACTCAAGTACAAAAGTCACAAGAAGAACCAGAATGAACCAAACTTATAACTATGGCCACTAAGGGAGACTATATTAGTCACGGCCAGGTGCCCCTGTCTTGTCTAGATCTTGACGTTGTATATTTAAGCTTTTGTCCCGTGTTTGGGAACTTGATTATACCTTAATAAGAAGCAAAGGAACGATTGCAGTCAAGCAGTGTACCGTCAGTGGTGTTGTGTTTTATAATACAGAATACAAGAGATAGAATAGCAATATGTTTACTAAATCCAACTAACAACACCATCAACTTACCAGCTTGTACAGTTCTTGCAACAGTACGTGAAGTAGATGTCAGTTCCATTCAAACTTTGCACGAGGAAGATGATTCAGCAAACATTGTGTCTATCTCAAGTAACAACAACAGCCAAGGTAAATCTACCAATCATATCGACTATGATCTTTCCACTTCTGATCTCTCACCTCTACAAAAGAACCAAATGAACACTTTTCTTCAAGACAACAGAGAACTTGTACCACCACAAGATAGAAACAGGGGATGCTCGACCCATACGACTCCCGTGTTATAGACAGAATACAGAAATTCGAAAAGAATGTTCCAGACAGGTACAAGACATGCTAGTCATTAAAATCCCGATTACTTAAGGCTAGGTTTGAACAGATAGTTTGGAAGTTAGTAACCGACTATTTAATTTACGTGTGCGCATTGGACGCGTATGTGCGTGCGTGCGTGCGTGCGTGCGTGCGTGCGAAACTACATCGATTATGTTTCAGATCTGCCCCAACCATTGGTGTGCCTGGTCCAGACACGATCATATACAGCTGGAATAAAGCTGACCCGGGGGTGGGGGGTGGTGGGTGGGTGGGTGGGTGGTGGGTGGGTGGGGGTGGGGGTGGGGTGGGGGGGGTGGGGGGGGGGTGAAACAAACTTTACTCGATCGTATTTTTGATCGAACAAAGAAGCAAACAAACAGCTGTTATTCACGGGTATTCCTTACCCGTATTCCTCACGGGTTTTCCTCACGGGTATTCCTTATATGTTCTCAGCCAAGGATACTTACAGGCCTAAAAAGTCACAGCCAGTTAGAGCTATATAAAAGCTTAGGCCCAAACATATACTGCTTACCACTAATTAGTTAATGGAATTCTATTGCATATGACTTTGAACTGTGTTACGTCATCCGATAATAGTTATCAAACGAGACAAATATCTTAAATGCAACTTTTAAAATAGAGATGATATGTGTCATTAGCTGAGTGTGTGTGGTTTCATCAGATGAACGTTCGTGCACAACCCCGAGCTTCTGTCTCTGTGTGTAGGTGGAGTATATTCAGCTGGTTAAAACCCCGTACACTCCGATATTGCATGGCACGTACGTCTCATTGTCTGCGATGTCATAATAATAATAATCATTATCACACATGTCCATGTTGTGGTATGATGATGATGATGATGATAACAGTAACACGTAAAGGGCTACTATGCTTGTAAGAGGCGACTAACGGGATCGGGTGGTCAGGCTCGCTGACTTGGTTAATGCACGTCATCGATTCCAATTGTGTGGATCGATGCTCATGATGTTAATCACTGGATTGTCTGGTCCAGACTCGATTATTTACAGACCGCCGTCATGTAGCAGGAATATTGCTGAGTGCAAACAAAACAAACAAACAAGACCTGCATCACTTCTTTCTCGGGATTTCCTCTCACGGGCTCACACGCGGCGCTGAACCAAACTCACTCACTCACTCTTTCATTCCAAGGATGTTTAAGTAAAACACTACTACTAAGGAAATGCATGCAGTCCCAGTCAATAATACAGGTTACAGTTCTACAAGAAATAAAACAAACAACACCGAAAGAGAATAACGAAACCAATATGATACATTAATATCACTATATGTAGAACATAACTATATTTAAAAAGACACTTTTGTCATCGTCGAGGGTGTACTTGTGGTACCTGAACGACCATGTTCTGCTGCTGGTGTTTAACAAACATATCATCCTGTGTGACAATGAGTTGTCATAAATTGCCACCAGTTGTATAAACCCTGCCCCCAGCATCTACCGTGGACGCTATGAAGGACTGATCACGAGTGCGTGTCAGCTGCTGTGACACATCTGTGCAGGTGTTAAAGCGGCACGGGTAAATGTGCTTACATCAGCAGTAAGGAAAGTGTGCGTATATAGGCGAATCCAGAGGGTTGGTCCAGGAGGTCCAGGGGGTCCTTTCAAAACCATATGTTGTGGGCAGTAAAGTTAACTGAGAGAGGATTTTGATATTTTGGGCCCCTCCATTTTAAAAATGATGTATCCGCCCTTGGTGTGTGTGTGTGTGTGTGCGTGTGTGCGTGCGTGCGTGCGTGCGTGCGTGCGTGCGTGCGCGCGCGCGCGCCTGCGTCTATGTGTGGATCATAAGATGAACGTTTTGCCCGTACATGAGACGGGCTGTGATAATATGTTTGAAAAATAAGTGTGAAGCGATAACAGGCCACCGTATCTTGTCCAGGATGCCGTCATCCCCATTACCGGGATTCCACTGGGGATGAGTTACAATGTGTGAAGTACATTGTTGCAGCCCTTGGCCCTGATATTAATGAAAAGTTGCTATAAAAGCGGCGCAGAAACCAAACTCACTCACTCCTTCCCTGAGACCAAGCGACAAATGAGCTACTGCTGTATAGACAATCGCCTCCGTAGCCTAGTGGAGCGTCTGCTCGGGCAGTGAAGGGTTGGTGGATCGATTCCCTGCAGCGTCAAACCAAACGCTAAAGATGGTACTTGCTGTTACCCTGCCTGGCGCTCGGCATTATGGGGATAAAAACATGGACCGGCTGAACTCGGAGTCAGTACACTGTGTCTGAGTGGGGTATTCATGTTGAAGTGCGGCATGGTATCTCAGTGAGCTAGCACTATAAAACCGACATCAGTCCGGACTAGTACACGCACGTCGCTATATAAGTGCAATCATCTTGAACGCGACGTTTAACTCTATTTCACCTCACCACCTATTACTACTTCCTGACAGAATGGTGGCGATTTAAAGAGCGCTTCCAACTATTGCTGATTTTACGACCTGTGGTGATCTTTTATACGGACGTGCGGCCGGGTCAGATTCAACACTAAGACTGACTTGAGTAACTGAAGGTAGTCTTTCTATACGCACTTGGGATACATATGTAATAGATCTGGTAAGTATAGTTTGTTGCTAAACGACGTACTTAGCAATGCTACAGCTATGTGACGGCGCTCTGCAAATACGAGGTCTGGTTAAAAAGTGGTCTAGTGGTAGAGCGTCCGCCCGGAGAGCGGAAGGTCCGGGGTTTGATCCCCGGCCGCGTCATACTAAAAGATGGTACCTGTTGTTACCCTGTCTGGCGCTCGGCATTAAGGGGCTAAACAAGGACTGGTCGGCTCGGAGTCAGTATACTGTGTCTGAGTGGGATAGTCATGTTAAACTGCGGCCTGGTATCTCAGTGAGCTAGCACTATAAATCGGCATCAGTCCGGACTAATACAAGCAGCCACACACACACACGTGCATGCACATCGCTATATAAGTGCAGTTATATAAGTGCCATATTCTTAGACGTGACCTTAAACCCAATTTCACCTCATATCACATCTAAGCATGAGTAACATTCAACTATGGGCCGTAATAAAGTGAACTAGTCAGTGTTCGAGTAGTTCATTGCAAGTGTATTTGGTCTGTTGAGGCCATTTGTATATTAGTGACAGCCAGATGAACGTGATAGGGGGTCAGATGGACACAGAAATGGAGAAGAACGAGTACGGAGCAGTCATCACGTGTTTTTACTTCAGAGAAAAGTACTCTCCAAGAAATTCAGGACCGCATGTCACAAGTGTATGGATATAAGTGCCCTAGCTATTCCACTGTTAATCGCTGGGCAGCTATGTTTATGGCTGGCTGGGAGAACAAACCTTGATGATGACCCTAGGTCTGGACGTCCCTCAACTTCCACCAATGAAGATTCAATCAAGGAGATAGAAAAACTTATACTGTCAGATAGACGTATTACCATTGCTGAACTTGAGGAAGCCATATTATTCATGAACATTTTTACAGAGGGTTACAAAGGGTGTGATCCTTGTTGATTACTTAGAAAGTCAAAAGACGATTACGGTACCTACTATGCTGATTTGCGTCATCGCCTGAGAGATTCTATATAAAAACAAACAAACGAAAACAGGTGAGGAATGCTGACTGCTGGAGTTTTACTACTTCATGACAATGCCTCTTCTCACACCTCTTGACTTGCAAGTGACAATGTGGGTTCAAAGAACTTCCTCAAATTCCATACCAGCCAGCCCTGGCACAAAGTGATTTCCACCTGTTTCCTGAACTGAAAGAATACCTTGTTGAAAGCGCTATGACGACAACGATGATCTCAAAGCTGCCGTGAATGGGTTTTTCAGGGCGGCTTCAGAAAACTTCTTCCTGACTGATAGCTTCACTATCGATATGAGAAGTGTATTGAAAAGTAGGGAGATTATGATGAAAAATACAATTTTAAAAGGCTTTCACAATTGTTGGTTTTATTTGTTAGGTTTAGGGCTTTTTGACCAGCCCTCGTAATCCAGTCCGGACCAGACAACCTTGTGAGTGTTTGGCCATGAGCATCGGTCCACGCAGTTGAGATATACCGACACGCAGTCAACCAAACCACCGAGCCAGACCACCCGATTCATTTTGTCGCATCTTTTGACAACAATAGGTTCCTGGGTAGCTAAAGTCTTCCCCGGAATATATTACAATAATAATGAGAGGTCGATTTCAACGAGCCTTGATCTCGGGTCCAATTTATATTTTCAAATACAGTAAACTACGGTTATAACGAACTATAAAGGACCACTAATTTTAGTTCGTTATAACCGTAGTTCGTTTTATAAGCATTTTCACACCATATCTACAGTAGTTGGCCGGGACCATAAAATAAGTTCGTTATATCGGTTAGTTCGTTATAAGCGTGTTCGTTATAAACTTAGTTTGCTGTATACACGTTTTTTTAAAAATTTCTTGGTGTGAGTATTTTGTTTGTTTGTACTTTAGCGCTGCACTCTGCAATATCCCAGCTATAGTATGCCGGACCGTACATAATCGTGCCTGCACCCACACCAGTGATTGATATTATGCCGGATATTATTTCATCTCCTCGTACGACAAACATATGTAATTGGGGGTCTATTCTGTCTGAATGAGTGTTTGAAGCTGTAGCACAAATTTTCAGATATTTACGGTAATAGGCCTTCAGTGGATGTGACACAATTAAGTCTACCCATTGCAACTTATACGACGGCTGTCAACTATCGTGTCTGAAGCTGACAAAATATCTCAATCTCTGAATCTCCCGAGTCGACCAAGTCTAAACATGACAGTGCAGGTGGTGGATTGTAAAAACACGAAGGGCTATTTTGGTACATTTTACAAGTCTCGCCCTACTTTATGTACACACTGATAAAGGTTCATGTACGGTATTCACACTAGTATTTATTTTTGTTTTTCAATATTACAAAGGTATATATTCGTTTGATTCATATATCATTTGCTGCCCATACATGACATACAAAACGTTGTTGGTGGGGTGTCGATTGCTTATAGTACCATTTCTACAAGTCATATTACAACATCACCATAAATATTAAACATACACCTCCAGTATCCCCACCCTTATATTTTACCGACATGCCAGACGATTTCTCCCGATCCAATTCCACATCTTTGTTGCATTGTTCATTCCAAGGTTTGTAGTTTACCCAAGGGCAGGTCACTCCAACTTGAGTTTATGCCCGTGGGTGGACGACCGTAAGCAATGGCAGGGATTGCAACGGTTCTGTTTCGGGGGGCCTGTTACTCGCCCAGCTTGCAGAAGTGTGGTTTATGTCATACAAATATACCACGGTCATTCTGTATTTTAGTGAAAAGTCCAAAGCAGCTACTGACACCCAAGGTTCACAATGGAATCCGTCAAAACGTAGGTCAAACTAAAATACATTGTCATTAATGTCACTGTCAGTATCAATTCTGCGATTCCGCCATCGAGGAAAGATTTCCAGAAATTGTAACTTATCGCAGAATTTCAAAAAATATCGCGGAATTGACCCTTTTTATCAATGAATACACTAATTTCCATTATTTTCAAGCGTTTGTATGAAATTTTGCACTCGCATCATGCCCAAAACATAACATGCGATTGAAATAGACGAAATATAATTCCACAATAACACAAAATTTGAAATAAATAATTCTCACTGCTAAAAGTTCTTGTCGGATTATGACTACACATACTATGTTTCCATTTTACCATACATATACTTTTGCATATTGGTTTTGCAAGCACCTAAGAAGTATTTCTTATTAAATGTCTAATTAACAACAATCCAAATACACTAAAATTAAGCCTTAACCTTGAGAACATTTATTTCTGTTTACACTTGTTTGGTCAAATGACAATGTCTTGTTAATTTTATAGCGATAATGCCTAGCCCAGTAAGATGAGTCAGTCAGGCGCAATTTTGTAACCTTCACATGATATCGCCGTGGGCGCTTATTAGAATGGAGCGCTTAATACATCGAATACGGTATATCAAAATTAGAAATGCTTTCATAAACTGGCACTTGCTACAAGAAGTGCCGCCACAGGCTATATATATAGTAGTGGTGGGATCATACACTGATGTGTGTAGTGAAATTTATTAGTTGAAAAGTGAATAGGGCCATACTTGACAAAAAAACAAACTGCCAACTGTAAATCGTCAGTGTGCCAGGAATTTGACAATCCTGCCTATGAAAAATATGGCTTAGGGATCATAGATGAGAGCACATGCAAGTATTGTGATTCGTATCGGATTGTGACCAAGGTATCGTGATACGCATCAGATCGCACAGTTGGTGTATCGTCCCAGCCCTAATATTTAGTAAACAAGTATTGAAAACTCCCAGCATTGCTTGGCTGATTCAGTGACATTGTATATAGAGATGATAGATCCCTGAGAGGAAATTATGCACACTCGATGCCCCCAATTACCCTGTTTTTAGGCTGACATCAGATGGAATTGTTTTGCCAGCTTTTACTTGTACACCCTAAAAAGTATTTTCTATTTGACATAGTTATATTAGTGAACAAAATACTGCCTACTATCTGAACGATAAAATTGTATATAAATATATTGATTTGTATGCTTATGTGTCATGTTACATATTCAATATGAAAAATATCATGTTATGAATGATGGAAATATTAATTTCAATATGTCATCTAAAGATGGCAGAGAGGTACACACATGCACAAATAAAAAGGGCATTACTCTCCTATGCTTCAAACTAGGCCAGTGTAACTCGGCATAGAATAGTAGATATGTATTATACTGACCAAAGGCTTGCATTGCAATTTGTATTCCTAATGTATGATATTTAGGATACAGAAATTACTCAGCTAATGATCTCTAGCTGTTGGAATCACAACTGTCTTTTTCTGTTTTAGTGTGGAAAACATGGTGGATGGAACAAGTACATCACAAAGTCATATTTGTTTCGAAAGGTTGGTTCAGTCTGATGTATGCTAGCAACATAGAGCTGTCATCATAAACTTCTGATTATCATAATGCAGTCCCTGTCCTGCATGATTATTAACTTGTTTTTTTTATGATATGATAATAATAGGCTATTTGTATTGCGCATATATCCACACCACTCAGGGGCATGTTTGAAGCGCTATTGTTACCCCGGTCACTGGATCAATGTGCACTCACAAATAATTCTCAGATCCCTGGGGAGTATACAACCAAAGCTTCCTGTTATGTGCCATCTCATCTACCGGGTACCCACTGCTGGGTGAACAGAGGCACATTTTGAACAAGTCACTTGCCCAAAGAGATGATTAGCGTAGTATATTTTACAATTGTACCTTTAGGCCAGACTGTTTTTGTTTCACAGATTTTGATAGAAAAATATTTAGTCTGTAATATATCAAAAAATATTGGCCTGCTTGGGTCTTTTTAAAGATTATAATTATTTAACTAGTAATGATGATTTATGAGACAAAAATTCTGTTTTTGCCATTAAAAGTTCTTGGATTATTTTGATTGTCAAAGTAATCTTTATTGAATTGTTTGATAGGCATTACTTAGAAGTTGACGGATGACAAAGTAGACACAATTTATGGATAACAACTTCTTTATTTTACTGTAATGGCAATGTTTAAGTATAGATCCTTATACGTTGTCAAGCAAAGCAAGTATCTATACCGAAACGTCACCTTCACAGTATTAAAGAAGTTGTTATCCATAAATTTTGTCTACTTTCTAATCTTTACTGTCGGTGGTATTAAAAAAATACTTGTCCATGTGATTTTTTTTCTTCTCTGAATTTTTTTTTTAAGGTCAGCGATCCACAAACCAAGCAAAAACAATGTAAGGCTTTACTTAGATAATGTATATGTTGCCTTAGTTACAGTGTTACAGAATTATCTCTATCTATCATTGATCATTTTCAGTTATTACCGCAAAAGGTTGGCAAGAGAACTTGTTTTCACCCCGGGGCCTCTACTCTTGCACCTAATGAAATTAATTCAACTAAGAAAGAAGTTAGTGGGTGGGACATAGTGAAGGCCATGATGACCTATATCTGGCCCAAGGACAAGCCCGGGATCAAGGCCAGAGTGGTGATTGCAGTGGGGCTTCTCATTGGGTCCAAGGTGAGCAGAACATCAAGTCTTTGTTTACCATATTTATGGGGGTTTATTGTGTAATAAATATATTGCAAGTGATTCCATGACATTTGATTGGCTAACCAAGCCATTGTTTATGTTTCCATAAACAGAAAAAAATTGGCCACACCAACTAACGGACACCTGTTTCCTGATTGGCTGATTTTTGAATGAACGGGGCTTGTGTTGCATTATCGCCCTGTACGATGTCACTGATTTCGTATTGTTGTCTACAGTTTTTGTGTGTGTTAATGAATGCATAAGCAGTGTTTAAAGTTATTACTGCTGACCTATCTATTTTTGAGAATTGGTTGTTGCATCGTATTCCAACTGCGTAGATCGATGCTCATGGTTACAATCACTTGATTGTCTAACGTCCGCCCGGAGAGCGGAAGGTCTGGGGTTCGATCCCCGGCCGCGTCATACCAAAAGACGTTAAAAGATGGTACTTGTTGTTACCCTGTCTGGCGCTTGGCATTAAGGGGCTAAAACAAGGACTGGTCAGCTCGGAGTCAGTATACTGTGTCTGAGTGGGGTATTCATGTTAAACTGCGGCATGGTATCTCAGTGAGCTATCACTATAAATCGGCATCAGTCCGGACACATACACGTACATGCGCGTCGCTATATAAGTGCAATAACCTTGGACGCGACGTTAAACCCCATTTCACCTCACCAATTGCGTAGATCGATGCTCATGGTAATCACTGGATTGTCTGGTTCAGAGTCATATATTAAAAGGATGTCGTCAGTTAGCTGGAATATTGCTGAGTGCTTTATTAAACATCAAACAAACAAACAAACAAGACTAACTACTGACCATGATGAGGATCAGGATGAGGATGACAAACTTGGCTCATGGAGGATGTTTGACGTCAAATCCCAGTGACGTGGGGACATTAATCATTGTTAATCATGTTGATCTTATTGACCATTTTACTTCCAAAGGTGATGAATGTACAAGTGCCGTTCATCTTTAAGTACGCAGTAGACTGGCTTAATGCTCCCAGTAACTGGCTAAATCTTGGCGATCCAACAGCAACAATTGTAACCATGGCAACAGCTTTATTAATAGGCTGTAAGTTGATATATATTTTTTTTATACTTGATCTTGTTTTGCATAGGAAATAATTTTTACTCAAATTATAGTGGTCTTTGACCATTCTTGTCTACCAAACCAATACCGGTTTAATTTTGATCTGAAAACCATATTCAAAGTTAAATTTCGCAGAAGTAAACTAGTCATAATTGGAGATAAGTAACGCAGGTAGAGATTGGTTTATATGGGTTTATGATAAGTTTGATTTGTAGTCTATTATTATTATTATTATGATGATGATGATGATGATGATGATGATGTGATGTTGTTAAAATACAGTCATAATAACACTTCAAAATGTCATGGTTCTGCAAAGAATTTCCTTGTAAAAATGTGAGGGTGGTTATGGACTGAAGTGGCCTCAAGGCAGTGTTAAGTCCCTGTACTGCATCTGATTGAAATTGAACACAATGAATTTCATGTTCAACAAGTTATCGTCTCTTGTTCAACATTTCAGATGGCCTTGCCCGAGTAAGTGCTTCAGCATTCAATGAGCTCCGCAATGCTGTGTTTGCCAAGGTCGCCCAGAGCTCAATACGCCGTGTAGCCCGCAATGTGTTTCTTCATCTACATAACCTTGACCTTAGCTTTCACCTTGCTCGTCAAACTGGTGCAGTGTCCAAAGCCATAGATCGGGGAACAAGGTGATCACATTTTGTCTTGTATTGTTTTTATAAATTTCTTGTATTCATATTGTGTAATCATGTTGTTTATTTGTGTATATCATGACCTGAATTCAGTATTTCAGTTGATTTTGTAGATGATATAACATAAAAGTATTATACTGATACTGTCATTTCAGCATGTTCAGTATATATATATATATATACTTCTCAAAAGAAGTTGAAGAACATCTGGCCAGTGAAGATCCGGGGTAGAAAAGGTCTTCAGCAACCCATGCTTGCTGTAAAAGGCCACTATGCTTGTCGTAAGAGGCGACCGACTGGATCAGGTGGTCAGGCTGGCTGACTTGGTTGATGCATGTCATCATATCCCAGTTGCGTAGATCAATGCTCATGATGTCAATCACTGGATTGTCTGGTACAGACTCAATTATTTACAGACCACTGTCATAGCTGGAATATTGCTGAGTGCGGCGTTAACCAACAAACATCAAACATGAAGAACATCTGACTTTTTCATTTGACAAGTCATATGAAAAAGTAGGGTGTTGTTTAACTTCTTTTGAGCTATATATATATTGTTTCTTTCTTGTTTAATATCGCATTTAATATTCCAGTTATGCGAGGGCAGCTATTTTATTATATTACCATTATAATGTTTCAGTTGTAAAAGCATTTGTGCATCAGAGCCAATAAAATAGTATTATAAATAATATGGCTTTTCCTTAACAAAACAAATATAGCATTTGGTGTTGTGAATCATATGTCACTTAATATATACTTACCGACAAAAGAAACACGAATACCATACATGTTGGTTAAAATATGAAGAATTCCTCATATTCAAGAGACATTAGATTGGGTCGATGCACAAACGAAAATACAGTTATATTGTGTGAACCGACGCTCATGAACGCAACACATGTGACATCATAGATCCATGACTCGTGTCTTGTGCAGGATTAGCGTGTTAGTTGTTAGTTGTTCTACACTGGGAACATCTCTTCTTCACGGACATACTTCTCTATATGTTTCTATGGTTCACGTTTCTTTTGGTTGCGGGTATAGATGAAACATTTATACAGCTGTGTGATAATATATCCATGTTCGCACGTGTCAATGGTTATGTGCTTACATATTTTTCAGAGGCATCAACTTTGTTCTGAGTGCGCTGGTGTTTAATGTTGTACCAACAATATTCGAGGTTTCCCTTGTCACCTCCATATTGGTAGGTATCCCAGGGTGCCCTGTAATGTATCAGACTCACTCACTGACTCACTGACTCACTGACTCACGCAATAACAACCCACCCACCCACCCACTCACTCACTCACTCACTCACTCACTCACTCACTCACTCACTCACTCACTCACTCACTCACCCACTCACCCACTCACTCACTCACCCATCCACCTACACACACACTCACTCACTCACACACCCACCCACACACTCACTCACTCACTCACTCACTCACTCACTCACTCACTCACTCACTCACTCACTCACTCACTCACTCACATGGAGTTACTGGTATTTAAAAACACTCCCTTCTGTGTTGGTTTTGTTCAGGTGAATTGTGGAGTCTATTCACCATGATATCTGTTGCCATACCCATGGGGATTCTTGGTAAGAATATTTCCCCAATAACCTATTATTGTCGCAAGACGACTTATTGGACTTGGTGGTCAGGCTCGGTGACTTGGTCAATTTCATGTCAATGTATCTCTATTGTGTGGATTGATACTTATGATGTCAATCAATCACTGGGTTGTCAGGTCCAGACTGGATTATGTACAGACTTACATTGTATAGCTGGAATATTGCTGAGTGTGATGTTAAACAACAAACTAATGATATCTGTTTGGATGGCTAAGTGGCCGTTATGGTATTAGTAATGTTGGGCGATACTTTTTTGTGTGTGTAGGGTTGTTTTTGTGAAAAATCACGGTTGGTATGCATGATGGGCGGTTGAAAAAAAATAAATTACAAGACATTTAAGATTGTTCTGTTTTACCATAGTGTTGAAATGTGCTCTTAGAGATGTAAGAATGGATATTTGGGTTTCATGAGATTAAATTTCCCCCACAATTATTTTGGTACTGTAGGAGCCTGTTGAGTCAGTGAAGCACCATTGTCTTTAGAGATTCAGGTGTATGAAGTGACACAATATTTCACTGTATGTAAAACAGAAATGAAGAAGTTGAGTATTTTCTAATAAGTTGTAATATTACCAGTGACTGCTGAAAAACAGAAGCATTAAAAAGCTCACTCCCACTCTTGCAGTACTACAAGTGTGGGATTCAGTACGCCATGGTGGCGCTGGGCTGTATCGGGACCTACACCCTCTTCACACTGCTCATCACACAGTGGAGGTAGGCTCTACTTACAACCTACTTACAACCAGGCACTCAGTGGAGGTAAGCTCTACTTACAACCTACTTACAACCAGGCACTCAGTGGAGGTAAGCTCTACTTACAACCTACTTACAACCAGGCATTCAGTGGAGGTAAGCTCTACTTACAACCTACTTACAACCAGGGGAGGTAAGCTCTACTTACAACCAGGCACTCAGTGGCGATAAGCTCTACTTACAACCAGGGGACGTAAGCTCTACTTACAACCAGGCACTCAGTGGAGGTAAGCTCTACTTACAACCAGGGGAGGTAAGCTCTACTTACAACCAGGGGAGGTAAGCTCTACTTACAACCAGGCACTCAGTGGAGGTAAGCTCTACTTACAACCAGGGGAGGTAAGCTCTACTTACAACCAGGGGAGGTAAGCTCTACTTACAACCAGGCACTCAGTGGAGGTAAGCTCTACTTACAACCAGGGGAGGTAAGCTCTACTTACAACCAGGCACTCAGTGGAGGTAAGCTCTACTTACAACCAGGGGAGATAAGCTCTACTTACAATCTGATGCTCAGTTGATGTAGCATGTAAATATCCTTGAACATGTCCCTAGTCTGTTGACACAATAACCAGAAAATGAAAGGTGTGAGTACATATTGGTATTGGCAAGTGACGTTGGTCCGTGTGGTGGTAGAGGATGGGGTGATGTGAAGGGAGTCTGTGTGGAAGGTTGTTTATTGATTGAGTCTGCTATATTTCTAGGACCCAGTTCCGTGTGAGGATGAACCAGGCAGACTCTAAGGCAGGATCCATGGCCATTGACTCCCTCATCAACTACGAGACTGTCAAGGTAGATACTGTCTGGAGGAGTACATATTGCATATAATTATTAGAACAAGCTAAATTAACCAATCATGTGATTTTAAATGACAGCAATGTCCTCTTGTGAGCCAGGCTGAATGTAAAATGAAAGATTTTCGTTTCATCTTTACTCCAGTATTATGATATTGTTTATGAGGTAGGCATATCATGATATGTAGAGATGAGTGTTTGATAGGAAAATGGCGTACAATTTCAAAATTTAATCACAGCTTTGGATTCCAAATGGCGTAGTAACCATGTTGTATGTCTTACCCAGTACTTCAACAACGAGAAGTACGAGGCAGACAAGTATGACAAGGTGTTGAAGAACTACGAGACCGCTTCCCTAAAGACCACAACCAGCCTGGCAATGTTAAATTGGGGTCAGAATGCCATCTTCAGCGCTGGACTTACCGCCATCATGTTGCTGTCCAGTCAGCAGATAATGGAAGGTTTGTATGGGACACAATTTTTACAGATAAAATAAAATATCAACATCATCTTCTCAGAAACTGAAGATGAAAGCTGAAACTTCACATACTTATTCTGCCGTATTTTTCACATGATGACACCTGAAAAAGTCAAGATTTTTGAATCTGATTTTCAATATGGCAGCGGAGAGAAGGCTAGGTTAAAGATGCCATCTTGTATGTGAGACGAATCACAGATGACCTGATATTTTGTGTTCAGGCACCATGACTGTCGGGGACCTGGTGATGGTGAACGGACTTCTCTTCCAGCTCTCTCTGCCGCTCAACTTCCTCGGCTCCGTGTATCGGGAAGTCCGCCAGTCCCTCATTGACATGCACACCATGTTTAGTATCCTCAACATAACACCCAACGTAATGGTGAGTTGTACCGTGGGCATTCTGGGTTAGCAACCTGTTCTGGTCGTAAGAGGCGCCCATATAGATTAGGCTTGTAAGTCTTCAGGAGATGTGCAAGCATCTGGCTCAGTCGTCGAGGTGCCACATTTCTCTGTGCAGAGTTGCATCCCTTACGTATGCCGGGATGTAATGGTTATGGGCTTGAATTCGCCCTGGTTATGTTTATAGATTTATCAGCACCATGCCCATAGTTGTGGGTGTCACCTCGGTGGTGAATGTGTTAGACCTGCACCACTTCAGGCTTTCCTCCAACGTCAACTTGAAACAAAGATATGACTGAAATACTGCTTGAAGCAGTGTTAAACCAAGCTCACTCACTTCAAGAGATATTGCATTTTTCCTGAAAGCAGATATTGATATATATTTTTATTATATATGTTTATGGTACATGATAGTAGTGGGAACAATCCACCCTTGATGGAGTCCCTATACATGTTTACATCCAACCCTCTTTGTCCCACAGAATGACCTCAAGGCCCCAGCACTGCAGATCACACCCTCCGAGTCCACCATCACGTTTGAGGATGTGTATTTTGAGTATGTCCCAGGACAGAAGATTCTTAACGGTCTCTCATTTACCGTACCATCAGGGAAGAAGGTAGCCGTTGTTGGTGGCAGCGGTTCTGGGTGAGTCAATATTGTGCCTGGGTGAGTCATTACTGTGCCTGGATTAGTCATTACTGCATGGGTGAGACAATACTGTGCCTGGGTGAGTCATTACTGTGCCTGGGTGAGTCATTACTGTGCCTGGGTGAGTCACTACTGTGCCTGGGTGAGGCAATACTTTGCCTGGGTGAGTCATTACTGTGCCTGGGTGAGTCATTACTGTGCCTGGGTGAGTCACTACTGTGCCTGGGTGAGTCAATACTTTGCCTGGGTGAGTCATTACTGTGCCTGGGTGAGTCATTACTGTGCCTGGGTGAGTCACTACTGTGCCTGGGTGAGGCAATACTGTGTGGCGACTGCTTGCTGTAAGAGGCGACTAACAGGATCAGTTGGTCATGCAGGCTTGCTGACTTGGTTGATGCATGTCATCGTGTCCTTATTGTGTAGATCGATGCTCATGACGTCAATCACTGGATTGTCTGGTCCAGACTATTTACAGACCGCAGACATATAGCTGGAATATTGCTGAGTGCGGCATTAAAGAACAAACAAACAAACATTACTGTGCCCTGGTGAGTAATTACGTTGTCTGGGTGAATCAGTGTATGTGGGTGAGCCATCAGTGGGTGTGAGTAAGGGAAAGGTTGCAGTGAACGAGCCTCTGTGATGCTTGATGTAGATGTCTCACTGGTGTACCATCTTTTTGTAGTTGATCCCTCAGTTCTTTACTTTTTTCTGTACACTTGTTGACTGTATCTCTTCTCTAATCCAGAAAGTCAACAATTGTGAGATTGCTGTACCGCTTCTTCGACACAGACCAGGGACGTATTCTGATCAACGGGCAGGACATAAAATCCCTGAACCTTGACAGCACACGGAAAGCTATAGGAGTCGTTCCTCAGGTGGGACAACAGGTGTCAAACAGTAACAAGTCATTCCTCAAGTGGAACATCAGGTGTCAAACAGTAATAAGTCATTCCTCAAGTGGAACACCAGGTGTCAAACAGTAATAAGTCATTCCTTGGTGGGACAACAGGTGTCGGACCGTAAAAGGTCGTTCCTCAGTGGGACAACAGGTGTCACACAGTAATAAGTCATTCCTGAGGTGGAACACCAGGTGTCAACAGTAATAAGTCATTTCTCGGTAGGACAACAGGTGCAAATAGTCGTAAGTCGTTACTCGGGTGGAACAATGGGTGTCAGTCATCTGCATGAAGATGAGTTCATCTTAGTTCTCCTCTGGGATCAAAACTAGTTGCACAACATTGTTTAGTAATTTTAGTAATTTTGGAAGTAAACCACTGTTACATGCATGGTTTTATTTGAACATGGAATTCAATGATCACTGGTTTTCTCTGACAACTGACTGAATTATTTGTTTTTTCCAGGACTGTGTATTGTTCCATGACACTGTCTTCAACAACATCAATTACGGTGATCTGACTAAGTCCGAGACAGACGTCCACAACGCTGCCAAGATGGTGGAACTGCACGACGCCATTATGACCCGATTCCCCGACAAGTACGACACCCAGGTGGGGGAGCGGGGGCTCAAGCTGTCGGGGGGAGAGAAGCAGAGGGTAGCCATTGCCAGGACGATCATGAAGGACCCTCCCATCATCATCTACGACGAAGCCACCTCCAGTCTCGACACCATCACAGAACAGGTAGGTCCGAACAACTCCAAGACCTGCATCACTTCGGTTTTCCTCCTACAATACGTGACAAGCTGTGATTTATCTAAGATGCTGTTCAAAGCAGTGTTAAACCAAACTCACTCACTCACTGTCAGTGTGCCAGGCTGTTAAGGGGAGACTATTCTTCACGGTCTGTGTGAAATGGAGACATTGCACCTGTGTATTTAAGGCACTGCTCGAAATTAGCCATGATGGTCAAGGGATCCTTGTGATAACTGTAGGGCTTCAAAAAATAAAAGAATTGGTTCTCAGGCAATGACTTTTGAAAATATGGTACGGTCGGTATATTTTTATTTTGCTTATTCAAACTAGTATGTAACCAAATAAACAGTTGTGAACCATCAACCTGGGAAAGGGTCTCCCTACATGAACAAGCATACAAACTCTGATTGCCGCCATGAACATAACACAAGAAACGCAATAAAGCAGTGTGCATATTAAGGGAAGTAACTGCGTGCAATATTGGATCACAAAATTTTAAGTATTTATTAGTATTTTTGTATTTTTTTTAAAAATGGAAATAAAAACGAAACGTGCGGCAGACTTTATGATGATGAGGGCGGTGCCTGAGAAGCAAGACTATTATGTTTTTATGCCTTATGTTAAAAAGGTAATGAATTAGGGGGTACTAGATGCACATACTGTACTATAGAAGCAAACCTCTATGACCCTACAAGCTATAATTGTTAGATAGGAAGGCATCATAAGCTTAAACCTAGCAGACATTTACTATGGTGTTTAGACAACTTGAATCAAACATTCTTGTCTCCCTTTAAGGCAAATCCATCTTCCGTGAACTGTGACATGGTATTAAGCCTGACTGAAATTCTCCCAACCAGTTCGACACCAATCTTCCGCCTGACAAACAATATGAAGTGTACCAGGCAATGTCGTGTGAGAATGTGTTAAGGAAGTCCATTCAGTAATATTCTTAGCCCCTTTTACAAAGTTATATTAGAGGTATGATTGCCGTAAGTCTGTAAGAGAGTCCACATCGTCGTTGCGCCAGCATCTCTTTGTGAAATGGGTCTTTCATCAGAATGGCTCCCCAGCAGCCCATGTTGGGTGTAAGAACCACCTGGAATTAGGAATGGATGGTCACGGTGTGATATGGTTGATAGCGGCATTGCGACATATAGCTCATGCTATCAACCACTGGGTTTCCTAGAATACACTTGATTATTTACAGGTCACCACGTAACAGCATCCCCATTCAGACAAGTTTTTTCAATTTTATAAAACTTTGATGATTTCAGAGCTGGTGTGTTCATCTGTTTCAGAACATCCTGTCAGCACTTCGTGAGGTGACGAAAGGGAAGACAACAGTAGTGATTGCTCACCGACTTTCGACTGTTGTTGATGCGGATTCTATCCTGGTGTTGGAGAACGGCTGCGTGGCGGAGCAAGGGACACACTACAGCCTCCTTGCCGACCCCAACAGTCTGTACAGCCACCTGTGGACAAAGCAGAGCCAGGTCAAGTTAGAGGCTGACCCAGCAGATGCAGATGACTCGGTCCTGGAGGGAACAGATGACATCAAGCAGTAGCAGCAGATGTGGATAACTTGGTCGTGAAGAGAACAGACGACATTAAAAGCAGCAGCAGCCGACAACCTGATCCTGGAGGATGCAGACACATACAGCTTGGTCCCGGAGCAAGCCTACGACATCAAGCAGTAGCAGCAGACACATACACCTTGGTCCTGGAGGAAGCAGACGACATCAAGCAGTAGCAGCAGACGCATACAACTTGGTCCAGGAGGAAGTCCAGGAGGAAGCAGACACATACAGCTTGGCCCCAGAGCAAGCCTACGACATTAAGCAGTAGCAGCAGACACATACACCTTGGTCCTGGAGGAAGCAGACGACATCAAGCAGTGGCAGCAGACGCATACAACTTGGTCCAGGAGGAAGCATCAAGTAGTAGCAGCAAATAGCTTGGTCATGGAGAGAATGGACAACTTTGAACAGCGGCAGCAGACAACTTGGTCCTGGAGGGAACAGATGACAACAAGTAGTAGCTGTAGATATAGAAACGGACCTCAAGAGCATAGACGACATCGTGCAATAGCAGCAGATTCAGACAACCTTGTCCTGAAGTGGACTGACGTCATCAAGTAGCAGCAGACACGGCACACTTTGACATCACATCAGTGGAGACTGAGGACAAGCTTAATCAGTAGCAGCACTTGAATGGACATTTCAGCTTGTGCCTCGGAGAACTCAGTTCTAATCATGCTGGCACTCTCCGATGACTTCAGCAGACATCTGCAGATCATGCCATTATCATAGAAGTTTGTGTATGGTGTAAACAACTTAAGGTACTCGAGATCCAAACACCAAATCTTTCAATGGCACCAATTCTTTTCACATTTAAGCCCATGGGCCTAAATAGGGAAATGTGTTCCCTGATGGCGTGGATCGTTGTTCTCAATATCAATCATTGGATCGTCTGTTTTCACAGTTGATGCAGGAGTAAACAAGTCATGAAGTAAGCTTACTGAGACTTGAGTTTGGTTTGTTAGTTTACCATGTTTACACTGCACTGAGCAATAGTCTTGCACTATAACTGCACCCTGTAAGTAACGGAGTCTGGGTCAGACAAACCGGTGATAGATATAATGAGCAAGGTCCCATGTGTGGGGTATGATGACACACTATCACCCAAGTCACCAAGCCTAATCTGACCTGGAATCCCAACCTCATTTCAATCAGATCTTTGTGCTTCCAACCTCTACATAAATCTTTGTGCAGCAGTAGCGAGCATCAAGATCGGACTTTAATGAGATTGCCTGTTTCCCAAAGGATGTTGTCTTGCTATTGGTACCTGTGACAAAGAGAGAGCTGTATCTCATCGGACATGATGGCAGTCTAGTTACTGAGACTATGAATACAGAGGCTGACTAGTCAGAATTAAAGGTCCAGTAGACTCAGGGGACCTGTTCACTGCCTTGACAGGTGTGACCTCTGAAGATCCAGGATAGAATAGGTCTTCAGCAACACATGCTTGCCGTAAAAGGCGACTATGCTTGTGGTAAGAGGCGACTAACGGGATCAGGTGGTCTGGCTCGCTGACTTGGTTGATGCATGTCATCGATTCCAATTGTGTGGATCGATGCTCATGATATTAATTACTGGATTGTCTGGTCCAGACTCAGTTATTTACAGACCGCTGTCATATAGCTGGAATATTGCTCAGTGTGGCATTAAAGAACAAACCAACCAACCAACCTTGACAGGTGTAAATTGTACATGTTGCTAACTGTGTGTGAAGTCAAGCACAAGATAATGCATATAATCAAGTTCAAGTTTCTTTTGTAAATATGTGGAGATTATCTTGGATGCCACAGTTCTAAGTTTTATACTTCAGATGTTAAGTAAATATAATAACTGTGTTTAATTTATGCTTTTGATACAGAATGATCTTATCATTTTCCGTGACCAAGATTCCAGGACACGAGTATTGAGCTGGAACATGGTGACAGTCACAGCTGCATGTGTGATTTGTTTTGTAACTACTTGGAATATTTGTCTTATCAAGGTTTTACCTGACCCTCGTATGGATTTGGGGGTATGGACTATTTTTATTGCGGCAACAGCTTTGGGATTTGTGAGAGTGGATGTCGTGGAATCACCTCAGCAACAGGGTGAAGTATGGGTATTGATCAGTAATGTACATATTGATTCCCCTTGATGGTATTAAACAACTAAACCACGGCGGTTTTCCTTATAGTGATAGTTTAACTCACAGTTCAACTGCATAATGAATGAACTTCATTTTTTTACGTTCATGATGAAACATTATCATGAAAAACGTGTGTAGCCAGCTGGATTCAAACCCACGTGATCTGCTCCAAAGACCATGAATGATATATTTATTAACATTATAACTAATTGTTAATGCATTTAATCACAGGGATGTCTGTGATTTATTCAGTATGATATTCTATACGTTAAAACGCACATGATATTTGTTAGGTTTTCATTGAAATTACCTATTTCTCGATCAGGGATTTGTTTGGTCATAATAGGCCCATCAACATGGACAAGTAATATTTAGGGGTTGATAAATGTGCATGAGTTGGTCCTATATGAATATTATACTTGCCCCGGAACATGCATTACATATACCAAGTTGCCAGACTCTTGATACATTGATACACAGGGCTCTTGTATCATGATACATTGATACACTGGTCTGTTGTCTCAACTGTAAACCGTGTAAGTCTTGTTTAAATCGTATGACACAGTCCTTTGTGTTTGTAGCTGTTTGAGTATAACAATCATGTTTATTATGTTTACATTTTCTGTCAGTTTACTCTGTTCCAAATTGTAGCAACTTGAAGCAATGACACCTGGTTTCGAATCACAGCCCTCAAAGTCTTCTAGTCATCGAGGACTACCAACATTGGTTTCTTACTTGTCCTCAGGACAATTTAGTAGTCTCTGGCTAGCTGGCTAGCGTGATGTTTGTCTGGGTAAAGGTATCATGGTACAGCGATACAAAGGTCTGTTGTGTCTGGGGTAAAGGTATTGTGGTATCATGCCCAGGTCTCTTGTATCATGGTACATCGGTACACAGGTCTGTTGTATCATGACACAGCGATACACAGGTCTGTTGTGTCTGGGGTAAAGGTATTGTGGTATCATGCCCAGGGCTCTTGTATCATGGTACATCGGTACACAGGTCTGTTGTATCATGACACAGCGATACACAGGTCTGTTGTGTCTGGGGTAAAAGTATTGTGCTATCATGCCCAGGGCTCTTGTATCATGGTACATCGGTACACAGGTCTGTTGTATCATGACACATTGATACACAGGGCTCTTGTATCATGGTACATCGGTACACAGGCCTGTTGTATCATGACACATTGGTCTGGCGTAAAGGTATTGTGGTATCATGCCCAGGGCTCTCATATCATGGTCCATCGGTACACAGGTCTGTTGTATCATGACACATTGATACACAGGTCTGTTGTGTCTGGCTTAAAGGTATTGAGGTATCATGCAAAGGGCTCTTGTATCATGGTACATCGGTACACAGGCCTGTTGTGTCTGGGGTAAAGGTACTGTGGTATCACGCCCAGGGTTCTCGTATCATGGCTTGAAGTACAAATTTTGTTTTGATTGCTTTTACTGCATATTGTTATGCTAATAGGATGGTGATTATGTTGAGTTGTTTCTGTGATAGTTGTAAATAGTCTCTTGTGATTTTTGTGTTCTTATGGTGACCATGTGACTACATGTACACGACTGCTTCAGGATGAGGATGAATTAGAAAGATATCGTATTGTTTTGAGAACTGCAAAAGAAATCATGATCAGTACTATGAAACAAAGGACATGTGATTTGATAGTTTTCATGCTTTTTTATTGCAGGAAATACATTATTCACATCACCTGTATTGTGAAAACAAGATAATTTGAAAACCACAAGTTGGAATATCAATATGAATCGAGTCTGTTGTCATGGTGTGGTCAGTGTTGTGTATGATTATGTACACTGCTAAGGTGGACAACCTACTATCAAAGTGCTTGGGTTTAGTGCTAAAAGCCTACTTTTTTCATTTTAGTGCAAGAGACAACAGGTGCAAAGTTCGAATATCTTCTTGTGTTTGTTCACAAATTGATAGTTTGCAAAGAATTGTTGTTACAGACTGAAAGTATACTACTAAAAAAAGTTAAAGAACACCCGATTTTTTTCATATGAACAGGTGTTCTTTGACTTCTTTTGAGTAGTATATCTATCTCTTAGTCCAATATTCAAGTGATATGTCAACACTTACAAAAGAAATCATATACTACTCAAAAGAAGTTAAAGAACACTGAATGTTTTTCCTATGTATAGTTAATGGCCATGTTTTTTAACTTCTTTTGAGTAGTATATATGGACTTACTACATGTGTTACTACATCCTACCTAAGTACTGACTACTTTTACTGTCCAAATTCTCCATAGCAACTGCAGCCAAGGCAATAAACTTGACCCCTTCAATATTTAAGACTTATATTCTGATACTAAATTTCAACAAAAGAGAATGTTTGTGTCAAAGGTAAATGGTCTGTGAACAAGGAGTATTAAAGATGTCCACAATATTCTGTAATATGTACTCAGAGGAGCTTGTGAAGGACATGTAAAATCAGCATTAGACTTCAGTAGAATGTCATGAAGGTTTGAATCATAGCTATGTATTACCAAACGATGGTAGTGGGATAGCAAAAACGAATCAGTACATAGCTTCAATTTCACAATTAATTTGTAACATTTGACAGTTAGTTAAAGATACAGGTGTCAGAGCCACTTCAGGAACTAGGTAATATAGTCTTAATATCAGCCTAGTAAGTAGGGCTGGGACGAGTCCATATTTACTACCCGGGTACCCGCTGTAGGTCTCATGAGCTAGGTACAAAATGTCCGATGGGGAAAAGTCTGCCCTGGCAAAATGTATTTAGATACAGGTATAAAATCTGGTCATGCAAACACTGAAGTTTACAGCATGAAGTTTTATCTTTATTCAAACATATAAAAGTCAGAAGGAATGGGTGCATAGTCAGAAAGAAATGGGAACATTAGTGACTTGTAGTGTAACCATAGAGTTTGAGATAATTTTTGTCATTAAATAATATATCATGTGACTAACCACGGATCTGGGTAGTCTGCGGGTACCTGGGTCCTACTCAGTACCCACCCGACCTGAATACCGGAGTTACCGTCCCAGCCCTACTAGTGAGATCTGGTGTTTATATGTACAGAGAGGGATGGCAGTTTAGAAGGTGTACAATTTTACTGTTGTAAAGAGAGCTTCAGATTCTTGTGATAGAACCAAGTTCTGTAGTCATGTTTGAAGTGATGAACAGATGACATGAAAAGTTTACTTACGTTCTGTACATGTCTGTCATAATTTAGTATTTATATCCATTGAAAAGTTCTATTTTAATATATCATGTTTTATATAAACAGTAACGAAATGACAATGAGTTTGACTTATTTTTTTATTGGATTTGTTGTGAGCTTGGAGCCTAATACTGGAATAGGATACAGCCAAACTACCACGACATGAGCCCAACTTTTGACTAGGAAACTGTGGGAGTCCGTATGGTTTTAAAACTGTATGTCAGCTGTGATGTGGATTTTATAGTGCTTCCCCACTGAGATGCCATGCCGCAGTTTAACATTAATACCCCACTCAGACACAGTATACAGACTCCGAGCCGAACAGTCCTTGTTGTAGCCCCTTAATGCCAAGCGCCAGACAGGGTAACAACAAGAACCATCTTTTAACATCTTTTGGTATGACATGGCTGGGGATCAGACCCCGGACCTTCTGCTCTCCAGACCAGTTCAGGGAAACCCACCAGCATATGGATGGTGCCGACAAACCAAGCATCATAATCAGGTTAAATCTGGGATCGGATCCTGGCATGATCCAGGGCAACAATTCAGTGGATTGCAGCACTTAGCCCACCTGTTCTGGCACCAAAGACAAAGAGCAGGGAGAGCACTCCCTGGCATACTGACGTTGCCTCCAACAAAATTTTATCAGTCAGTTCCCCACTAAGGATAGTATGTATGTTAATATATCGGTGTGCGTACCATGTATCATTTAAATGATGTACATCATTCTTGAGTTACAGTGTAAACAAACCGTTTAGAAGGGATGACAAATTGAGTTGACACCTCAATAATGTGTCATGTCCACAGTATTCCCAGGCTACAAAGGAGACACCATAAATTGTAGCAGGATCACGAGAGGTACGTGGATCGTCCTGCGTTAGTTTTATACCACAAGGTGTGCACGCAAAGAGTGAGGCTTTTTGCTTCGTAATGTGGGGTATAAGGGATTTATTCTACTGCTGAGAAATCTACGTGCAGCCTGTTTTCTTCATGGTAGGGTATAAGGGATTTATTCTCCCTCTCAGAAATGTATTTCCCTTGCAGGCGGGATATATAGTATTTTATAAACAGTAACTAGACCAATCAGTTCTCGTAATTCTGACATGGAAGTATAATTAATGAATATTTGATATCCCTTTGATGTGTCAACACTTCATGATTTTAGAAATATATGTGGCAGCAAATTCTCAGCTCGGGGAATCATTACATTAAGTAGGATATTTCTGCAGATTTAGAGAATATCTTCATCCATTTTGTGTGTGTGTCCTGAGAATGGGTGGATGAAGACACCATCTGATAGAGATAACTCAAAGAACAGGCAAGATTGGAAACAATTTACTTCCACTGTACACAGCATACATACCACACATGTTACACCTGCTACATCTCATTCAAAAATTACTTTTAGTGTATCAGCCGACAAAACATTTCCTGCAGACTTGTTACTTAACAGTTGGCTGTGTGTCACCAATTCTCACCAATGTCAACCATTGCTCATGCCACTGGACACTGGTGTGTCTTATCTGTTGCTGTGGAGATTCTCGGGAAGAATTTGTGCCCAGTCGCCCAGGTTTGTCTCCCCATTGGGATACTTGGGTAGAATTTGTGCCCAGTATCCCATGTTTGTCTCCCCATGGGGATTCTGGGTAGGATAGGTACCCAGTAGTCGGAGCTTGTATCCCCATCAGGTGGTCAGACTCGATGACTGCGCTTATTGTTGGCCATCGTATCCTGATGGAGGTGATCAGTGCTGATGATTTCAGTCACTGGTTTGCCTTGGTGGAGTAGTTTCATGCTGCCGTGATGTTGCTGAGGGCAGCGTTAAGCAACATTCACCAATGCACTGGTCTGGGTTGGATGACATTACTGGTGGGGATACACTCACTCACTCTCTCTCTCTCACTCAGCAGCCTCTTCATCATGACTTGTCAAGCAGCTCGCTGTCGTAGTTGGTGAAACAGCGGAACTCGTTCTGCAGAGCATTGGAATGTCTTGGTTGGAAGACACACACCTTCAGATTTAGCAGCTTTTTCACCACCTCCTCCATTACAGCACCTGTAAACACACAAATCATCAGTGCCTGCAAATACATCGTCTCAGTGTCTGCAGATAAACAAATTATCAGTGCCTGCAAACACACAATTCACAGTGCCTAAAAATACACACATCATCTTGGTGCCTGCAAATCACTGCAAATGATCCCCCTATATTATCCCACTGTCACCTGTTTCCTTCAAGTTCTAATTCTGTTACATAAATCCCCATTCTGACATGAGCAGTGGACCAAAAGCCCTGTCATGGTGTCTTAACCCTGAACTGGTCAGCCAAGTGAGGTAGTTAACAAGTATCATCCAAAGTAAAATATACATTTCAAGAGTGGGGGGCAGTCGTGTAGCCTAGTGGTTTAAGCGTTCGCTTGTCACGCCAAAGACCCGGGGTCGATTCCCGACATGGGTACAATGTGTGAAGCCAATTTCTGGTGTCCCCCGCCTAGATATTGCTGGAATATTGCTAAAAGCGGCGTAAAACCATACTCACTCACTCATTTCAAGAGTGGAAAAACATTTGCCAAAAATCACTCCTAGATCCTGGAGACTATAGTGCACATACTCACCTGTACAGAGAATAATCTTGTCCTTGGCCAGGAATCGGACAGTGATTGCAGTCTTACACAGACACTCCTCATTCAAAAATGGCGGATCCACAACCACAATGTCAAAACTGTTCTTCCAGTCTGCTGGCAGTTTCAATGGTTCCCGATAATCATAAAACTGAAAGTCCTCTCCATACACCTGGAAGCGGTCATCAAACTCCAAACACTTGACGGTGCAGTTGTCTGGCTTCACGTCCCTCAGTTTCCTGTACAGCGTCGGGGAGCTCACACAGGCGATCCTAGAAGGGGAGACGAGGAAACAGTCAGGACAGGACACGGAGTAATTGTCAGCCTGTGGGGGTTCCGGGGTAGAATTGGTCCCCAGGAACCTATCTTTGTCGTAACCGTAACATAATATGGAATAACATGGCTCTGAGACTTGACTGATTATGTGTCATCACACCCCGGTGGCTTCTTGATCATGCTTTCAGACCCTGGTTAGCTTCCATTGGGGACCCAACATTAAAATAAGGTGTTTGTTTGTTGTTTAACGCCTCACTCAGCAATATTCCAGCTATATGATGATGGGCTGTAAATAAGCCAGTCTGGATCAGACAATCCAGTCACTGAAATAATGAGCATCAATTTATGCAATTGATGACATGCATCAACTAAATCAGCCTAATCAGTCTAACCACCTGATCCCATCAGTCGCCTCTTACAACAAGCAAAGGTTGCTTAAGACATATTCTAACCTGGATCTTCCTGAAAGAGCCGACTAGAGAGGATCAGGTTGTCTGACTCTGGGATTATTTCTTCTTCTTATTAAAATGGTCTGACACCATGTTTAATAGTAGGCAGAGAGATTCTTGTTAATCACTGAGTTTTATAACTGCTCAATAATTGATTAGAACCCATCATCACACCATCTCCGTACAACTGACGGAGCCTCTCACTACTGTTGCTGACCCTGACTTACCTCCCTGTGCTGCCCACAACACGCAGCGCCTCGTCCGCCAGTCTGGTGGCAGTAGCCTCATCGTACCAGAACTGACTCAGTTGCTACGGAGACAAAAAAACAACATACTGAACTCAACACTAAACCTACTAAGACAGCCAGGTAACAGCTGTCATGTATCTGTTGCCTGGAGCTCCTCCTGCACTCCCATGTTACAGTCAGACTTACGTCACTCTTAACATACTCATATATTCAATACATTACCCCATCCTACCCAGTTCTCCTGTGGGGTGAAGTACCCTGCCTACCCAGTTCTCCTGTAGTGTGAAGTACCCTGCCTACCCAGTTCTCCTGTGGGGTGAAGTACCCTGCCTACCCAGTTCTCCTGTGTGGTGAAGTACCCTGCCTACCCAGTTCTTCTGTGGGGTGAAGTACCCTGCCTACCCAGTTCTCCTGTGGGGTGAAGTACCCTGCCTACCCAGTTCTTCTGTGGGGTGAAGTACCCTGCCTACCCAGTTCTCCTGTGGGGTGAAGTACCCTGCCTACCCAGTTCTTCTGTGGGGTGAAGTACCCTGCCTACCCAGTTCTCCTGTAGTGTGAAGTACCCTGCCTACCCAGTTCTCCTGTGGGGTGAAGTACCCTGCCTACCCATTTCCTCCTGTGGGGTGAAGTACCCTGCCTACCCAGTTCTCCTGTGGGGTGAAGTACCCTGCCTACCCAGTTCTTCTGTGGGGTGAAGTACCCTGCCTACCCAGTTCTCCTGTAGTGTGAAGTACCCTGCCTACCCAGTTCTCCTGTGGGAGGAAGTACCCTGCCTACCCAGTTCTCCTCTGGGGTGAAGTACCCTGCCTACCCAGTTCTCCTGTGGGGTGAAGTACCCTGCCTACCCAGTTCTCCTCTGGGGTGAAGTACCCTGCCTACCCAGTTCTTCTGTGGGGTGAAGTACCCTGCCTACCCAGTTCTTCTGTGGGGTGAAGTACCCTGCCTACCCAGTTCTCCTGTGGGGTGAAGTCCTCAAGCTTCCCAGTCTGTGCCTCCTTCAACTTCCTGTCTTCGTCTGCCTGCTCCGTGTAGAACTCCTGTAGAGCAGCCATGGCGGCCGCGGACAACTGGGGAGGGTCGTCATCCGAGTCACTCATCGCTTCTGCTTGGTCTGACAATATACTTATATCACCAAACTCTCACATTCTAAGCCTTCATTGCCTATCCTCATGCGAGGTTGTATCAGCACCTGAAGAAAATCCCAATAATATGCATATGAATTGTGAAACAATCCTGGAAATGCTTTTGTCACGTTCAATTTTGCCCAACATAATAGCCTAATTGAGCGTGAGATGGTTGAAGCCAGCAATATAACTGCTTCATAAATATGAAAAATAAACTTAGATCTTGACTACACTTACAAGTGCAACAATCAAAGCTGTTTGAGCATAAAGACACGCTATCACATTGTCACGATAAGGTCCTGATTTTACCATGTTTACAAGGTTAGAAAGATTTGGGTTTGGTTTGTTGTTTAACGCCACACTCCGCTATATTCCAGCTATATGACAGCGGTCTGTAAATAATCGAGTCTGGACCAGACAATCCAGTAATTGACATCATGTGGTGGTTGGTGGTGGTTTGTTGTTTAAAGCCGCACTCAGCAATATTCCAGCTATATGACGGCGGTCTGTAAATAATCGAGTCTGAACCAGACAATCCAGTGATATCATGAGCATCGATCCACGCAATTGGGATCGATGACATGCATCAATCAAGTCAGCAAGCCTGACCACCCGATCCCGTTAGTCGCCTTTTACGGCAAGCATGGTTTGCTGAAGACCTATTCTACCCCGGAATCTTCACGGGTCTGACTTCATTTGCATCGATCCACGCAATTGGTGGTTGGAAAGAAAAAGATGTTTGAAAGAAAAAGAAAAAGATGTTGAAAGATTGGGTACTGAGGACCCATTACCACGGGACCTGACTATGCCCCTGAACCCCCATGACTTGTCCGACATGTAACCTTCTGGCTTACACAAGATCTATATATTCCTACAGTATGTCCAAAGCGTCCGTTGTCAATGTCCTCTATGGTTCTGCCTGATATTGCCTAACACATTGGTAATTGTAATATCCAGCTTACAACTTTTGTTATAACATCCCAATAACACATACAGCAAAATGAATTTGTCAACCTTTAGATTTCCAATAGAATCCCACGTTACTTCAGCGTATTAAAACTAATTTACATGATCAAATTTTTCATTGCATTATGGAGATTCTTTTCCTCATCACAACACCATGTTATCCCTGCTGCATTTACATAATTAGGGTTTTCAGTAAAGATCAGTTAACAAAATGTTAAAAAAAATACCTGGTAGGGTACAAATTCTTGGTGATTTACGGCACTGCTCATATAAGAACAGTAAACGAACAGTGAAGGAAGTGCCTGATTCACTTTCAACACCAAGCTGGACTCTATGGTATAATATGTTTCCAGCATATTATCAAAATGATGTGAAAAGTTTGAAAATGAATCTCTGCATGTCAGAATCTGTACATATATTCTCAAATAAAATAAGTTTACCACAATGAAATAATTTTAAGTCAATTGAGGAGACGTTAAACATCACTTTAAACATTATTGCCTTTATATAGGTGTGTGTGTGGTGGTGTGTGTGTGTGCATGCGTGCGTGCATGCGTGTGTGTGTGTGCCCCCGTTTGTACTCGTCTGGACTAATTCTGGTTTCATAGGACTAGCCCACTGAGGTACCACTGAGATATATTGACATGGATACCCCATTCAAATAAGGTATACTCCGAGCCAACCATTTCTTGTTTCATCCCCTTAATGCTGAGTGCCAGGTAGGGTAACAACAAATACCAACTTTTAACGTCGATTGGTATGACGCATACATGGTTAGCATCACAAACTTTCTATCAACAAGACAATAGAGGCAGTCTTAAGTCAATGGGAGAATTCAAACATTGCTGAACGTATTGTGTCTATCGGTCTGTTTTACTCATGGATTGAAAGTCGCATATGGTTATGAACACATTTGGGGCGGTGGGGTAGCCTAGTGGTTAAGATGTTTGCTCATCACACCAAGAGCCTGGGTTCGATTCCCTACATGGGCACAATGTGTGAAGCCCATTTCTGGTGTCCCCGCCGTGATACTGCTGGAATGTTGTTAATAGCGGCATAAAACCAAACTCACTCACTATGAACAAATGTGGTCTATCATCTTGTCTGATGTAAGCAGTCGGTTAACCATTTATTCATAAGACACAGTTGTATCTTGCTATTGTTACCCAAAGTCCTAAACAACATAGCAACACAACGAAACGTAAACATAAGCTGGAGGAAACAAACGAGAACATGATTTCCCTGAGGAGGCTCCGCATGAACTTACAGTCAGTAGGTTTGCTTGTTTGTTGCTTAACGCTACACTATATGACAGCCGTCTGTAAAAAATCTAGTTTGGACCAGACAATGCAGTGATAGATAGCATGAGCATCGATCTACGCAATTGGGAAACGATGATATCCATCAACCGAGTCAACGAGCCTGATACCTCAATCCCGTTTGTCGCATTGGTGACCATGGGTTGCTGAGGATCATTTCTAACCCGGATCTTGTATACAGCTGGTTGAGGCAAAACATTATTTATCATCCAAAACTGGCTCCCACAGGAGATATCGCTTGGATGAGATCAAGCGACACGGTAGATATATCGCTGCAATGAAATTGCATCACAATGCTTTGCAGACCATTGTGATGTCACTGGTTACCATGACGTCGCAATCAAATGACATCACCAATGTCTCTGCTACTGAAGCTGTTAGCAGTACTTTTTACACAGAAGACACTGCTAATTACTGTCTACAAAGTGAAAAAGTTGGAAGAATGATTGTTGGATGATAAATAAAATCTCACCCTTATGTCATTTGATATGAAATAACATATCAACACTCAACTTTCAATGTTCACCAGTGTCCCCGTAAATATAGACAATACAGTTAGATTGCACCACTCTGTATACTAATTACGCAAGAAAAGAAAAGTCGTTATGAAATAGTACGACAAGTATTGTTTACAGACGCTAGTCATGCTAGATATCAGTAGCATTACTTTACATAATTAAGTAACCTACCTTGTGTACAAACTTTCCACGTGGTTGGGGAAGCAAAATTGTGGATTTGATAGCGAAACGGGATTGAATAACAGCACAAATTATTTGTTTTCGCCAGAGACGATAAAATCTATTTTATGGTCTCTGTTTTCGTTAATCGACTGTTATAAGAGGATATGATATTAAACATTACTTATGACACTTAGTTATTAGTTGACAAATTGGTATTTTGAGTGCTTTCGGAGTTAGGTAACGACGTTTATGTGACTTGTTTTCTGTTTGCAACATGGATATTGATGTGGCGTTTTGTTAATTATCAGAATAAAGAGATATTTGTCGAGTGAAATGGGTTTGCCCTTACAGTAGGGCTGGGACGGGTAACTCGGGTACCCGGCTAGTAAATTTATACTCGTCCCAGCCCTAGCTTACAGGGTCCAAGTGTTAACCCCTCTGGTTGCGCATGTACTTGTACAAGTTGACCACTCTGAACAGAATCGACCATTTCTTACGGAAAGGGGCGAGGTTTGCTGATTGCAAGTTCACAAGACCATGCATTAGCCCGGGTACGTCGCACCTCGGAGTTACTAGTTACTAGTGTAACTAGCGGGGTGTTCGGAGCGTGTACACCACGAGGACGGAGATCGAGGTGTGTCCAGGGTGTCAGCTCGTTCAATACCGTCAATACCTATAGTTATACACATGTAACTACTTTGTTATTACAAGTTGACAAGTTATCAAGACTACATGTCTCTGATACATTAGATCTAGTTTGTGCCTGACAGTGGACTTTCAGGGTGGTAACCCACAATGGAGCAACTGTGACGCAAGAAGCAAATCCAGTCCCATTATCATGGTGACGTCACGACTTGTGTTGGTTTTTATTACCTACAGGGTTAGAAATAACAAAGTTAATAAAAAGCGTATATTCACTATAGTGCAAATATCACTTCACGCGCACCAGTGTATTGTTTCGTCATCCCCACGGCATTTTTGACGTCATTCGAATCTTATTGTGACGTAAGGTCGGAATGACGTCACACTAGAAAGGGCGTGTGTGTCAAACTGTTTGTACGTAATTCGCTCGGGAAATACAAAAAATCTGACACTCGTTTCGTAAAATCAGTATGGCATACATGCTTGTGTAAATATTTTCACTGTTTCTCTCTGAGTATGGTATTTTTTGGTAAATGTTGATTGGCAAGTTGACGCCATTTCTTCTATTGTTTTCAAGCGGCCCATGGCAACATTTTGAATCCCCGTGAAGATACGAGTGAGAGTTGGTCTTCAGCAACCCGTGCGACTAACGGTATCGGGTGGTCGGATTTGCTGACCTTGTTGATGCATGTCATCGTATCCCATTGCGTAGATCAATGCTCATGATGTCAGTCACTGGATTGCCAGGTCCAGGCTCGATTATTTACAGACCGTCATGATAAAACATGATAAACAACAAACAAACAACAACAAAAACAAACCACATTGTTTCAAATAGTTATAGATCTAAATGACAACAGCCATTGTTCATAACGTCACAGACGTTTTATGTGAAACTATAGTTCGACCGAGTTGATGATCTTCTTAAGACCAGGAACCCAACATTTTTCTACCTTTACTCCAAAACAGACTATGGCAAATATGAAGAATTACGTACGGTTTGCCCCTAGTGAATTAATGTTGACAGATCCTCGCCAAGGCTCGGAAATTAATACACTCGGGACAAATAATCCGTAAATCAACATACATCAAACCTTGCACCACTGTTGAATATACATACAGTTTTATTTCATGATGTGTAATAACATCATGTGATCACGGATTGTTTCAAATCACTCGACAGAAAGTCAAGTATCGAATGTCGTGTCGCGTTGTCCCTCACCTATGGCAAATGAAGCGGTTTTACGCATCATTAAGACAAAAGTATATTCCTATCAGATTTCATAACATTTAATTTGATTTGAAATTTAATTTTTATTTGAAATGAAAACGTAACTTTAATTGGATTTGAAACTTTACAAATTAAATATTCTTAATAAATAATATGCCTGTCAATGTCATTCCTTTCCATTCTATATTGTAAAGTGAAAATAAAGAATTGATCAAATGTACATGTAAAATAAATAATTGACTGTCCTGTCTTTGGTTCCAGCCGTATGATCCGGATTAACATGTTAGGAAAACACATCGTAATCCTATTGTCTTTCCTAATCCCCAAATCGAGCGATGTACACGAAGTACACCTTTTTTCCCTTAGCCGACCCTTGTATTACCAAAGGTCGACGTCTTGTGCGCGAACCCGCCGAACCAGCTAATTGGCCTTATATACATACAGAACATGTCCAACACGTTCAAGTTTGTATGTTGTGTAATGTCTCCACAAGAAATAGTAAACTGCCCGGCAAAAGAAAGTATAGACCCATATTGCTTGCTAAAATGAAACAAACAAGAAATGGTTATTCAATGGTGATTAATCATAGTTGTGTTTGGGGCCTCAAGTTTGCAGTGTTGATTATAGTCGTGACGACTGAACGACTGTACTACTGTAGTAGACATTTTTAGCAGTGACAACCAAAGATTTGTGATGGTAGTATTGGGATAGTAGAGCTATTTGTTTATGCCGTTGCTTTCATGTGATATCACATATAAGTACTAAGTATCAAATAGTTAAAGACTTGCTTTTCTTAGTATCTGAACACCTTTCCATCAACTGCACCAAACTGTTGACCACTCGTGTTTGTTCGGTTTTAATGTATATATATAACCAACATGTATCAATATTACTTGATGAATATAATTTTGATTCTATTACTTTGTTTGTTTGTTGTTTAAAGCCGTACTCAGCAATATTCCAGCTATATGACGGCGGTCTGTAAATAATCGAGTCTTGATCAGACAATCCAGTGATTGACATCATGAACATCGATCCACGCAATTGGGACCGAAGACATGTATCAACCAAGTCAGCGAGCCTGACCACCCGATCCCGTTCGTGGCCTCTTACGACAAGCATAGTCGCCTTTTACGGCAAGCATGGGTTGCTGAAGACCTATTCTACTGGGGCGGTATTACCGTATTTGACGAAATAAGCGCCCAGGGCGCTCTCAAAATTAGATATAGGGGTCTCTTTTCAGACTATTATTTTGGTGGAAAGAACAGACTTGAAAGCTAAATTTCATGGTTTATGCTGACGGCCTGAACTGTTTATATACGACAGATATATTTTTCCAGAATTTAATCCCCCACAATTAAGGGTGCATGTAACACACGAGTGCGTATTATACACGAATAAATAAGTCTTGGGTCCATTGATCAATCGGAAGCGGTGCTAATTAGGATTGTTCAAATGCCAATATATTAGCAAATATATCGCCGTTGGCGCTTATTAGAGCGGGGCGCTTATTACGTCGAATACGGTAACATAAGTCCGATGACTTGTTTACCAATCCAGATTCATTTATTGAATACAAATATGTATAAATCATATCACCGATGACTGTATAAGGTGTTTGTTGTTTAATACCGCACGCAGCATTATATCGAGTCTGGACCAGACAACCCAGGCAGTGGCATTATGAACATCGATTCTCACCGTCGGGGTACGATGTCATACAATCCACCAAGTCAGCAAGCCTGACCTGCCGATCCCTTCAATCAGTGAGTGAGTGAGTGAGGTTTTACGCCGCTTTTAGCAATATTCCAGCAATATCATGGCGGGGGACACAAGAAATGGGCTTCACACATTGTACCCATGTCGGGAATCGAACCCGGGTCTTAGGCGTGACGAGCTAACGCTTTAACCACTAGGCTACCCGACCGCCTCCCCTTCAATCAACCCATACGGCTAGTAGGGTGGTAAGCCCCACTTCTAACCCGGAATCCACACAGATGGGTCGACCTATACATATTGATTTTGAAATAAACATTACAAAAGTTGAGTAATATAGTTTAGAAAAGGTGTACACACAAACACCTAAGAAACATTCAATTTTGAAATATTGCCAGTACCAGATTGTGACTCCTTATAAGTATCGAGTGGTCCACTTGTCTGGGCGGTGGCATGTGTCCCGGTGTCTGTATAACGTTGAATTGCCAGTGCCTCGTAAACCTGGGAACTCCGCCAATCTCTAAACATTTTTAATGTCCCTGATCGATTTAGCGGTACAGATAACATTGTTGCATCTGGAGGATACTTAAGTTGAGTGGAGGGAAAGTTATGGAGTGGAGTCCAATGGTATATACTAAAACACTATAAGCAAAACTCAAATTTTGAAAATTATCCGTTACTTCCTTAAGGCAAGTACATACCGATATTAAAATTCCGTACTTCAAATCATGACTTGCCCGTTGAGGCTGGCCGATGGCAGAATATTCAAAGAGAAGAAATACTTTTTCAACAATGTAATTCACTTTCAGCAGGAGATGAGTTTCACTATCTTTTCAGATGCGAAGCTCTTCTCCAACAATGAATTCTGTATATTAAAAAAACACACCAAACAACTAAACAAATTGTGGCCAGATATTTTTAAACTCTGTAGAACTGTATCACCCAAAAGGCTGAAAGATCTAAGACATCTGTCCAGATATATTGTATGTCTATGTAAGTTTATTATATATATACTCTGAATCTGAGAATCGGGACGACCCTCTTCAACGGGACTCCGTTTCCTCGGGTTGCTGCCCACTACGGCAACTGTTACTACCATTGTCACTATCACTACGGCAACTGTTACTACCATTGTCACTATCACTACGGCAACTGTAACTACCATTGTCACTATCACTACGGCAACTGTTACTACCATTGTTACTATCACTACGGCAACTGTTACTACCATTGTCACTATCACTACGGCAACTGTTACTACCATTGTCACTATCACTACGGCAACTGTTACTACCATTGTTACTATCACTACGGCAACTGTTACTACCACTGTCACTATCACTACGGCAACTGTTACTACTATTGTCACTATCACTATGGCAACTGTTACTACTATTGTCACTACCACAACGGCAACTGTTACTTCTTTTGTCACTATCACTATGGCAACTGTTACTACTATTGTCACTATCACTACGACAACTGTTACTACTATTGTTACTATCACTACGGCAACTGTTACTACTATTGTTACTATCACTACGGCAACTGTTACTACCATTGTCACTACCACTACGGCAACTGTTACTACCATTGTCACTATCACTACGGCAACTGTTACTACCAATGTCACTATCACTACGGTAACTGTTACTACTATTGTTACTATCACTACGGCAACTATTACCATCACTACAGCAACTGTTACTATCACTACGGCAACTATTACCATCACTACGACTACTGTTACTATCACTACGGCTACTGTTACTATCGCTACGGCTACTGTTACTATCACTACGGCAACTGTTACTAACACTAAGGCAACTGTTACTATCACTAAGGCAACTATTACCATCACTACGACTACGACTACTGTTACTATCACTACGGCTACTGTTACTATCACTACGGCAACTGTTACTATCACTACGGCAACTGTTACTATCACTAAGGCAACTATTACTTTCACCACGGCTACTATTACTATCACTACGGCAATTGTTACTTTCACCACGGCAACTGTTACTACTATTATTACCATCACTACGGTCCTGCTACTGCGTGCTGTGGATGGGGTGTCGGCTAGTCACACCACGTGACATGCAGCCTGTGCCACCGGGGCGAGAAATACGATCCCTAGGTTGTCATTTACAACGTCGTAAACCGGGTTTATTTCACTGACAGATCAGTGATGTCCCATCAACATTAGCTTAATAGTAACACACCCCTCGCTATGTCAACACTGGTGTTTGTTTATTGAGGTATTTGTTTACATTTCAATCAAGCACATACGATAAAACTACGTTTTGTGGAATATCACTTTGACGTGATGAACAGAAGATGACTTTATAAGAAAAACATATCAATACTACAACTATAACTATAATTATGTCGACAAATACAACTACCGCTACAACAACATCCATAACTCCAACTACAACAATGATTATAGCAACAATTAAAGCAGACTGCTGCTCCAACTATATCTACAACTAAATCCACGACTACAACTACGACTATAGCAACAGCTAAAGCTAAAACTTCAACTACAGCTACAACAACAGCTAAAATTAAAAAAACAAACAACTAGAGTTACAACAACAGCTAAAACTACAACTTCAACTACTGTTACAACTATTACTTCAATAGCTGGTACAACTAAACTAGAACCAGACGCTACCCTAACTTCAAACTTCAACTACAACTACAGCTAAAATTAAAAAAAATAAAACTAGAGTTACAACAACAGCTAAAACTACAACTTTAACTACTGTTACAACTATTACTTCAATTGCTGTTACAACTAAACTATAGCGACAACCACACGACACACACCATCGCCACCGCCACCACCATCATAACCACAAAATTAGAGTGGTGTAAGTAACGCGGACAAAATGGACTATTCTAAAGGTATCTTCCTTAACCGCTATATATCATGATGTGAGATGTGAATTGCGAAGGATAAGCAGCTATATATGGTATTGATAGACTTTTATTTTTTATTTTTTATTTGTTGTTCAAAGCTGCAATATTCCAGCTGTAAGGCGGCATGCTTTAAATAATATGATCTGGACCAGGCAAACCAGTGATTAATATTATGAACATCGATCCACCACCGTTACTTTATCTTTCATATATTATACTTGAGTTACTTTATTTCCCATGTACTTCACTTGAGTTACTTTATTTCCCATGTATTTCACTTGTGTTACTTTATTTCCCATGTATTTGACTTGAGTTACTTTATTTCCCACGTATTTCACTTGTGTTACTTTATTTCCCATGTATTTCACTTGTGTTACTTTATTTCCAATGTATTTGACTTGTGTTACTTTATTTCCCATGTATTTGACTTGTGGTACTTTATTTCCAATGTATTTGACTTGTGTTACTTTATTTCCCATGTATTTGACTTGTGTTACTTTATTTCCCATGTATTTCACTTGTGTTACTTTATTTCCCATGTATTTGACTTGTGTTACTTTATTTCCCATGTATTTCACTTGTGTTACTTTATTTCCCACGTATTTCACTTGTGTTACTTTATTTCCCATGTATTTCACTTGTGTTACTTTATTTCCCATGTATTTGACTTGAGTTACTTTATTTCCCACGTATTTCACTTGTGTTACTTTATTTCCCATGTATTTCACTTGTGTTACTTTATTTCCCATGTATTTGACTTGTGTTACTTTATTTCCCATGTATTTGACTTGAGTTACTTTATTTCCCACGTATTTCACTTGTGTTACTTTATTTCCCATGTATTTCACCTGTGTTACTTTATTTCCCATGTATTTCACTTGTGTTACTTTATTTCCCATGTATTTCACTTGTGTTACTTTATTTCCCATGTATTTCACTTGTGTTACTTTATTTCCCATGTATTTGACTTGTGTTACTTTATTTCCCATGTATTTCACCTGTGTTACTTTATGTCCCATGTATTTCACTTGTGTTACTTTATTTCCCGTGTATTTCACTTGTGTTACTTTATTTCCCATGTATTTCACTTGTGTTACTTTATTTCCCATGTATTTCACTTGTGTTACTTTATTTCCCATGTATTTCACTTGTGTTACTTTATTTCCCATGTATTTCACTTGTGTTACTTTATTTTCCATGTATTTCACTTGTGTTACTTTATTTTCCATATATTATACTTGAGTTATTTTATGTCCCATGTATTTCACTTGTGTTACCTTATTTCCCATGTATTTCACTTGTGTTACTTTATTTTCCATATATTATACTTGAGTTACTTTTTTCCCCATGTATTTCACTTGTGTTACTTTATTTCCCGTGTATTAGACTTGTGTTACTTTATTTTCCATATATTATACTTGAGTTACAATATGTACCATATATTATACTTGTATTTATTACATAATTTATTTATGTGTAAACAAATATGAGATCCTCAGGCATTTTGTATTATAACTTCGTGCAATTTCCTACTTATCCCTGGTACAGAGCCTTTTTGTGTCAGTGATGTTTTGTTTCAGTAAAAGCTTAAGCAATAAAAATGTCAAGCACATTATTTCTTATAAGCTGAGGTTATTTTAATTGTGGTCCCCAAAACCTATGTTTGGGGCGATCCAGGTACCAACAGGATTACAACTACCTTTTGCCAAAGGTATTTGAGACAAATGAAAAATGCCATGAGAATTCTCAAAAACTCAAAAGATTTGCTTGATGTTTGCATTCCCAATTTGAAATATGTCAAATCATTTTAATTTTTCAACTTGTCATTATTCCACATGATAAACCTTAAGGAACCGTTCATTCCTTGGTCCATGGATCCTTCGTTACATAGATATAACTAAATCTCTATCTTCGAAAGTTCATAACATTTTGTCAAAAATGAAAGCAAACGTAACCTGGAGTTCACATAGAAAACAATATGCGAAATGCTGGATTTCTCCATTCATAACACCTAAGTGCAATTTGGGGGATAGGACATATAGAGAAGAAGCAGGCATCCCCATGGGATGTAAGGGTTCTCCTCTCTGTTATATGCGTAATAGTCATAATTTCTCCCGGATTGGTAAAATCAAAACAATCTGGTCAAGACGTTTAACTACAGCTTCATGTATATCGATGATCAGATATCAATATTGGTCGAATAGCTAATTCCCTTCCACTGATTTACCCACCTGAACTAGATATAGCAGAGACCAGTTAAACCTATGCAAAAAGATTCATGAAAAGCGTGACAAGAACTATTCACAAGATTGTATTGACAAGAGGGATGACTTCAGTTTTCCATAGTCAACTTTCCCTTTATGTCGAGCAATATAGTCGGTCAGCTCCAGCCTTAAGTGTCTTCATTCCATAACTTTTGAGATACAATCAAGTATCCTCTTTCTTCAAAGAGCGCCATACGACTCTTGAATAAAGTCCTATGATCATGGTTATCTATCTATCTTAGTGCGCCTCTTATATATCCTATTTTCCTTGAATACGTAAGCCCAAATAGGATGTAGTAGTAGGCCGTGACGTCACACAGGTGGTATAAAGCGGGCAGGGCCAACCCACCAGCCAGTGTCAACTCAGAAGGCGCAGGAAGAAGGTAGGCGCAGGAACCACGATCAGTGAGTATGTCCCTTATTTCACAACCGTCGCCTTTATCGTCAAGCATGTCCACAAGTATGTTCCATGGTTTCAGTTCCTTAATACTTCATTATGCTCCTTGTCGTTTTATCATTGGTCAACGTGCTTTGAATAATTCAGAAATCACCACCATTACTGGAGGTTTTGAATGCTCTTGAGTTTTAAGTTTGTGTGTATTCTAGCGTCATCGCCATTATGGCAAAATGAACCCATGTGTGTACTCTGAGAATTTATAAGGGAATGAAAATGACATACAACATGAAATAGAACCTGTTATCTCAGCTGTGATGCATATTTTATGTATTATCAATTCATAATTTAAAATATGTAAAAACATATATATCATATATAAATTAGTTTATGGAAGGCGGAACATAAAAACGTCAGACATTCCATACACCGCCCGGTACAATAAGGATATTACACGACACTTTATGCAGATAAACCGTCACACATCGCAAACCATTACGTTATCATTGAGATATCTGGGATGTGAAACGGAACATTGCAAGGGTTTAAGACATCCATCACATGTGAAACAGAACAATGCAAGGGTTTAAGACATTCATCACATGTGAAACGGAACATTGCAAGGGTTTAAGACATCCATCACATGTAAAACAGAACATTGCAAGAGTTTAAGACATTCAACACATGTGAAACAGCACATTGCAAGGGTTTAAGACATCCATCACATGTGAAACAGAACACTACAAAGGTTTAAGACATCCATCACATGTGAAACAGAACATTGCAAGGGTTTAAGACATCCATCACATGTGAAACGGCCATTGAAAGTGTTTAAGACATCCATCACATGTGAAACAGAACATTGCAAGGGTTTAAGACATCCTTCACATGTGAAACGGAACATTGCAAGGGTTTAAGACATCCATCACATGTTAAACAGAACATTGCAAAGGTTTACGACATTCATCACATGTGAAACAGTACATTGCAAGGGTTTAAGACATGCTTCACATGTGAAACGGAACACTACAAAGGTTTAAGACATCCATCACATGTGAAACAGTACATTGTAAGGGTTTAAGACATCCATCACATGTAAAACAGAACATTGCAAGGGTTTAAGACATCATCACATGTGAAACGGAACATTGCAAGAGTTTAAGACATTCATCACATGTAAAAAACGGAACATTGTAAGAGTTTAAGACATTCATCACATGTGAAACGGAACATTGCAAGAGTTTAAGACATTCATCACATGTGAAACGGAACATTGTAAGAGTTTAAGACATTCATCACATGTGAAACGGAACATTGCAAGGGTTTAAGACATTCATCACATGTGAAACAGAACATTGCAAGGGTTTAAGACATTCATCACATGTGAGACAGAACATTACAAGGGTTTAAGACATTCATCACATGTGAAACAGAACATTGCAAGGGTTTAAGGCATTCATCACATGTGAAACAGAACATTGCAAGGGTTTAAGACATTCATCACATGTGAAACAGAACATTGCAAGGATTTAAGACATCCATCACTAAATCACTTGCGAATCAATATTTCCATGTATTATCATGTGCTTTAAATATTTGTTTCACATTCTAAGACGTGTGATTAATAGTTCTGAATAATAAAACCATAGATACACGTAGATGGTTTACTTTTTATAGGACAACGACAGCTCATAATGTTCTAGTATTTGTTTCCCAAGCACTGATATACTGAGTTTAAATGACAACGAAGAAACACAAGGAAATTATCTTTTGTTTTGTAACAGTCGCTTTATCAACATAAATATTCAGCTTAATAAGCCAACGTAATTTACATAAAATTATGATTCTGTTAAAAAAAAGCACCAATTGAGTTGATGTGACCCTCCCAACAACCATGAGCTCGACAGTTATTCTCCACTGCTGAATATATTTCTTCACGAGTTTCTATATCACGAGTATTTATTAATAACGCTGTGACGGAATAACATTCTACAATACATTGAGTTGGTCTTTTACAAGTTGTGGTGTGAAATTTCTTTCTTCAAGGTCGACATACATAAAGCTTTTACCATGTACAATAATAACTCTTCATATTTTAAATATGACATTAAAACTGAAGGCGAATAAGTAAATGGCCATTAGCAGGCGAGGTGTGGAATGTACCTCTCCCCCACGCCCTGCCACGCCCTCATGTCACGTAGCCACTGACACAACGCATTAAGCTTCTCGCCGGTTTCCAATATCACGACAGATATGCTCATTACGATACAAATCGATGTGGCCGACATTTTTTGTTTACATAAATTCCAGCAACTGACAGTTTAGGAGGAAAATAGCGGAGAACACGACACTTTAATGCAGGAAAACAGTTGTAAGCCGCCAACCATTACGTTATCAACGAAATATCTGGCTTGAAAAGTAGAACATTACAAGGGGGTTATGAAATCCAGTACACAAAGCCTTGCAGGTATTCAGACTCGAGGGTATTATGATGGGGCTTGTTTTTACTCGTATTAAGTCAATTCTTTAAGCCATGAACATATTAAGTATAATAATAGGTTTATTGATGCCGAATGCAAAGTAAGAAAATTATAAAAGTGAGTGAGTGAACCAAATCCGACGTGGTAGCGACAGTATTGTAGCATTTCGGCGGTTTCGAAAAACGACACACTAAAGTTCAACAAGCGTTTGTGTTGTAAAGGTGATTAAAGGGAGACTAGACTCAATCTCAATAAAATCAGATCTTAGTTCTCGCTATCGCTAAACAAAGATCTGAGGACATCCCATTACGGGTCACGTCAGAACGACCTTTCATCCGACCAATCAAAGCTCGCTTACCAGATCATGAAAGTGACAGTCGGAATGTGTTTTCTAATCATGCAACCTCGAAAATGCTAAAACGGGATCTTTGTTAAGCGGAAGCGAGAACTTAGATATGATTTTAATGAGATTGGACTGGACTCAAACGATTGAGCATGTAAATTTGATCTAAGGCGTTGAAACACCATTTTCCTTCTCCACAAGTCTCGTTTTATAATGACTATAAATCTAAGATAATTGTCTTCTTAATTACAAAGAGACAATGTAGGTCACAAATAGATCCATGCTTGCCGTAAAAGGCGACTATGCTTGTCGTAAGAGGCGACTAAGGCTGCGTTCCCACAGTACCGCTTATGGCTCCCGTTTGAGATCAGACAGCGCTACGACACGAAAAGTGAAAAAGTCGAATTACTATCCTGAATGAGCTGGAATGTCCTATCATTGTCTGACCGCAGTCGTATACGTTCGTAACAGATTCCCACAGAATGGGAAAGGTCCAGAGAGGTCGGCCAAGCACTTCCGACAGTATGGTGCGTCCCGTAACATTCGGGAAACTCAGCCAATTTTGTCTAGTCGGATTATAATCGTGACTATGTCGTGACAGATTGTGCTGTCCTGTGTTGTCTGGACGGTGTCCTGTGGATTGGGACGTTGTCGCGATGAACGCGCATGAATTGTTCATTGCCGTTTCTTGTCGATTGCGTCGAGATTGCGTTCAGATCTTGCCGAATGCGAACCGTCTTTGACGGTTCACTGTCCGGTCACTGTCTGATCTCTGTCGGATCGCATTCGGGAGAATCGGGACGCTGTCGGGACAGATTCGGTCGTTTTTTACCATGCGGAAGATACAAATCGGATCAGATTCGGATTGGGAACGGGAGAATCGGGACGAGTTCTGCTGGAAACAGGACTCGGGACGCTTACTGAACAATATCTTATTGTTGTGATTAAATGAATGTTTTTACAAATTTGTGAATTTCCCGCCACGAATCACAGGATCTTGATCTGACTTTTGAGAAATTTTAAACGGGAATTGTCCTGTCAAGGACGACAGTAAGAATCCTGAATGTGTGACTGAGCCCCAACGGGATCGGGCGGTCATGCTGGCTGACTTTGTTGACACACGTGATCGTATCCCAATTGCGTGGATCGATGCTCATGATGTTAAAACTAATCAATGGATTGTCTGATCCAGATTCGATTATTTACAGACCGCAGTCATATAGTTGGAATAGTGTTGAGTGCGGCGTTCAACAACAAAAACAAACACTAATTACAATGAATACACAGACTGAATATGGGCAACATACTGCTGAGATACGTACAATAGACTGTTTTTGGCAGAGATTTTTTTATGAATATGGAAAGGGTTTTGTCGCTTTTATTTTAATACAACTACAGTTTGGCAGGATGACCATACGTAATCCTAATCCACGTCATACCTGGACATAAGCTTCCAGTCACTTGTTATTTATCAAGAGTCCAAACCCACAATGCGGTTTCACAGTGTTTCAGTATATGAACATATCCCTGTAAAGTACACATTATTTCCGCGCAGGCGCACACCACGGGAACCAGTACGTTGTAAGTCTGTTAACGTCCTCCTGTCGAGAGGCGTGAAAATACGCCGAATACATCCCACACTTCCGGATGTCCGCTGCCGCACTTCATGTTTGTCGACATACCACACACTTGTATATAGATCTCCGCAGCCGCGACAGGGCCCACACCGACGACTGGTCCACAGATAACCTGTATGCTTATGCTCTCTGTAACAGTTCAATCTGTTGACTTTTTCAGGGAACGATGACAACTTTAACTGCACTCCTCGGATTGTCGATTCTGGTTACCTTTGCCGGTGAGTCTAAGATATTTGGCATTGAAAAGTCGAAAAAATAAATTTCACACTTCTTGATAACTATTTGTGTTGGTCATTATAAAACAGTATCGCACTTATTAGGAAGTGTGTGCACATCTATTTAAATTCAATTTACTTAACATTTTGATATGTTTGATTAGTTATCCATGCATAGGAAGTAATAAAATTAATATACGGCATTATAAGTCAATAACTTTGTTATATGTAATCGTATTAATGTCTTGCCGATGAGAGGAAACGGGTGGCCCTGTCGTCTAAGGTGCCGCGATTCGCTGTGCAGAGTTGCGTCCCTTGGGCCCGCCAGAAACCTATGATTGTAGGTTCGAATCACGGATCGCCCCGATTATGTTTCTAGGGTTGTCAGCACCATACCGGTGCACGTGGGTTTCACCGAAGTGGTAAACGTCGGAGACCTGCATCACTTCGGGCTTTCCTCCCACATTAAGCTGACACGCCGTGATATAACTGCAATACTGTTTAAAGCGGCGTTAAACCCAACTCACTCACTCACTCTTCCCGATGAGGTGTCACATGCTCGACACATACTGTTATATAGAACAACGTGTTTGAGAAGCTGGATTACCATCTCACTCTCACATGTGGAAATATGTATATATACTGATGAGGGAAAATAAGGGAACACAAAAAAATATTACCAGATAATTTGTATTATGTGTTTTAGTCAAACTATTATCTGGATGCGTCACTTCTTGGCCGTTCCTTTATTTAATTCCACGGGTATACATACTACTCAAAAATATATGAAAGAACACTCGATTTTTCATATAGCGTTAGTTAATCTGTGATGAGATGACAGATTAAGTAAAGTAATATGACAAAATCGGGTGTTCTTTAACTTATTTTGAGTGGTATACACTGATGTGGCGAAAGTTAGTCAACTAACACTAAGAGGCTATATCCATTTTACGGTAATGTAGCATGAATATTTTTAACATATACTGTCTTAACGACGTGTCACCATATTTGTGTACAAATATTACATAATTAATAATTTTAAAAATGGGAGTAATTTATTTGAAGTATGGACATGGCCGTGCACTCAAGAGCCATATGTTGACATGGAGGAAAATGGCTCTCGCAAGTACATTACATATGATTGTGCTTTCTATCCGGATGTAATATGCATTTTAATGAATAGGCTGTTTTTATCAGTATTGAAGTCTCAAACATTATTTATGCTACACTGCACTAACATCGAAAGCTGCGGTATTTACTTAGTTGAAATCACACCTGTTATGTCAACTTGTACCCACTTTACTCGGAGAGGGAAGTAAATCGAATTATATGCTGTTACACGGGACATAGTTTACTGGTTAGGTAGGCTATATTGCTCAAGTTAGCTATAAGTTAAACAATATTTGATACATAAATTATACTCAGGCATGACCAGTAAATACCTACACACGGATCCAGACGTGCGTGCGGGTCTTTGTGTGCATGTGCGTGCGTGCGTGCGTGTGTGTGTATATGTGTGTGCAGGAATGCACAACCTTCTTTGAAGCATAATAAACAGTACACGTTAAAATAAACATATTGTCATTTGGTCATTCAATCATATTACCACGACTACCAAACGTTTGTTTCGCGATCTATTTGCACACACCCATCACGTGACATGTTTAGTGCATCCTTCTCCCAAAGATCTGTATCCGCGCTTGAACTAGCAGACTGGTGTTAAAACGCATGTATGTTTGAAAAACAGACATACAGATAGAAAAAAACAGAAACGTTCTTAGGGAATGCTAAGCTAGTGACGGCTTCGCTGGCTGGATGATCCTAACTTGATATTGAGGTGTTATCTGACAACCTTAGTCAGTCAGTAAATGAGGAGGTAGTCAATCGACATTCTCAAAAGATTCCACCAGAAACACTATGTACTGGAGAAGATTATTAATTTAAGTTTTTACCCATAGGGTTAGAAACGAATCGGAGGTGCACCTGTGCAAATGTCACGCGAACCAATGTATTACATACGTCATCCGGGCGGCATTGTTGACTTCATTGGAATCGTATTGTGACGTAAGGCTGGGGGGGGGGGGGGGGGGCTCAGGAAAGATTACGAAATATTGGTAATGAAAATTATTAAACTCGCATGTGAGTCATACAGTTCATCTATTGCCCTCGCGCGCACGGGAAATACAAGAATTCTGACACTCGTTTCGTAAAGTCAGGATGACACACATACTCGTATAATAATCTCTATTTATGTCTTTGTTTTAATCCCTCACGGCGGCGTGATGTGGTGTCGGTCCCCGGTCTCAAACATACCAACGTGCAGATTAACCTCCGCTGATGGTTGTGGCGGCTTCTGGTTGATGACGCCACTGTCTAGCTGTTGATGCAGGGCCTAGCAACGTTTTATTGTGACATACGTCATCTTTCAATTGCTTTCCATTTGTTTACACTGATAACTGTATCGTGACTGACTGTGACTACATGTGTTGTAGTGTAGGACGGGGGCAACGACCTGGACCCACTTGCACAAAGGCCTTATGCATAGTGTTAGACAGGCACAACAACGACCTTATCTTACAGCGTTAGACAGGCACAACAACGACCTTATCTTACAGCGTTAGACAGGCACAACAACGACCTTATCTTACAGCGTTAGACACAACGACCGTATCTTACAGTGTTAGGCGGGCACAACAACGACCTTATCTTACAGTGTTAGACACAACGACCTTATCTTACAGTGTTAGACAAGGCACAACATCGACCTTCTCTTAAGCGTCAGACACAACGACCTTATCTTACAGTGTTAGACAGGCACAACAATGACCTTCTCTTATAGCGTTAGACACAACGACCTTATCTTACAGTGTTAGACAGGCACAACAATGACCTTCTCTTACAGCGTTAGACACAACGACCGTATCTTACAGTGTTAGACAGGTACAACAATGACCTTATCTTACAGTGTTAGACACAACGACCTTATCTTACAGTGTTAGACAAGGCACAACAACGACCTTATCTTACAGCGTTAGACACAACAACCGTATCTTACAGTGTTAGGCGGGCACAACAACGACCTTATCTTACAGTGTTAGACACAACGACCTTATCTTACAGTGTTAGACAAGGCACAACAACGACCTTATCTTACAGCGTTAGACACAACGACCGTATCTTACAGTGTTAGGCGGGCACAACAACGACCTTATCTTACAGTGTTAGACACAACGACCTTATCTTACAGTGTTAGACAGGCACAACAATGACCTTCTCTTATAGCGTTAGACACAACGACCTTATCTTACAGTGTTAGACAGGCACAACAATGACCTTCTCTTATAGCGTTAGACACAACGACCTTATCTTACAGTGTTAGACACAACGACCTTATCTTACAGTGTTAGACAGCGGAAAATCACGATCTTCTAGACACCTACCTTGACGCAAAACTCTTCCCGTGTAAAGTTCACGGTGCCTCTTACTGTCCGAGGAGATGTCTACTATTCCTTTCTTCACGTGAAGCGTGTATACCATGATTAATCATTCCCCTTGGGTCGTGACATGGTGTTTAACGTGTACCTGTTTTTATTTATCTTTGGGTTTATTTCAGGGAACCATGTTGGGGCCCAAACAACGTCCACCATTGCCCCTAGCCAGACACAATCAGTTGCTGTATCTGGGACGTCAACGGTTTTGGCGTCCGCCAGTGTGACAGCATCAGCATCCGTGTCAGCATCAGCATCAGCATCAGTCACTCCCACGAACATGCCCACAACTACAACAACGGCTGGGTCGTCAGAGAAAACATCCTCTACCATTCTATTCTTTACAGTAATCATGGCGTCAATATTACTCGTTGCCGCCATTGCTATGTAATTACATCCTAATCCGAAGCGTGACGTCATTGTCGTTCTCGCCATTGTGAAATGACAACTATATATGTGATACTTACTTCATGAGACGAATGTAGTCGCTATCTGTCGGGTGGCGTCACTGTGTACATGAAGATTGGTATGACGCCAGGCTGGTCGACTGATCCGATAAACACCCTTACGCCCAAGCTCCTTCCCAGCGCGTGACACCTTCGTTACACTCTATAGAGAGCTCCGCGAACGGACTATCGCTGTGAGGAGCTTGCCTTACGCCATGACACCCAGCGGACACCGCAGATTACACCCCGAAATATACACACTCCAGGCGATACCCTGGAAGACAAACCTGACACAAAGACACTGTTCAATGGTTTTGTAATCATGATGCGTATTTAAAATTAGTCCTTTTTATATTTTTATACTGAAATAAAGAATATATCTATGTTGTTTAAATGTACGTTCCTTTGTATACCGTGTGGACGATAGGTCTGGGTGTATCTTTGCTCGCGCAGATCTGTGGGATGTTCCTGAAGAGCTTTTTTTCTGACTCTACTACTACGACTGCAAGCGTAGCTTCGCAATATGCTGTCACCATGGGAAAGTAGGGTAGCCTAGTGATTAATGCTTTGGCTCGTCACGCCGAAGCCCTGGATTCGATTCCTCACATGGATGCTATTGTATACTCCCCAGGGAGCTGAGAATGAAAATCGAGTGCTCACTGATCCACTGACCGGGGTAATAATAGTGTAGCGCTATGAGCATCCACTTGGTGAATGGAATCTGGTGCATTATAAATGCACTTCTTCTTCTTCTTCTTCTTATTATTATTATTATTAATTTTATTATTAGTATGTTTTGAATACAGTTCTTGGAATACCCCACGGTAATATGGTTCCAATAATGATAAAACCGCCCCTGGTATGAAATAGTCCCAGGCACACTAATGGCGGCCGTCAGAAATTAGACGGGTATTCAGGCTGGGTGACTTGGTTCATTGCGTGTTATCGTATTCCGGGATGTGAGGGGCGTTGCTCATAATATCAACCACTTGTTTGTATGACACAGACCCGTTAGGAACTGGTCTGACAATAAGGTGTATAATAGTGGTAAGTTTGAATAGATGGGACAGTAAATTTGAACCACTCACCGTGAGCCTATCTACAACATTATATGACACTGTAGGTGACATTACGTGGTGACAGGTGTTGTATATCGAACGCTGACAGCTGTGTTAGATGTTGCAAGACCCATATTACCAGTTTAGAAGGGGTTGATGTTTCAGCTTACATGGTGTTCCACTGTGTACATGTTAGTCTAGGTTAGTCAGCGTCTGATCGAGATTATGTAATATACACTGTACCTGTGTAATATATATATAGAATACTAAACGAGCTCCCTTGTATTACCAATTTTATGAAACGAGTGAATAATTCTGGTATCTGACTTTTTTTAATAGATTTTCAATGTCGTGTGTGACTATAGGCAGACATCTACGCGATCCACAGCATAATCCAATTGAGTTTAACAAAACAATACTTCAAACACGTCAAAAGTTGACACGTATTAATTTAATACCATGCAACGGCCCACCTTCCAGAAAGTTATCGTAGCGCTAAGGTTATCAATAACTCCCATAAACCTAGACGTACAAGTGTCGTGGCGCTACGATCGCTTTGTGGAACGGGGTCTGCACCACAAAGTTTACAATTACGTCACAATACCCTATGACGTAATTTGTGAAATGTTTCTACACTTTCTACACAGTGCCAGACCAGTCCAGTGCCACTTGAACATCACAGAATATTTCACATGTTTCTATAACGCTTGACATCCATCCATGCTATTCCGGAAGTTAACAGATAATTCGGGCATCTAAATATAATATCTTCTTCGCCACTGCTTACATTAAATAGTACTACATTCATGACGACTTCTCATTGCCCAAATACAATCTACTGAATCTCGACAGAAACAATGCAATACAGTTAACAATAAATTACACTTCCCAAAAACAAGTTGTACATGTGTGATATACTAGTCTTGTATACTTGTGCGTCGTCTGCACGTTGCACGTTTGACTTATTGACGAAAACTCCCTAGAGGCGTCGTCCGTACGTGTGTGACCTATTTGCACGTTTGACTTATTGACGAAAATTCCCTAGAGCCGTCGTCTGTACGTGTGTGACCTATTTGCACGTTTAACTTATTGACGAAAATTCCCTAGAGGCGTCGTCCGTACGTGTGTGACCTATTTGCACGTTTGACTTATTGACGAAAATTCCCTAGAGCCGTCGTCTGTACGTGTGTGACCTATTTGCACGTTTAACTTATTGACGAAAATTCCCTAGAGGCGTCGTCTGTACGTGTGTGACCTATTTGCACGTTTGACTTATTGACGAAAATTCCCTAGAGGCGTCGTCTGTACGTGTGTGACCTATTTGCGAGTTTGACTTATTGACGAAAATTCCCAAGAGGCGTCGTCTGTACGTGTGTGATACAATTGTTGGCGAACAATGACGAGAGGCGTCATCTGCACGCGTGACTTATTGACGGCGTCTGCACGTGTGTGATATACGTCTGTACTTCTGCGCATGTTTGATATACTTGCTGACGAAAACGCGTTAGAAGCTTCGTCTTTACGTGCGTGACATACGTCTGTACTTCTGCACGTGAGTAAGAACTTACTAATGAAAAGGCATTAGAGGAATCGTCTGAACGTCTTTGATATGTCTGTACTTTTGCACGTGTGTAATATACTTGTTAATGAACAAACTCTAGAGGCCTCGTCTGCACGTGTGTGATATACGGCTGTACTTGTGCACGTGTGTGACATATGTTGGGTGGCACGTGGTCCTGTGCACAGCAACGTGGTCGTTTCAAGGGCTTCGGACCTGCTCTGAACTGAACCACATGTGGCATATGTGGTGTCTCCTTGGGGAAGTGCCTCACAAGGCAGCTAATAATAATAATAATAATAATAATAATAATAATAATATACAGATTAAAATAAAAAAATGTTACAAAGAGGGTTTGGTTGATTCTGCCAGTCAGCCGGTTATCATCATCATCATCATCATCATCATCATCATCATCATACGTCTGTCCGTGTAAGGGGATACACCTAACACACTTAATTGCGCATCAACGTTACTGTTCCATATTAAAAATCTGATTGATGCCAACGCCCACCAGTGACTGATACGAACATCTCGTGGTACAGTGACGTCAGCCAGTGTATAAGATGGGCAGTAGCGCAGATTGAGACAGTTTCACCTGTAACACCTGTATACACCTGCATAGGCCTGTAGTAGAGGACAGGTAGGTCACCCGCTTAACAGTATTCACCTCCCACCAGGGAACGTCTTGTACGAATGAAATGTGCCTCGCAAATTGATTATAATCTTTATAAGAACCAGTACTTGGAATGTGATGTTCTATTTTACACGCAGAACTGGAACTATACTCACTCTATGAAGCTAAGTAGTGTGTATGTGTTTTGAATGGCTTGCATAATACATTTTTTCATATTTAGTTCATATGAGTTGAATGATAAGTTCAAGTTTCTGGGCTCACATTGTAGGAACTGTGTCATAGTGAACTATTTTACTTAATAGAGAAATGTTTTGTTGTGGACATTACGTGATGTAATAGAGCAATGTCCACAAAAACGTGTGTCAGTTGAGGAAATTGCTTCGCGGCATTTCGGTAAAATAAGCAGGGGTCTGTGACCTTTTGAAAATCATCAAATTTGAGGAACACGCCGTGATCAAGTACTATCAGAATGAGGCCTTAACATAAATATAAACATCCTTGAAAATACATGTACACCATAGGGAAAGATGACCCTTCCTATGCTACCATACAGAGGTGGGCAGCAGAGTTTAGGCGTGGCAGGGAGAGCCTTGAAGAGAACTCCCGTTCTGGAAGGCCTGTCCCTTCAGTATCACCAGAAATGATCCAGAGAATCCACGATAGGGTGATGACCGACCGGCGAATGACTGAACGCCATATTGATTGCTAGTTCAGTGGACATTTCCCAGGACAGTGTACATTCTATTATTACAGTCACTTTGCCAATGAAGAGAGTATCAGCTCGTTGGGTTCCAAGGTTTCTTAAATTTGATAGTGAGTGCGTGAATGTGGTTTTACACCGCTTTTAGCAATATTACAGCAATATCACGGCGGGGGAAACCGAAATGGACTTCACACATTGTACCCACGAGGGTATCGAACCCAGGGTTTTGGCGTGACGTGCGAACGTTTTAACCACTGGGCTATTCCACTGGCCCCCTGACATTTGATAAAAAAACGCACAACATATCTCATGATAATATAGCTCTGTTTGAAGTTGATCCAGAAAGGTTCTTGCAACGATTTGTGACTATAGATGAAATCTGGTTCAGCACTCCACCCTTGAATCTAAACAACCGTCTGCAAGTACAGTAAACTACGGTTATAACGAACTCAAAGGGGCCACTAATTTTAGTTCGTTATATCCGTAGTTCGTTATAAGCATATATACAGCATATGTACAACAAATGGCCGGGACTAAAAATAAGTTCGTTATATCGGTCAGTTCGTTATAAGCGTGTTCGTTATAACCGTAGTTTACTGTACTTGATCACTGCACGTTATCAAGTTTGTCCATTTTCCTTATGTCTCAGACGCCTGCATGTTTTACGTACTTACTCAATTCATTTAAGTTTTTTTGTGGTTTTAAATATGCATTAAAAGTGCTCAGTGCCTCAATATATGTACTGTTCTGATATCAATCGCTCGGTTTAAAGGGCTCTTAAACCAACGTCAAGTACTCCATTGTAAGGCATCTAGACGTATCTCCCTCGGACACGTCTCGTTTACAGTGATAATGTTGAGGTGAACTCTTCGTCACTGACACCCGAGATGCCTGTTCTCTATATAGTCTATTGTTGTCACGTCTCATGCATAGGATTACAAAGCCAGTTGTCATATAACACCTGTGTCAGCCAGAGACAATACCCCATCTACATGTCCCCGTGATCAACAGCAGTCAGCCTCGCCTTGGCCTTTTTTCTATTAGTTGGTTTTCGGATATTAATCTCAAAACTTTCCTTTGCTCAGTTGACGAAATGAAAATAGTCTTCAGTTATTCATGCGTGTGCGCAGGTGTGTGTGTGTGTGTGTGTGCGCGCGCAGGTGTGTGTGTGCGTGTGTGTGCGTGTGCGTGTGCGTGCGTGCGTGCGTGTGTGTGTGTGTATGTGTGTGTGATAGGTATTGTTTGGAGTATCGGTTTTGTTTGTTGTTTAACGCCGCACTCAGCATTATTCCAGCTATATGACGGCGGTCTGTCAGTAATCGAGTGTGGACCAGACAGTCGAGTGATTGGTATAGCATCGGTCCACGCAATTGGGATACGATGACATGCATCAACCAAGTCAGCGAGCCCAATCCCGTTATTTGCCTCTTACGATAAGCATAGTCGCATCTTATGACAAGCATGGGTTGCTGAAAACCTATTCTGACCCGGATCTTCATGGGTACGGAGTATCGGTAAAGTTAGTTGTGTGAATAGTATTTCAGCGTATTTGAACAAGTACTGGCCAGTGGACATGTGCCCCTTGTCTCAAACATGTAGGCGGATAAAAGATGTGATGACAGTATCAAGCTGCACATGTTTAAACATATCTTCCATATGCAAGGCAATACGGTCATAATATCTTTGTAGCATATAGTGCTAAACGTATTGTTCCGTTCATACTTGCTAGCTTTCCGCTCACTGCTCCTGTTGTGCCCACACCCCTCACTCCTCCTGTTGTGCCAATCCCCCTCACTGCTTCTGTTGTGTCCAACTCCTCCCTCAGGAATGAATTTTGATTTTACACATGTCTTGTATCTAAAAATATACCCATGATACAGTTAAACGTGTTCAATCATACTGTATAAATACCCCCCTCATTGCTCCTGTTGTGCCCACCCCCTTCATTGCTCCTGTTGTGCCCGCCCCCTTCATTGCTCCTGTTGTGCCCGCCCCCTCACGGCTCCTGTTGTGTCCACCCCCTCACGGCTCCTGTTGTGCCCGCCCCTACATTGCTCCTGTTGTGCCCGCCCCCTTCATTGCTCCTGTTGTGCCCGCCCCTTCATTGCTCCTGTTGTGCCCACCCCTTCATTGCTCCTGTTGTGCCCACCCCCTTCATTGCTCCTGTTGTGCCCACCACCCCCTCACTGCTCCTGTTGTGCCCGCCCCTTTACTGCTCTTGTTGTGCCCACCTCCTTCATTGCTCCTGTTGTAGCGCCCCCTCACGGCTCCTGTTGTGCCCGCCCCCTTCATTGCTCCTGTTGTGCCCACCCCTTCATTGCTCCTGTTGTGCCCACCCCTTCATTGCTCCTGTTGTGCCCGCCCCCTTCATTGCTCCTGTTGTGCCCACCCCCTTCATTGCTCCTGTTGTGCCCGCCCCCTTCATTGCTCCTATTGTGCCCGCCCCCTTCATTGCTCCTGTTGTGTCCACCCCGCACTGCTCCTGTTGTGTCCATCCCCTCACGGCTCCTGTTGTGCCCACCCCCTTCATTGCTCCTGTTGTGCCCGCCCCCTCACTGCTCCTGTTGTGCCCACCCCCTTCATTGCTCCTGTTGTGCCCACCTTCCTTACTGCTCCTGTTGTGCCCATCCCCCTCACTTTGCCCACCCCTCACTGCTCCAGTTGTGCCCGCCCCCTTTACTGCTCCTGTTGTGCCTGACCCATCACTGCTCTTGTTTTGCCCACTCCCTTCACTGCTCGTGTTGTGTCCCCACTAATTGCTGTGCTGTCCGTGCTGTGTAATACAACTGACTTTGATTGTTTCAGAGTACCATGTCAAGTGTGACCATACTCGCCGGACTATTTGTCCTGGTTGCCGTGGCTGGTGAGTCCGATCCTATTCGCCTATAAGCTCATCTATGTTCCCACATAAAGCACTTTGACCTTTCAGTAATCTGAGACTGTCTGACTGTATCGCCACACATGGTCTTCTCGACTATAGACCCATGATACAAACTGAAATTCTAGTTATATCCACTGCGTGTCAGATTGTTGGAGGAAAGCCCGAAGTAATCCCCGTTTACCACTTCGGTGAAACACACAAGTACGGTAGACAAACCTAGACACATAATGAGGGAGAACGGGATATGAAAACGCACGATCATTGGTTCCGGGGACGCCCAAGGGACGCAACCCTGCATTGCGAACTTAGGCGACTTTATCACCAGTGGCACAAGGAACTGGAGACTCCGCGCATCATTCGTCACCACTTGCTCTTTTCCGTACCCTGCAAGAAGACCCGTCCCCCTATCGATGAATGTTACGTGCGAAAATACTACAAACCAATCAGCATGCACGTATGGCTTGAAGTACTTCGGTCAAAGAATCCCTCAGGAATGATTTTTGATTTTACAAATGTCTTGCATCTAAAAATATACCAATGATACAATTAAACGTGTTCAATCATACTGTATAAATACCGTAAGTCCCGATGTGTTTTAAATAGCCACTGTAATATATATATGACATGGCGGAAATATATAATAATTATACTTAACGAGTTGACAATTCTTTTAACTCTGCCCGTTTGCGCTTAGACGGAACCCAGTCGCAGAAATGCCCAAGAGAGGGGCACACGCCGCTATTCGGCTTGTCCCGGAATAACACGAGTTGGTCACGAATGGAATCGGACAAAACTAAACATAAGTTTTGTTGTGTTACTCTCGTACACTGTTATTTTTACATTTGCACTGTTTGGTTTTATCTTGCCGTTACAGGCAACCTCGTGGGCGTTGACGGAACGTCAACAGCCACCAGCACAGCGTCAACATCAGCACCAGGTAATGCGTCAACGTCAACTGTTGCGCCATCCATGTCTGCGTCTCCGACTTCTGTTATGCCGTCCATGTCCATGTCAATGTCTGCGTCGGCCAATCCATCTACATCTTCATCTGCTGTCTCCCCGACATCTACGCCACCACCAAGTACAACTGGGGGCACGTCAGAGACAAGTTCCTCCGCCATCCTCTTCTTCACAACAACCTTGGCGTCTCTGTTTCTCATCGCCGTCGCATCTATGTAGGCGTTACGTCAACATGACGCCATCATTACGTCATCGTGACGTGAACATGACCTGTCATTGTGACTTGATGGTGTTATTATTGTGACAATGTATATTGTATGTACATCTATGATACAGATGTAGGCTTGATACGAAACGTTTCACAAAACCACCTTTTTATTCAGATTATTTAGAAGCATATACCGTATTCGACGTAATAAGCACCCCTCTCTTATAAACGCCCGGCGATATTTGCTAATATATTGGCGAGTGAACAATCCCAATTAGCACTCCTTCCGATGATCAATGTGCACCAGACTTATTTATTCGCGTATAATACGCACTCGTGTGTTATATGCACCCTTAATTATGGGCAATTAAATTCTGGAAGAATATATCTGTCGTATATAAACATATCAGGCTGTCAGCATAAACCACGAAATTTATCTTTCAACTCTGTTTTTTTTTCTCCACCAAAATAATATTTTAATAAGAGCCCCATATTTCTAATTTTGAGAGCGCCCTGGGCGCTTATTACGTCGAATACGGTAATCGTTGTCGATGTATCCGTGGGCATGAAGATTGGCATGACACCATCAGGTCGACTAATCCGATGAACACTCTGACACACAAGCTGAAGCCCGGAAACTAGACACTCCGAGACTTTGATTATCTTTATACTGAAAATAAAATAATAATAATAAATTATGTTTTTGTTATACTTCATACTAATAATCTGTTGAGGGTTAGGCGGTTACCTATCATGTTAGACCCGTGAAGATTCTTAAGTACAAAGAGACAATGTAGGTCTCGAATAGGTCTTCAGCAACCCATGCTTGCCGTAAAAGGCGAGACTAACGGGATCGTGTGGTCAGGATCTCCGACTTTGCTGACGCATGTCATCGTATCCCAATTCCGTAGATCGATGCTCATACTGTCAATCACTGGACTGTCTAGACTCGATTATTTACAGACCCCTGGCTGGAATATTGCTGAGTGCGGCGTTAAAAAACAAACAAACAAACCTATCATGTTAATGGTGAGTGAGTAATTGCATGAGTGAGTGACGGGCACATTGGTGAAACACATTAGAACAACAGTTCATGGTTACACATGTGAGTCAGTATGGTTTTACGCCGCGTTTAACACTATTCCACCATCACATCTGGACACACAGAAATGGGTCGACATATGGTGCACCCATGTGATGAATCGAACCCGGGCATTCGGTGTGACGAGCGAACGCTTTAACCATTATGCTTGCCCAACCCCTGTTCCACATTAGGCATAGCTCTTGCGTCACAACGATTCGATGTGCAGAGCTGCATCCCCAGGGCGTTGGTTGGTAACCGATTCACCCTGATTATGTCTTTAGGTTTGTCAGCACCATATCCCCCGGCTCGTGGATATCACGTGGTAAACGTCTGAGACCTGCACCACTTCGGGCTTTCCTCCAACTAACGGGATCGGGTGGTCAGGCTCGTTGACTTGATTGATGCATGTCATCGTATCCCAATTGCGGAGATCGATGTTAATGATGTTAATCACTGGATTGTCTGGTCCAGACTCGATTATTTACAGACCGCCGTCATATAGCTGAAATATTGCTGAGTGCGGCGTTAAACAACAAACAAACAAACAAACAAACATCAAGCTGACACGCGGTAAATAATGATGTTTTCCAAAACTAAAGATGTAACTAACATTGCAAAGCACTACATGTACTTAAGAAGGATTTCCCTATGCCCTATCACACACGGAACAGATTAGCCACGTTGAACAAGATAAACTGTACATACCAAATGAAAGGACTGAGAGCCAGTCAGCCCTCCAGGGGACTTATAACTGAACCACGCCGCAGCGATCGTAACGTCCCCGACGCAACGCTACCATTTATTTCCTGGATATAATTTAATGTGTACTTGTAGAATAAGGTGTTCAACTAAGATTCTCTCAATATGAATCCATTAGTTAAGAAAAAAAACCCAATCCATTTGTTTATATTTCCGATGATCCACAAATATTTTTGTGCAGTGTTTATTAACGAAGAGTATACCCCGATCCCGTTAGGCGCCTCTTACAACAAGCATGGGCTGATGAAGACCAATTCTAACCCGGATCTTCACGGGTTCGAAGAGCATAACTTTCGATACTGTGGGGTACTATTGAATACATTTTTATGTAATACTTCTTTACCTTATCATATCAATCAATGGATTATTTAAATCACAAATCGATATTTCTCACATCATGAAATAACTGTGAGTATTATGTCATTATATTATTATAATCATTCATTGATATATTTTTTTATGTCATAAATCACTTGTTAAACAATTCGAATTCTTGATCTCAATAAATGAATTAATTATTTTGATAATAAAATACAGAATAAATAGTAAAACTGTTCCTCACATAAGTTATTAATGCTGAAATCATTATGCCGTGGTATCGTAATTTAATTTCTTTGAGTGGCATTTAGAAATTGGAGTGATGAAGTAAGACGAGTTCTATGGATGAACTCTCTTGTAATAAAGAAGTTGTTCATCCATAGAACTCGTCTTACTTCGTAATTTAATGTCTTACATAACTACGGACATCTCGCCCCCTATGATACTTATCGATAAGCAATTATACTTCCTTTAAACTCAACTTTACTTCTATAGTAGAGTTATATCAGTCGCCTCGGAAATGCTGTTACGGATAGCATCACTTAACGGAATTCCGTCCGCGAGTAACCATTGAAAACACGCGTCAGAGATATGCCCAGGTGAACGCCTCACGTGACCTGTGACGTGTGGGGAATCCCCTTGCCGACCGAACATGGCGTCCCTGGTTACACGGAAGCAGGTGACACGCCCCCGACTATGGGTCTCGGTTGACAAGAAACAAATTGATTATGCATCTGTATCTGGTCAGTCCAGGTAATTAGGTCATTTATTACTTGATGCAAGAGTATGATGTACTTTTAAACCAAGGCATCATAGTGTAAAAATGTAATATATTGTTGACAATGAACAAACACAATTTAACACCACCACAATAGTGCAAATTCGCATAGACGAAGCAATATAATGAAGAATCTACTTTCTTCATTGGTTTTAATAAGCGAAGGGTGTGTAATGTAACATTCCATTGCATGAGATGGATGTGTTTGACAGAATGCTTGTAATAATAGATTCAAATAATGAACATGGAATCTGTAATTTTCTGTAAATAATGATTAAATATTATTATTAGAACTGAATGGAAGATGACCTCCAAGCTTAACAATGAAATATTTATGAGATAAACGATGAGTGGGAGTTGTTTATTTCTTATATGAGATATCAACATTATTAACAGCCTCTTTAAGGATGATGATAAAATGTACCAGCTTTTAAAAATATTTACCCAAATTTTAATAATGATGACTCCCTCAATAGAATCCGACCTCGGCAATGGCGGACAAGTCCTTTTGTGCACAGGTGGGTATTTCCCGCATATTGTCACAATCCTCACATCGATTACCTGAACCTTTTCTCCTAACAGACCGCCTCCGTGGTCTTGTGGTAGAGCGTCCGCCCGGAGAGCGGAAGGTCCAGGGTTCGATCCCGGGCCGCCTCATACAAAAAGACGTTAAAAGATTGTACTTGTTGTTACCCTGTCTGGCGCTCGGCATTAAGGGGCTGAAACAAGGACTGGTCGGCTCGGAGTCAGTATACTGTGTCTGAGTGGGGTATTCATGTTAAACTGCGGCATGGTATCTCAGTGAGCTAGCACTATAAATCAGCATCAGTCCGGACTAGTACAAGCAGCCACACACACACACACACATACACGTGCATGCACGTCGCTATGTAAGTGCAATAATCTTGGACGCGACGTTAAACCCAATTTCACCTCACCTCACCTTTCTCCTAATACCGATTGTCATATCTCTCCTGCTTTTGGATACAATCGTTTGGCCATCATGTTTATCTCTGTTGTCCAGATACTTCTATGGGGAGTTACTCACCAGACACTCCCCTCTAAAAAATAACGTTGTCCAATATACAACATTATCAAGTTGCGAGTCCATGTTCGAATCTCCAGAAATGATGTCATGATAGAACAATGTTTTATCATGAAATAAAGCAGGCTTGTTCTTCATTGTGATATATCGTGTAGCTATCTTATTTGGATAGTTAGAATTATCAACATCTTTGATGTGTTTTGGGGTCATCTTCCATGCAGACCTAGTAATAATACATTATTTACAGACTGCTGTGATGTAGCTGGAATATTGCATTGTGCAGCTTAAACAACAAACAAACAAACAAACAAACAAATCAATGGGCAGTCTACTGAGACAATGTACCCATGGCTTACATCAAGGGGCGGTCGGGTAGCCTAGTAGTTAAAACGTTCGCCTGTCACGCTGAAGACCCGGGTTTGATTCCAGACATGGGTACAATGTGTAAAGCCCATTTCTGGTGTCCCCCACCGTGATATTGCTGGAGTATTGCTAAAGGCGGCGGAAAACCATACTCACTCACTCCTATTACATCAACACCTAGACTGGTCATTAGGGAATAACAGCTCCCCAGTAACCGATGCTAGTTGGATCAGGCTTGGTGACTTGTCAAGGGCATTAGACACGGCTCATGATTTCAATCACTGGATTTTCCAGAAATTTATTATTTACCGGTACACACTGCTGTCATATAGCTGGAATAGTTCAGATTGCGGCGTTAAACAACATTAACACAAAGTCCAACGTCGTCATCTCCCCATCTTCTTCCCTGTTATAAACACAATTGTGTGCATTCAGCACTCTTTAAGTGTTTGCATACTGAATGAATTACAGTAAACTATGGTTATAACAAACTCAAAGGAACACTAATTTTAGTTCGTTATATCCATCGTTATATGCATTTCGACCGTCAGACATCTTTTATCAAGTCATTTGACATCATGCTACTCGATAAATAACAAAAGTGTGCACTGTACATGTACACAATATATCCACTTCAATCACTGTGTTACTAATGTTAATTGAGGGTGTAATTTGAAGACAAGGTGTCAGTACCTTAGAGTAAATCAATTGCCTTCAATTGTTTATTGACGCTTTGAATGGCAGCATTTGGCTACGGATGTTTTGATAGGCAGATTCGTGACACGTAAGGAGCTTAGCTCAGGGATTAACAGTTTGTTATACACTTGACAAGATAGACACAATATTATGGATAACAACTTCTTTAATACCGTGAAAAGCGGCGTTTCGGTATAGATCCTTATATCGTTGTCAAGCAAGACTCTTATATCCTTGTCTTGCTTGACAACGGTATAAGGATCTATACAGAAACGTCGCTTTTCACAGTATTAAAGAAGTTGTTATCCGTAATATTGTGTCTATCTTGTCATCCGTCAACTTCTAAGTAATGCCTATCAAACAGTTTGTTATACACTTAAACAATACCATTGACAGAGCACACACAGGACCACAAGGTGAGTTCGCTATATCCGTTATTTTGTTATGAGCATGTTTGTTATATCCATCAACTTTATATGATAAAATATATGGCAAATGGCCGGGACCAAAAGAACAATTTATTATATCCATCAGTTTGTTATAAGTGTGTTCGTGGTTTACTGTATGTCTCAAACACTTTCATCACATACAAACTGTAACAATTACATAAGCAATACAGAAAGAAAACCTGTGGCGTATAACACATACAAGTGTGTCTCCACCCATTTGTCAGATACCGTATTCGACATAATACGCGCCCAGGGCGCTCTCAAAATTGGAAATAGGGGGCTTTTATTAGAATATTATTTTGGTGGAAAAAACAGAGTTGAAAGATAAATTTCGTGGTATATGCTGACGGCCTGACTGTTTATATACGACAGATATATTTTTCTAGAATTTAATTGCCCAAAATTAAGGGTGCATATAACACACGAGTGCGTATTATACACGAATAAATAAGTCTTGCGTACATTGATCAATCGGAAGGGGTGCTAATTGGGATTGTTCACTTGCCAATATATTAGCAAATATCGCCGTGGCGCTTATTACGTCGAATACGGTACCATAAAATCACTAATGCTACTGTTGAACTCTCCCAGCAGCCAATGCCTGCTATCCAAATTTACTACCCGGGTACCCACCCCCTAATACCCTACCCTACCCGGGTACCCACTGTAGGTCTCAGGAGATATCTCAAAATGTCTGATTGGGAACTTTTTTAGCATACCCCCGGCAAAACATATTTAGATACATGTATTGAACAATCTGGTCATGCACACACTGAAGTTGACTTAAGTTATATATTTATTCAACTATATGAAAAATCAGAAGGAATGGGTGCATAGTCAGAAGGAAACGCGAACAGTAGTGACTTGTAGTGTAACCATAGAGTTCCAGATAATTTTAGTCATTAGACAATATATCATGTGACTAACCACGGGTCCGGGTAGTCCTGTGGGTACCCGGGTCATACTCAGTACCCACCCGACCGGGGTACCCGAGTTACCCATCCCAGCCCTAGTCTCCGACCATTTGTCAGATACCTTAAAATCACAAATGCTACTGTTCAGTTCTCCAAGTTGCCAATGCCTGCTACCCATGTGGTAAAATGGATTAGTCTGGGTCATACCAAATGATCACACCTCATGACAATATTTTCATTGTGTTTCATAGGTTTTAAAGGTCACATGGATAATTGAACAAGGTGTAATGTACTACTACATCAAGGTACATCATTTTGCACTTTGGAATCGATTACTTGAGTCAGCCCAATTTCTGTGAACACAATCAAATACTTGGGTCATTCTGCAGAAAATGGCAAAATGTTGTCACTGACATTCTGGCTAAAACATGCTATTCTTTTGTGTTTTTGAAAACGATTTTCACTTCTATGTTTCAACACCTTAAATAGGCTATATTAAATCACCGAAACAAAACAACATATTTTTCATGTTGAGTCTGCATCTCATTTTGGATGTTATTAGTTCAACGTTCATTTTGCTTTAAACACTTTTTTCGCTGTACTGAGTTGCATCACTAAGGTTTGTCTGAGATGACATTGAGGTGAAATGGGGTTTTACGTCACTTTCAAGATTATTGCACTTCTATAGCGTCATGAATGCACATGTGTGTGTGTGTGGCTACTTTCACTTACTAATGCAGTTTTTATAGTGCTAGCACATTGAGATGTCATGTCCCTTAAGCTTAAGATGAATATCCCACTCAAATGCAGTATACTGACTCCTAGCTGACCAGTCCTTGTTTTAGCCCCTAAATGCCAAACTCCAGGCAGGTCAACAACATATTTTGACATCGTTTGGTATGACATGGGCAGGGACTGAACCCCATGCACACTATCCAGGCAGACCCTCTAGACCTAGTCTAGACCTGCCATAACCTATGATCATGGGTTTGACTCCCAGATTCGTCCTGTTAATGTTTCTTGATTTGTGCTCACTCACTCACTCACTCACTCACTCACTCACTCACTCACCCAAACCCACTCACTCACTCACTCACTCACTCACTCACTCACTCACCCACCCACTCACTCACACAAACACACATCCATACACCCACCCACCCACCCACCCACCCACCCACTCACTCACTCACTCACTCACTCACTCACTCACTCACTCACTCAGATATCATTGATGATAAACTTCATAAATTGTTTGCTTGTATTAAGAAGCTGTTGGAAAAGAATCACAGAGATAATTATCACAAGATTTTTACAATATATAATAGACTTATCCATCCAAAGTATCACAATTTGAAAGTAATCTCATCAGGCAAATCCTCCTTCCACACCATCTGTTTGTATACAGTCCCCTGACGATGTTGTGATGCTGCTGGTGTGCATGCTGCTGTATCAGTACATCATTAATGATGTATTCAGGAAGAGGTGGGAGGACATCTGATCTGTTGGCAGACACAAGGAGAGCGAGGCCAACTGTATAGATTGGTTTAATTATTGATACAAGCTGAAGTGTGACTCTCCATGGAGAAAACACACATACACACACTGGTAAACTGTTATAAAGCCGAGGTAGGAAGCGATGTCCAGGTATAACAGACACAGGTAGGTACTGGTCAGCAGGGACTGGCGTTGTTACTTCATGGGGGATCACAGTGAGAGTAAGGCAGTTTGTCTTTGTATTTCATTTGTTTTACAGACGCTGGAGAACCTAATGATGCCCGCATTGCTTGCCTGGTACCAGACTTTAACGACTAATATCATATGATATTATATTATATCAGCACATATTTATCTTGATGTGCACAGAGGCCAATATTCAGCCCCAAATCTGCAGTAAATGTCAGTAAACATTCCTAAATGGGAATTAAATTCTCAATTCATGTTAAAATGGTATGGCGTGGTCGAGGTCACTTGTGTTTCACTGATAACAGGACAAAAAATTGGGATGAGGCTTTATTCTAAAATTTCCTGCCTATAATTTGGCCAGCAATATTCTGAAAAAAATGGAGACAGCCTCTATCCTGTCTGTCTGGTAATGTATAATAACGAAATATGTTGATGGTTTGGACGTGGTATGAAAGGAAAACGGACAACCTTGACCAGTCATCTTAATCACCTAGACATGGATAAAACATTTCATGTCTTCATGTTCTTCTGTCTTCTAAGCAGCTATCAAAGGTTTCCTCTTTATCACTGTAGACCTGTGTGTTGGGATAGAACCATATTAGTGATTCTGTCCTACAACATCTGGAAATGTTTTAAATTTAACCAAGACTCTACATTTTCCTTTGTTTCTTTGTTTGGTGTGTAGATGAAAGTGGTGAGAGTTGGTTGTGGAGTTCATCAGCCTGGTTGCCATGACGAAGAAGAACAAGCAGAGTAAGTACCAGACCAGCAGCAGCAGCAAAGTGCGGGTGCTCGAGGATCATCCGCTGAAACATGGCGGGGGGATCTGTCCCACCAACCTCAAGGAACAGAAGGAACGCTTCCTCAGACACGGCAAGACCCCCGACTTCCACCACACCGACAGTTCCGAGGCTGTCCAGGAACTGACCACCAAGTCCAAGGGCCAGATTCGGTTTGATCTTTTGTCAGAAGCAGAATATGTTCTGGAAACTGTCAGGAAGAAGTTTGGTGAGGGAGAGAATTTTTTGGCTCAGGCTTACGGCAAAAGGGTAACACGGATCGAGGCATCTGAGATCGTCACATCTTACCTGGAGGAAAATCTTCTGAATGATGCCCTCACACTTATCTGGTGTAACGACCTTCCATGCAGGTAGGTGATATCTTGTGTAATGCCCTACCATGCAGGTTGATGATATGTGATATAACGCCCTACCATGCAGGGAGATGATATGTGGTGTAATGCCCTACCATGCAGGTAGATGTTATGTTGTGTAATGCCCTACCATGCAGGTAGATGATATGTGGTGTAACACCCTACCATGCAGGTAGATGATATGTGTGGTGTAATGCCCTGTCATGCAGGAAGATATGTGGTGTAACACCCTACAATGCAGGTAGATGATATGTGGTGTAACACCCTATCATGCAGGTAGATGATATGTGGTGTAACACCCTACCATGCAGGTAGATGATATGTGGTGTAACACCCTACCATGCAGGTAGATGATATGTGTGGTGTAATGCCCTACCATGCAGGTAGATGATATGTGTGGTGTAATGCCCTACCATGCAGGTAGATGATATGTGTGGTGTAATGCTCTACCATGCAGGTAGATGATATGTGTGGTGTAATGCCCTACCATGCAGGTAGATGATATGTGTGGTGTAATGCCCTACCATGCAGGTAGATGATATGTGTGGTGTAATGCCCTACCATGCAGGTAGATGATATGTGTGGTGTAACACCCTACAATGTAGGTAGATGATATGTGGTGTAACACCCTACAATGTAGGTAGATGATATGTGTGGTGTAACACCCTACAATGCAGGTAGATGATATGTGTGGTGTAATGCCCTACCATGCAGGTAGATGATATGTGTGGTGTAACACCCTACAATGTAGGTAGATGATATGTGGTGTAACACCCTACAATGTAGGTAGATGATATGTGTGGTGTAACACCCTACAATGCAGGTAGATGATATGTGTGGTGTAATGCCCTACCATGCAGGTAGATGATATGTGTGGTGTAACACCCTACAATGTAGGTAGATGATATGTGGTGTAACACCCTACAATGTAGGTAGATGATATGTGTGGTGTAACACCCTACCATGCAGGTAGATGATGTGTGTGGTGTAACACCCTACAATGTAGGTAGATGATATGTGTGGTGTAACACCCTACAATGCAGGTAGATGATATGTGTGGTGTAATGCCCTACCATGCAGGTAGATGATATGTGTGGTGTAATGCCCTACCATGCAGGTAGATGATATGTGTGGTGTAATGCCCTACCATGCAGGTAGATGATATGTGTGGTGTAATGCCCTACCATGCAGGTAGATGATATGTGTGGTGTAATGCCCTACCATGCAGGTAGATGATATGTGTGGTGTAATGCCCTACCATGCAGGTAGATGATATGTGTGGTGTAATGCCCTACCATGCAGGTAGATGATATGTGTGGTGTAATGCCCTACCATGTAGGTAGATGATATGTGTGGTGTAACACCCTACAATGTAGGTAGATGATATGTGGTGTAACACCCTACAATGTAGGTAGATGATATGTGTGGTGTAACACCCTACAATGCAGGTAGATGATATGTGTGGTGTAATGCCCTACAATGTAGGTAGATGATATGTGTGGTGTAACACCCTACAATGTAGGTAGATGATATGTGTGGTGTAACACCCTACAATGCAGGTAGATGATATGTGTGGTGTAACACCCTACAATGTAGGTAGATGATATGTGTGGTGTAATGCCCTACAATGTAGGTAGATGATATGTGTGGTGTAACACCCTACAATGTAGGTAGATGATATGTGTGGTGTAACACCCTAAAATGCAGGTAGATGATATGTGTGGTGTAACACCCTACAATGTAGGTAGATGATATGTGTGGTGTAATGCCCTACCATGTAGGTAGATGATATGTGTGGTGTAATGCCCTACAATGTAGGTAGATGATATGTGTGGTGTAACACCCTACAATGTAGGTAGATGATATGTGTGGTGTAACACCCTACAATGCAGGTAGATGATATGTGTGGTGTAACACCCTACAATGTAGGTAGATGATATGTGTGGTGTAATGCCCTACAATGTAGGTAGATGATATGTGTGGTGTAACACCCTACAATGTAGGTAGATGATATGTGTGGTGTAACACCCTACAATGCAGGTAGATGATATGTGTGGTGTAACACCCTACAATGTAGGTAGATGATATGTGTGGTGTAATGCCCTACCATGTAGGTAGATGATATGTGTGGTGTAATGCCCTACAATGTAGGTAGATGATATGTGTGGTGTAACACCCTACAATGTAGGTAGATGATATGTGTGGTGTAACACCCTACAATGCAGGTAGATGATATGTGTGGTGTAACACCCTACAATGTAGGTAGATGATATGTGTGGTGTAATGCCCTACCATGTAGGTAGATGATATGTGTGGTGTAACACCCTACAATGCAGGTAGATGATATGTGTGGTGTAATGCCCTACCATGTAGGTAGATGATATGTGTGGTGTAACACCCTACAATGTAGGTAGATGATATGTGTGGTGTAACACCCTACAATGCAGGTAGATGATATGTGTGGTGTAATGCCCTACCATGTAGGTAGATGATATATGTGGTTTAATGCCCTACCATGCAGGTAGATGATATGTGTGGTGTAATGCCCTACCATGTAGGTAGATGATATGTGTGGTGTAACACCCTACAATGTAGGTAGATGATATGTGTGGTGTAACACCCTACAATGCAGGTAGATGATATGTGTGGTGTAATGCCCTACCATGTAGGTAGATGATATGTGTGGTGTAATGCCCTACCATGCAGGTAGATGATATGTGTGGTGTAATGCCCTACAATGTAGGTAGATGATATGTGTGGTGTAACACCCTACAATGCAGGTAGATGATATGTGTGGTGTAATGCCCTACCATGTAGGTAGATGATATGTGTGGTGTAATGCCCTACCATGCAGGTAGATGATATGTGTGGTGTAATGCCCTACCATGTAGGTAGATGATATGTGTGGTGTAACACCCTACAATGTAGGTAGATGATATGTGTGGTGTAACACCCTACAATGCAGGTAGATGATATGTGTGGTGTAATGCCCTACCATGTAGGTAGATGATATGTGTGGTGTAATGCCCTACCATGCAGGTAGATGATATGTGTGGTGTAATGCCCTACCATGTAGGTAGATGATATGTGTGGTGTAACACCCTACAATGTAGGTAGATGATATGTGTGGTGTAACACCCTACAATGCAGGTAGATGATATGTGTGGTGTAATGCCCTACCATGTAGGTAGATGATATGTGTGGTGTAATGCCCTACCATGCAGGTAGATGATATGTGTGGTGTAATGCCCTACCATGCAGGTAGATATGTGGTGTAACACCCTACAATGTAGGTAGATGATATGTGTGGTGTAATGCCCTACCATGCAGGTAGATGGTATGTGGTGTAATGCCCTACCATGCAGGTAGATATGTGGTGTAACACCCTACCATGCAGGTAGATGATATGTGTGGTGTAATGCCCTACCATGCAGGTAGATATGTGGTGTAACACCCTACAATGTAGGTAGATGATATGTGGTGTAACACCCTACCATGCAGGTAGATGATATGTGGTGTAATGCCCTACAATGTAGGTAGATGATATGTGGTGTAACACCCTACCATGCAGGTAGATGATATGTGGTGTAACACCCTACAATGTAGGTAGATGATATGTGGTGTAACACCCTACAATGTAGGTAGATGATATGTGGTGTAACACCCTACCATGCAGGTAGATGATATGTGGTGTAATGCCCTACCATGCAGGTAGATATGTGGTGTAACACCCTACCATGCAGGTAGATGATATGTGTGGTGTAATGCCCTACCATGCAGGTAGATATGTGGTGTAACACCCTACAATGTAGGTAGATGATATGTGGTGTAATGCCCTACCATGCAGGTAGATGATATATGGTGTAATGCCCTACCATGCAGGTAGATGATATGTGGTGTAATGCCCTACCATGCAGGTAGATGATATGTGGTGTAACACCCTACCATGCAGGTAGATGATATGTGTGGTGTAATGCTCTACCATGCAGGAAGATATGTGGTGTAACACCCTACCATGCAGGTAGATGATATGTGTGGTGTAATGCCCTACCATGCAGGTAGATATGTGGTGTAACACCCTACCATGCAGGTAGATGATATATGTGGTGTAATGCCCTACCATGCAGGTAGATATGTGGTGTAACACCCTACAATGTAGGTAGATGATATGTGGTGTAACACCCTACAATGCAGGTAGATGATATGTGGTGTAACACCCTACCATGCAGGTAGATGATATATGTGGTGTAATGCCCTACCATGCAGGTAGATATGTGGTGTAACACCCTACAATGCAGGTAGATGATATGTGGTGTAATGCCCTACCATGCAGGTAGATGATATGTGGTGTAATGGCCTACCATGCAGGTAGATGATATGTGGTGTAACACCCTACCATGCAGGAAGATGATATGTGTGGTGTAATGCTCTACCATGCAGGAAGATATGTGGTGTAACACACTACCATGCAGGTAGATGATATGTGGTGTAATGCCCTACCATGCAGGTAGATATGTGGTGTAACACCCTACCATGCAGGTAGATGATATATGTGGTGTAATGCCCTACCATGCAGGTAGATATGTGGTGTAACACCCTACAATGTAGGTAGATGATATGTGGTGTAATGCCCTACAATGCAGGTAGATATGTGGTGTAATGCCCTACCATGCAGGTTGATGATATGTGGTGTAACACCCTACCATGCAGGTAGATGATATGTGATATAACGCCCTACCATGCAGGTAGATGATATGTGATATAACGCCCTACCATGCAGGTAGATGATATGTGATATAACGCCCTACCATGCAGGTAGATATGTGTGGTATAACACCCTACCATGCAGGTAGATATGTGATATAACACCCTATCATGCAGGTAGATATGTGTGATATAACATCCTACCATGCAGATAGATATGTGTGATATAACACCCTACCATGCAGGTAGATATGTGTGGTATAACACCATACCATGCAGGTAGATATGTGTGGTATAATGCCCTACCATGCAGGTAGATACTAGTATGTGTGGTATAATGCCCTACCATGCAGGTAGATATGTGTGGTATAATGCCCTAGCTACCATGCAGGTAGTTATGTGTGGTATAACGCCCTACCATGCAGGTAGATGATATCTAAGATAACGCCCTACCATGCAGGTAGATATGTGTGGTATAACACCCTACCATGCAGGTAGATATGTGTGGTATAATGCCCTACCATGCAGGTAGATATGTGATATAACACCCTATCATGCAGGTAGATATGTGTGATATAACATCCTACCATGCAGATAGATATGTGTGATATAACACCCTACCATGCAGGTAGATATGTGTGATATAATGCCCTACCATGCAGGTAGATATGTGTGGTATAATGCCCTACCATGCAGGTAGATATGTGTGGTATAACGCCCTACCATGCAGGTAGATATGTGTGGTATAATGCCCTACCATGCAGGTAGATATGTGTGATATAACACCCTACCATGCAGGTAGATATGTGTGGTATAACGCCCTACCATGCAGGTAGATATGTGTAGTATAATGCCCTACCATGCAGGTAGATATGTGTGGTATAACACCCTACCATGCAGGTAGATGATATGTGATATAACACCCTACCATGCAGGTAGATGATATGTGATAGAACACACTACCATGCAGGTAGATGATATGTGATATAATGCCCTTCCATGCAGGTAGATATGTGTGGTATAACACCCTACGATGCAGGTAGATATGTGTGATATAACACCCTTCCATGCAGGTAGATATGTGTGGTATAACACCCTACGATGCAGGTAGATATCTGTGATATAACACCCTACCATGCAGGTAGATATGTGTGGTATAATGCCCTACCATGCAGGTAGATATGTGTAGTATAATGCCCTACCATGCAGGTAGATATGTGTGGTATAACACCCTACCATGCAGGTAGATGATATGTGATATAACGCCCTACCATGCAGGTAGATATGTGTGGTATAATGCCCTACCATGCAGGTAGATATGTGTGGTATAACGCCCTACCATGCAGGTAGATATGTGTAGTATAATGCCCTACCATGCAGGTAGATAAGTGTGGTATAACACCCTACCATGCAGGTAGATGATATGTGATATAACACCCTACCATGCAGGTAGATGATATGTGATAGAACACCCTACCATGCAGGTAGATGATATGTGACATAATGCCCTTCCATGCAGGTAGATATGTGTGATATAACACCCTTCCATGCAGGTAGATATGTGTGGTATAACACCCTACGATGCAGGTAGATATGTGTGATATAACACCCTACCATGCAGGTAGATATGTGTGGTATAATGCCCTACCATGCAGGTAGATATGTGTAGTATAATGCCCTACCATGCAGGTAGATATGTGTGGTATAACACCCTACCATGCAGGTAGATGATATGTGATATAACACCCTACCATGCAGGTAGATGATATGTGATAGAACACCCTACCTTGCAGGTAGATGATATGTGATAGAACGCCCTTCCATGCAGGTAGATATGTGTGGTATAATGCCCAACCATGCAGGTAGATATGTGTGATATAACATCCTACCATGCAGGTAGATATGTGTGGTATAACGCCCTACCATGCAGGTAGATATTTGAGGTATAACACCCTACCATGCAGGTAGATCTGTGTGGTATAACGCCCTACCATGCAGGTAGATATGTGTGGTATAACACCCTACCATGCAGGTAGATAAGTGTGGTATAACGCCCTACCATGCAGGTAGATATGTGTGGTTTCATAGCAGGAGAAATCATGTCCTATCACAACCTGCAGGTGGAGGTGAACAGTTGTCACTGGAAGAGTGATCCAGTATTTCAAGGTGCTGTGCATTGTTTCCGCACTTTGCAGCCAGGATCCACCGGTTGTGAGTTTGAATCTAAGATAATACCAAATACTATTTCCTTTGTGACAACACCACACCTATGTCACAGGTTTCCCCAAAGCAGTAACATCCTGTGTTGAAACACTTCTTCCAAATTCAGCAGCGATGATATATCTGATGCAGCTAGTGGCGATAACCATTCACACCAGATGCAGATCCAGATGCGCACCTCACCTTTTGAAGCATACTTATCCTGTTGACATACAAAATAATGTACTGTATTCGACATAATAAGTGCCCAGGGCGCTATCAAAATTAGAAATAGGGGGCTCTTATTAGAATATTATTTTGGTGAAAAACAACAGAGTTCAAAGAGCGTTAATTTTCGTGGTTTATGCATAAACGTTTATAAACGACAGATATATTTTTCCAGAATTTAATTGCCCATAATTAAGGGTGCATATAACAAACATATTATGCACGAATAAATAGCCTTGTGAACATTTATCAATCAGAATGGGTGCTAATTGGGATTGTTCACTAGCCAGTATATTAGCAAATATCGCTTATTAGAGCGGGGTGCTTATTACGTCGAATACGGTAACTATATATTAAGTGTCATGTTTTCAACAAAAAAAAGAATTTATTGACTATTTATGGGCTAACAAATGCAAATTGTTCCTTAATTATTTCCACGCATTTATCATATTTTACGTGCAACCCATCCCTTTTCAAAATAGCTGAGCACACACACCCTTTTCCCAAACTGCTTGCAATCTCACGATGTTGACTTGTGTGTTTCAGTGCCCGGATGGTATGGCAGGGTCCGCTGCTTAAGTGTAACCGCCCAGAGGCCAGGAAGTACTCACTGTGGCTCAATGGCTCGTTGGAGAACCCCTACGTCCGGGAACAAGGGATTGGTTGTCTCATGGACCACGAAGTCGGCACACACTTTGTATCCTTCATTTTAAAATAAACCTCATTCTTTTGATCATGAGGTAACCGCTGAACTGCAGGAATTATCCAGTAACTACAGCTGCTGTTGGAGATAGTGTTGTTTGAGATATAATGATGGTTCCATCAAGGTTACAGCTGCTGTTGGGATAGTGTTGTTTGAGATATACCGAGTAGTGATGGTTCCATCAAGGTTACAGCTGCTGTTGGAGATAGTGTTGTTTGAGATATAGTGATGGTACCATCAAGGTTACAACTGCTGTTGGAGATAGTGTTGTTTGAGATATAGTGATGGTTCCATCAAGGTTACAGCTGCTGATGGAGATAGTGTTGTTTGAGATATAGTGATGGTTCCATCAAGGTTACAGCTGCTGTTGGAGATAGTGTTGTTTGAGATATAGTGATGGTTCCATCAAGGTTACAGCTGCTGTTGGAGATAGTGTTGTTTGAGATATCGTGATGGTTCCATCAAGGTTACAGCTGCTGTTGGAGATAGTGTTGTTTGAGATATAGTGATGGTTCCATCAAGGTTACAGCTGCTGTTGGAGATAGTGTTGTTTGAGATATAGTGATGGTTCCATCAAGGTTACAGCTGCTGTTGGAGATAGTGTTGTTTGAGATATAGTGATGGTTCCATCAAGGTTACAGCTGCCCTGATCACCCTTCAGTTGAAGGACATGAGAGATTGCTCTGTGAAGGATAAACGTTTACTTCAAAACTAAATTTATTTCATTATATTTCACACTATGTTTATATGCCCTAAAGTTATCAGTAAATATCACATATGAAATTGACCATTAGCATTTTTAAAATAATATTTGATTGTGGATATTGGTGAAGAACATTTATTTATCAGGGCTATAGAATTCATAAAAGAAAAAATGAAATCATGGTCTCACTCGCCAACTCAATTTTCCAGATCTTATACGCCGATTAAAGACTCACCATGTCAAGTTTGCCTTCATTGACTGAACTGAATCTTTTCTTGTGCGCTTCGGGCATGCATTATTATTATCATCATCATCATCATTATTATTATTATTATTATTATTATTATTATTATTATTATTATTATTATTATTACATCCTGCATATGTTGTGTGATTAACCAGTTGTGTGACTATTTTCTTAACCGTTCAAGTTCCGGATGTACAATGATGGCCTTCAGCCATGGTTCTCGGACAGGAAGAGGTTTGGCCTGCGTGGGATGAGCTCGTTTGAGGGCATGTGCACCGAAGAAGGTCTGGCGGCCATCCACACCGCACTGCGGGCCAACAGCAACTTCCTGTATCTGCCTGCCCTTGTGTACTGTGAGTACTTGTCATGCACGGAGTATTTCATTTTAATATAATCTTCTCTCTGATATAGTCATGACCATCCATCTTAATATACAGTAGAAAACGGATATAACAAACACAGAAAGAAAGAACAAACGGATGCAACAAACTGTTACAAAATCCCTGATTTACCTCCTATATATTATCTTATAAAATTGACTACGCGCAATCAGCGGCGAATAAACACAAACACAGCGAATCAGCACAATCAGTGCTGACGATTAAATCTTGTTAAACTTGGATTATGTTATTCTTACCCGTACATGTACTTGGACTAATCTTGTCTGTAAAACAAAACTTATACCTATGCAGTTTCACGATTGCAGTCAGCAAAACGAAGCCAGAGCAAAATCACCAACTACACACTCCCCATAAGTAGACCGTGAAGTGCTGAATACATATTTGATAAACAAGGATAAAAATGACCTGGGAGTTTAATGTTATTAAATGAATATTATGAAATGTTATCAATTGAATGCTATAAAGTGATCACTGCTAATACAAGTCAATGCTGCAATTACGTGTATTGTGTTTTGTTTTATCCAAGATGGCAGACGTTTCCGAGCGAAAACGTATATAACGAACAACGGACAAATGAACAGATTTCTCCAGTCCCTTGTAGTTTGTTATCTCCATGTTCTACTGTATGTGTGTACTGGGAGACGTTCCTCCATTGGAACCCATACAGGGTCAGTTACACTGTTGCTTGGTTACAGACACAGCGTGCAAGTCGGCAGAGATGACGTTCAAACAGCTATTTGATCATCTTGGTCGCTACATCTCAAACCGTGAACAGCGTTGGAAACATGTGATGCGTGTAAAACGTGGTCTGTCGGACCCTAACGACCTGGGAGGATACGGCAAGGATCAGTGCTACTTTGAAGGTAGGGTCAGCACCAAGCTCAAGGTCATACATGGGTTGCATGTAGGGTATGATCCTTTCCGTAATTCAAGATTGTTGAGAATTTTATTATGAAATAAAATCAGGGTCTAAAATTTGATATGAACTGTTCTTTTTAACAGATACCATCTTCCTAAAGCAAGGGAGTTAACTGACTATAAAAGTCCAGTTTCCACCCTTTCCAAACTAGGCTGCAATTATGGAGTTACAGTTTGGTTGGACTAACCATTCAATGCATAGTTCAATCAAAATCGCATAACGAACTCGACATCTGGTTCATTAACAACATGGTTATTAACGTGCAGATTACGGTCAACTGCAGGATTTCCAAAGCATGTGTACCACCAACTGGGCATCGACAGATGTTTGGCTAATTCTTTCATATTTTTAATCAAGGTGCTCACATGACCCGTTTTATTACAATATAGATCTTGATTATCGAGCAGATTGCCTTGACAGTGCAGCCATTTTGTTTGAAGCAAATGAAAGTGATATGAGTGATGGAATCTGACTGGTCAAAATAATGAGAGACATAGAAGGGGACATAAACTCGTAATAGCCGATGGTACATGTATATGTTCTCTGGCTCATAGCGTTTATTCACCTTATGAAGCATATACTCCGAAACGTTGTGTTCCTCTTGATAAAGAAGTTGACATCTATAAATTCTCTTCCTCACAAAAAATATGTTTTGTTGTTTTGCTCCTAGGTGCTGTGCAGATTCTGCGGAATGTCGACTCTATTGACTTCCACTTGTTGATGAGTGGTAAAATCTGTGTAGATGAAATTCCTCGTATTAAGAGAATTGCAAGAATGGATTGTGTCCGAATTCCATGTTTCATGAAAAATGTAGACTTGTACAAACGCAAGCTGCGCAATATGGCTGAAATGAATGGCCTCCACATCGAACACCCAAAGATGGCCCCTCCACTTGCCTACCTCAAGCGTCTCAAACAGAGACAAAGTCGAGTCGGTGTTGCCGGATCCTCCAGTGGGACCAGGCGCAAGGTGAGGAAACGGTATAAGAAGAAAAAGTCCTCTGATAGATTGACTAACACTAAAAGATATGAGGTTAAAATATTTTTACCCCCTGTTGGCATTCAGAACAAACAGGAAGAAAGCAAAAACCACATAGTTGGCAGCAACACAGAGTGCAATAGAACTACTAGGTTAGATAGATTTGTTCCACCTACAGCAAAACTGTCTGGAGTTGATCGGCAGTTGGAGAGGTCTCCGTCAAGTCCAGTCAGATCTCCATGTAACAGTAGAGTTTCGTCTAGCCTATCTGACACCCAGCTGTTGAGAGGGTTACCTCCCTTTCCTTATCGAGTACCGCTTCCGCCAATCAACACACCAAGACGAGGTGAGTCAGACATAGAGATTCAGAATGAGGGTGATGTAAACCATTTGAGTGATGCAGACGTACAGAGTCATGATGAAGCAGACGTACAGAGTCAGGATGAAGCAGACGTACAGAGTCATAATGAAGCAGACGTACAGAGTCATGATGAAGCAGACGTACAGAGTCAGGATGAGAAGCACCACGATGATGTTGATGAAGCTAGTGAGGTGATCCAGCAGAAGACTAAGCCAAGTTCCTCTAGGACCTCAGGAGATCTTCAGTTTAACAGCTTTTTGTTCCCAGACGTGTTCTTCCCCAATTCCACTGCAAACTTCAACCTCCGAGGTCTCCACATTCGGGATCACAGTGCTGAGTGCTCTGATGCAGTGACATCTGATGATGATGATGATGATGATGATGGATCTGAGGATGATGAGATATACTAACAACATCAGCATCATGTAAGAGGTTGCATGTTCAAGATGCCACTGCACTACTTAAACCACTGCATGATTTTATACGCACGCATTACATAGACAGGCTTGCCAATCAGTGTTTACACACTAATCCTACTGAACTCTTTCCTGAGCAGTTAGAGCAGAGTGGGTAAGCCATGGCCATCGCTAATATTTACATTGCAGATCCTGGGGGCTTGTTGATATTGTATTAATACATATATTAAACATAATAAAACTAATACCATGTATGTTTCATTTGATGACATGCTTATCAAAATAACAATAACATAATGAAGGAGCTATTCTACATCTTCTATCTTGATCATATTGCTTTCAAAAACTGATAAATTATTCCTGGCAGGTCTGGCTTCAGAGCGAGTGTTTACAGCGCCCTCTTTTGGTATCAATATAACTTATTTGTCTGTACGATATATTCTAAAATTTAAACTGGGTACTTGACCCCTCATAACCTGACCCTACCTGCTCTAGGTCTCCAGATTTGGGTACAAAATCTCTGATTGGGAATTGTTTTACCGGAGGCCTGAAATAACTATTTTGATAAGAATATAAAACCATCTGATGATGCATACCGGTAGGGCTGGGACGGGTAACTCGGGTACTCGGGTACTCGGGTACTCGGGTCGGGTGGGACCTGAGTAGGACCCAGGTACCCAAAGGACTACCCGGACCCGTGGTTAGTCACGTGGTCAAGTGGTCACAATTTCAAGCTTCTAATGTTCCCATTTCTTCATGACAATGAACACGTTCCTTCTGACTGATATATGTTTGAACAAAGCTACAACTTCAGTCAGGCATGACCAGATCGTTTTATAGAGTATCTACATACATTTTGCCCAGTCTACAGTCAAACTATTCCCATTCGGACATTTGTACCTATCTCTTGAGACCTACAGCAGGTACCTGGTAAGGATCGGGTAATAGGGGGCGGGTACCCGGGTAGTAAATTTGGACACGTCCCAGCCCTACTATGAACATGGTTGATGTGGACAGTCTGGTTTCCAGCTGATCATGTAGGTTAACATACCGTATTCGATGTAATAAGCGCCCAGGGCGCTCTCAAAATTAGAAATAGGGGGCTCTTACTAGAATACTATGAAAATGGAGAATACTGTGAAAAAGAAGTTGAAGATATATTTCGTGGTTTATGCTGACAGCCTGATATGTTTATATACAACAGATATATTTTTCCAGAATTTAATTGCCCATAATTAAGGGTGCATATAACACACGAGTGCGTATTATACGCGAATAAATAAGTCTTGTGTACATTGATCAATCGGAAGGAGAGCGAATTGGGATTGTTCACTAGCCAATATATTAGCAAATATCGCCGTGGGCGCTTATTGCGTCGAATACGGTATATGTACTCTACTGAAACATGGAATGGTACAAAGTCATTTATTTCCAACGGACCTTAAGGCCAACACTAACAAAGTGGAAGGTGACAGTGTGTGATTTTTTGTGCATGAGGGTAAAAGTATGTTGTGGAATGGTCCGCTAAACTCCAGCTAATACTTGTATATTTCAGAACAGAAGTTCATATGAAATTGTTTCAACAATGTAAATATCCACATGTTTGTGTGTTCAGAGGATATGCTGTACAATTGCTGACATTTTAAGTCTTTGTTAGGCATTTAGAAGTTTGGAGAACATGAAAACATGACACTTTTTTATGGATAGCAACTTCTGTTGTTCTTTGTCATTATATTGTTATCTTTTGTACATTATTAATATGTCATTGGCTTTGTCATTATGTTGCTATCTTTGTATACATTCATCCCACCTTGTGTTGTGTAAACATCTTGATTTATATAGGGCTGTACTATATATAGTATAGGGCTGGGACGGGTAACTCGGGCACTCGGGTCCTCGGGTCGGGTGGGTACTGAGTAGGACCCGGGTACCCACAGGACTACCCGGACCTGTGGTTATGGTCAAAGACAAAAATGATATAGAACTATATTGTTACACTACAAGTCACTTATGTTCGCATTTCTTTCTGACAAGGCACCCATTCCTTCTTACTTTTATATGTTTGAATAAAGATAAAACTTTAGTCAACTTCAGTGTCTGCATGACCAGATTGTTTTATATGCGTTTCTAAATATATTTTGTCCAGGGCTATGGTCAGACTATTCCCAATTGTTCATTTTTTACCTATCTCTTGAGACCTACAGCGAGAACCCAGGCAGGGATGGGTAATAGGGTGGTGGGTACCCAGGTTGTAAATCAGGATTCATCCCAGCCCTAATATAGTACTGTGTGCACTTGCTAGGCATTCACCTGATGAAGGAGCAAGAAGTAGCTCTGAAACGTCGTACAAAGAATAACAGTTTCTATCCATAAAAAAGTGTCAGGTATTCGTACAGACATATTGTTAAGATGATGTATGACCAACTCCCTTTAGGTTTAGTTTACCGTCACATGCTGTATAGATCTAGTGTTATCCCTGGACACTGATTGGTGAGACAAATCAATAGATATGAACCGCCTTAAACTGAATCAAGATGAAACATACCTCAGAGGCTACATCTCATTGTATTTTCTGTTTCAGGTGTGTTTATGCTGGCCATTCAAGTTTCTGTGCAACTAGGGACAACAGTTAGACAGTTGGCATCTTATCAAGGATGTTCATCAGTTTGATCTATGAGGAAAAATTCTCAAAGAGGTCGAGCAGTCCATGACGAATAAGGAAGGTTTTTCAACATTTGAGTTTGAATTTGTAAACATTTGGATTTGAAACAAGAATCAAGTTCAAGATCTGAAAGAATATTTCCCTATCAGCGAACAGATAATGTTTATCTTTGTTGGCTAGAGATACGTCTTTCCAGGGAACTGATACCAAGGGTAAATTTTCTCATATGGGTATGATACATTTATTGTTTGAAATCTATGTTATAGTGTGATGTTTGTCTTTTTAACTACATTTATGTTATGGAAACGCAAAAGATACCTCACAAGCAATGGGTTCTTGGTATTTTATGCGCCACTAATGAAATTTATATAATCAGTTGTCAGGGCGGCAGCCTCTGGTTTGCAGGGGCAAGGCGTTTGGTGCTGACTTGTTGTTGTTGTTGTTTTAACTTGATGTAGATGTGTTTACTGGTGGGAGTGTATGTGGTGTGAAACACTAAATGTACGTGACTGGTGTGATAGAGTATGCTGTTGTTTCAAACCATCACAGTGAACTAACCCTGCATTTGTAAGCCAAACTTGATGTAGATGTGTTTACTGGTGTGTGTGTGTGTGTGTTTGTGGTGTGAAAGACTAATGTATGTGACTGGTGTGATAGAGTCTGCTGTTGTTTCAAACCATCACAGTGAACTAACCCTGCATTTGTAAGCCAAACTTGTAATTCCATACATTTCAAACAGTTACATGAAAGATGGCAATATATGAAAATATATGAGTGGTGCTTAGCCATTTTCAAGGTATATATACATATATACATACTATAGTGTTATGAAGGAGTCAGGTGTTCTGTGACTTGTTTTGAGTAGTATGTACGATTTGATTAACTGGAATGATTGTGAATGATTTAGCCCAGAGATTGGACTAGTTACTGGATACCTAGCACCCATGTGGTTAGTGTGCTGTAAACACCAGTCAACCAGGCTCTCATATTAACAAGTTTTAATTTATTTTCTTTGTTTCTTGAATATATTATTTACAATGTTATTTTTCTGAATATTTCTTTTCGTATCATTTTGCTCTTTGCATTGACCTTGTAATCAAGTGTGTGTTTCAAATAACCAAATCATATCCTATTCCATCCAAAGCTATTTCTAACATGTCTAATGCTGAATAATTCCAGCTGGTAAATGTGGAATTACGTAAGCCAAAGACACATGAAAGGAATGAATAATTGTTAGCTTGGAATTGATTATGTTGGCAATATTTCTATCAAACAATGACAAACAAGACAGTATTACTTTAAATCTGTAAAATAATTAAGACCAAGAGTCATTATCAGGAGATGACATATCCCCCCAGTCTGTTGCAATTCGGAAATTGAGTTTGACTACTTACACCCCACTTAGATGCCCTAGTTCAAAAGGCCCTAGTTCACCAATAGATAGATCTGTATAGCAACTTTCAACAAGAAATATTCAACGGTTTAGGAGTTCTGCTCCAGAAAATGGATGGATGGACAGACGGACATGCTGATTGCTATATCATAATAATGATAAAAAAGACAAAGCAAGTAGCATGACTACTTTGGGAAGGTTGTAGCGCTTGTCTCACTTTGAAACATTTATTGCCACATCAATCACAACTATCAGCGCTCCATCAGAATGAGATGGCACCATCGTCTCTCAGAGCTGCTCCTCCCACGTCTTCCATAAAGATCCAATAGATCAGAAAACCTTCGTCTTCTGACAGCTCCTCAGTATAAACCTTCTCTATGTGGACAGATCTTTTAGCTTCCTTGCTCCAGGGGCGGTCGGGTAGCCTAGTGGTTAAAGCATTTGCTTGTTAGCCGAAGACCTGGGTTGGATTCCCGACATGGGTACAATGTGTGAAGCCCATTTCTGGTGTCGCCCGCCGTGATATTGCTGGAATATTGCTAAAAGCGGTGTAAAACCATACTCACTCACTCTCACTCACTCACTCACTCACTCCTTGCTCCACAGTTGTGGACTGATCCTCCTCTTCTGATCAAGTTATCCTCATCAAGTCTCATCTGTTCCAAATTTTCTTCTCCTGCCATGCAGCGCTTTGAGCCTGCATCTTGTGGATGGGCTCCAGCACATTACAAATACACACATTATATTATCATTATCAAAAATATTCACTGATTGACATCCAACACTACCCCTTGAAGGGATGAACAGCTTCATTTAGAAAAATAAGATCTGCTGATATAAGTGCCATTTCTGTGTTTGTAATTTTCAGATTTTTATTTATTACTTTTAAGTTTTTAAAATAATTAGATGTTATTCATATCATGTCTCAAATATTTGGATTGTTTTGTTTCCAGAAAGTTATAGGTGGATTGTGATGAATATATATTTATTATAATTATTTTTATGCTGTTCTGTGATGAATCGTGTACTATCATTGACGTGGAACATTCTGTGCCAAAACTTTACCCTTTTTTAGAGGAATAAACTTTTGTAATATATTTGTTATAGTTTTTTATACATTAGATAGGGGGTGTTGGGTGTATTTGTGAAGATATATGTGGGTCCACACAAAACTTTCTCATGTGTGAAATATACATGAATCCAAGAATCTAAGGTGCTGGAATTCCCTGTGCCGAGTTGTGTCCTTCAGCCTAAACCTGTGACCATGGGTTGGAATCCCAGCTTGCCCTGATTATGTTTCTCTGTTAGTCAGCACATACCCTTGCTTGTGGGTTTCGCCAAAGTGAAAAAAGGACTGCATCACTTCTGGCTTTCTGCCCACCTTGTTAACATGCTGTGACATAATTGACATAATGTTCAAAGCGTTGCTAAACCCAATTCACTCACTCACTCGACCATGTTCCAAGCTGTAATCTCTGCTGGTTATTTAGAGTTTGTGCAGCACTGTTAAACAGAAGAAGTGTATGTTAATCATCCATGTGTAGTCTCCACACCATGAGGAGATTGTCTAACTAGTCCCAACAGCATGACTGTGGGTGTCCAAGCCTTCTATGGCAGGTGGAGATCTGTTCTGGCAAAAAGACTGATGAAGCTGAAGACGATGCATAGCAACAGCAAGCCATTTGAGGTCAAGGGGAGATAACACAACAGGTATATAGTCTTCTTCATCCTGGTACACTGACCAGTCTCAGTGGTAGAAGCAAGGATCTGATTATGCATATCATGAAGCTGACACTTGATGCTTTGTCTCAAGGGTGGAAACTGGACCTTTACAATCAGTTACAATCATCACCTTATTAATTACAACTCCCATTAGTTGATACTTGTATTAAAAGACAACTGAACTTTATGGCTCAACAGAAATCTTTATGGTCTTACATCAACACTCACTTGTCTTGAATCATAAATAACTTGACAAATGCTCAGTGGTTAACAAAACTTCCCTGTATGTCTACATATTTGCTAAATCTTTACATATGGCAGCACATGGTCCTGTGTACAGCGCACAGGTCACAACTGAATTGAAGTAAAGCATCATTGGACGTGATGAGAAGTTGAGTGGGTGACCACATTCAGCAGCTTGCCTCCTGATAGTTTCTGGTGCTTAGGTCCTGCCCCATACTATAGCTGACATGGTGTCTCCTTAGGCAGGTGAATGTTCAAAATATGCCACTGTTAACCTAGCAGTGAAAGGGTACCTGTTAGGATGAGATAGTCATGTAACTGTTAACCTTCCAGTGCCTCACAGGAAGCTTGGCTCATACTCCCGAGGGAGCTGAGAATGAAAATCAAGTGCACACTGATCCACTGACGGGGGTCATAATGTAGCGCTTTCAGCACGCTTTAGTGTGTGGTTTTGATGCATTATAAATTTGCACATTATAATACATATCCATATTATTATACATATGCACATTATTACATTATTACATACCCCGGAGGAGCGGTCGGGTAGCCTAGTGGTTAAAGCGTTCGCTCATCACGCCGAAGACCTGGGTTCAATTCCCGACATGGGTACAATGTGTGAAGCCTATTTCTGGTGTCCCCCGCCGTGATATTGCTGGAATATTGCTAAAAGCGGCGTAAAACCAAACTCACTCACTCACATACCCCGGACTGAACAGCTACCAAAGAACACTTCAACACATGCAAAGACCCAAACATCATTGATTAGATACTTGTTATTCACAATCATACAAAAGAGATATGCACTACAAAATATATATCCGCATATTGACAATCTTTAGGAAACATGTTTGGTATCACTAGATATACACAGTATAGGGTGTACACAAAATATAATCAACTTTCAACATCACTATCAAGAACATGTCTTCATATCACATGCCTACCATTATCCCTGCATAATACTCCATGTTTGGTGCATATTCCATATGCATTGGCAATATTGTATGACGAAACTGAATGTCAAATCATGCACGGCTAACACCCAGTAAACCAGGCAGAAAGGTCATGAGGCAACCAGACACCCGTGCTTGAAGGCTATAATGTATCGGCAGGGTTATTCTCGTTATCGTGAACATCTGCTCTCACTGCATGAATGGCATAGTTGATGCTGGTGTCCTTGATCCAAGACCATCTCTTGGTCAGCGGATTGTACATCATGCCGTGAAGGAGGCGGGCACTCATGTTATCTGCAGATGGAATGGAACCAGTATTTATGCACATAAGGATTATTTTTTAATTGACACTGTTAATTTCACTGAGCCATTGTTACATTTATATTGGTTGGTTTGTTTGTTTGTTGTTTTACGCCGCACTCAGCAATATTCCAGCTAAATAACAGCGGCCTGTAAATAATCGAGTCTGGACCAGACAATCCAGTGATTGATATCATGAGCATCGGTCAACACAATTGGGATCGATGACATGCATCATCCGAGTCAGCGAGCCTGACCACCCGATGCTGTAAGTCTCCTTTTACAGCATCATGGGTTGCTGAAGACCTATTCTACATTTATGTAGTCAATACACCAGATAGTAGCAATTCCCTTCTAGCTGGATGTACATTGTAAACCGGTTGATATTTTATATACTACTAAAAAAAGTCAATGGCCACTCGATTCATGGCCTGACAGATTAACCATAGTAATGGAAAAGAATTGGGTGATCCTTTACTTCTTTTGAGTAGTACACATCCATACAAAGAACTAAACTCTTATAAAAATGATGAATGACGAAAGGGCAATGAACACATAGGTACATGTTTGAATGCATGACCAAATATGAGATGGACATTAGTGATTTTTAATCAAGTCACAGATATTCACTGCTTGGTGAAACCTATCAGCATGGGTAAAGTACTGACATAACTGGGATAAATGTGGATTCAAACCCACATCCAGTGGATAATGACACAACAAAGTAGGGCTGGGTACCCACAGTACTACCCGGACCCATGGTTAGTCACATGATAGATTGTTTAATGACAAAAAGTATCTAGAACTCTATGGTTACACTACAAGTAAAAAATGTTCGCATTTCTTTCAGACTAGGCACCCATTCCTTCTGACTTTTCATATCTTAGAATAAAGATATAACTTGAGTCAACTTCAGTGTATGCATGACCAGATTGTTTAATACATGTATCTAAATATGTTTTGCCAATGTTATGGTAAAAAAATGCCCAATCAGACATTTTGTACCTATCTCTTGAGACCTACAGTGGGTACCCGGGTAGGGTCGGGTAATAGGGGGGTGGGTACCTGGGTAGTAAATTCGGACTCGTCCCAGCCCTACAACAAAGGGACACAAACCCTTCACAACAAACTGTCGGTTTTAGACCACTGGACCACCGGTGCCCCATTAAGGCCAAGGTTTGAAATTGACTTTAAGTCTGCTAGTCTGACACTTGAAAGGACAAGTGACATTAATTTTCCTTGTGTACTACCATTTACTATTAGATAGATGGCAACTCTGAAACATAATTTGGTTTGTTGTTTAACGCCACACTCAACAATATTCCAGCTATATGGCAGTGGTCTGTAAATAATCGAGTCTGGACCAGACAATCCAGTGCTTAAGATCATGAGCATTGATCCACGCAATTGGGATCGATGACATGCATCAACGAATTCAGCGAGTCTGACCACCCGATCTTGTTAGTCGCCTCTTACGACAAGCATAGTCGCCTTTTACAGCAAGCATGGGTTGCTGAAGACCTATTCTACCGCGGATCTTCACGGGTCTTGTGGACTAGTGAAAGCCTAAGCTCTGAGACACCTGTTGAGGAAGACTCACTCTGGGTCAGCATGAACTGGAGATCCTGGGGGTCGATGAACTTGTTCCAGTCATGTGTTCCAGGAGACACAAGCCTAAATAGCCTCTCGGCTGCCATTACGCCAAGCATGTAGGAGATGTATGTCTTATTCAGGGTTGTTATGAAAAGTGACCCTCCAGGCTGAAACATAATATGAATTTGCTCAGGATATAAATACAGCCAGGTTCTCAGGAAACTGTTCTGATACACAAACTTTTCCAAATACACAATCAAACCCAGGTCTAGATAATAGTCACGATATAGATAATAAATCACTTTTTTTTCAGTTTTACCTTGTCCGTAAAAGGTAGACAAATGATCCCAATACCTACATCACTGCCTACCTTGAGGAATCTGTAACAGGTAAACAACCTACCTTGACAAGTCTGTAAAAGGTAAACAACCTACCTTGACAAGTCTGTAACAGGTAAACAACCTACCTTGACAAGTCTGTAACAGGTAATCAACCTACCTTGACAAGTCTGTAACAGGTAAACAACCTACCTTGACAAGTCTGTAACAGGTGAACAACAGAACAGGTACAACATAGTATTGCTACCAACAACACAACCTACCTTGACGAGTCTGCAGCAGGAGGAGAGAAACGCAGGGGCATCAGCAACGTGCTCCACTACTTCGGAAGCAACAACAGCATCCATCTTGCCTTCCTCTGTTCCAACTAGGTCTTCCACTGTTGCATGAATATACTTCACATTGGCGGCTATGGCTGGGTCATATTTTAGGTGGGCCTGGGCAATTTTGATGTTTTCCTCAGATGCTTCGACACCTATGACAAAAGCTCCCAGTCTTGCCAGAGGCTGAATTAGAATGAAATGTGTTGGACTAAGGTTATCAAAGTTGTATGTAAAACTACATCTGTATAAAGACACCACTACAACTACAGGATCTAGAGGTCTGTGATCCTAAAATACCTAAAAAATAAAAGTAATTTTGGGATGGGTGAATGAATATTTATTAAGGGATAATAATCCTCTTATAAAGTAGTAGTTACTAAATTTTCAATACTCTAGCTTTGTTTTGTTTACCCCAAACTTGGCCATTGACTGACATGTGAATTTGCACAAGGTTGTCCGAGTTGCATTTCACCTGTCAATCAATGGCCACAAAAGTGTGATGTAAACGGAAAAAGCACAAGTATTGGTTGAAGTCACCCACTACACTGAATGATGCACCGTAGGCAGAGAAGATATGACCATAACACAGGAACCAGGTTGCACTGTAGACGTTAAAATATGATGTCACCATCTTAATTTAAAAGAAATGGTTTTAGACAACTTGTACATGTACACTACACAATATGACTGCAGTGAATTTGTTGTGGGGCAATGATATGGACAACATAATATTCTCCCAAATTGCAACTTCAACAGAAAAGGATGCCATGAAATACTATTTGCAAGAAATGTTGGACGACAATCTTGATGAGGGACACGGTCTAAGATTTGTTTGTTTGTTGTTTAATGCCGCACTCAGCAATATTCCAGCTGTACGACAGTGGTCCGTAAATAATAGTCTGGACCAGACAATCTAGTGATTGACATCATGTGTATTGAACTACGCAATTGGGATATGATGATATGCATCAACCAAGTCAGCGCGACTGACCTCCTGATCCCATTAGTCGTCTCTTACGACAAGCATAGTCGCCTTTTACAGCATGCATGGGTTGCTGAAGACCTATTCTACCCCGGATCTACGGGATGTAAGAAAATGTGTGATTAAGACCAAAAGGACCGACACGTGTCCATGGAACAATATAAAGCATTTTCATCTGTTGCTATCCTAAGCAGTGTGTCATGATACATGCATATTACCATATGTTTGATTGCTTCTGTCCTTACAAACTGCTCCCACATCTACTTACCTCAGCAAGAATTCCCCCTCCACTGCCGACATCAAGAATTGTGCAGCCAGCCAATGGTTTAGTAGTGGGAGGAGCGTTTCTCTTCATCAAAGCATCTCGTATGAGGGGCACTCTTAGTTCATTCATAGTGTGTAGGGCCTCAAACTCGCCACTCTCGTCCCACCATAACTCTGAAAGTGCAGAAAATTTTTCCACTTCCTCTTCATCAATGGTTGTCTGAGCCTTTGGTCTCTGAGGCTTTTCTGTATGGTGTTGATTCAATCTGAAACAAATCCAAGCCATTAAATTTATCATAAAATACATACATAGAATTTCTATTCCTGCTTTAATATTCTGAAAAAACTAAATTGATCAAGGACAAATACTGACTGACTTAAAATATACAGGCATTGACTATATTTTTTTGATCAAATAATTCAAAAAGCAAAAACACTTTTAATTTCTACACTTGATTAACAACTAAACGGATGTCTGAGTTGTCTGGAATGTCATGCAGGATCTACTTAGAAGGGTGAAATCAGATTGGCTTGATCTTGGAGAACGACATTCAGTGGTTTCTGTGCTAATTTTAGTTACTCAAGTCAACCATTAAACGTTTGGGTCAATATGCATTTCCTTATACTGTCATGTGACCACTTCTTTACCGATCCAAATTGGGGACATTTTTATATATTTGAAAAAAAATAACTTAAACTAGATAGACAAAACCATACAGAGGCTAAACAAATATGATACTAATCTTTCACTGACTTGTAAGCATGGATTGCTATTATAAGACTGTCAATTAACAATGGCCAATTGACAATTTTAGCTTGCGTAAGGCCAACAAATAAAGTATTTGATTGACATTGTATCAATCAGCCAATTTGTGAACAGATCAATCAAAAGTTGTGAATGGTTCCGACCCTCCATTTTGTGAAAGAATATCTGTGTGAACAAGATCGTCTAAACCTAAACCAACCATTGACAATAGTGTAATCTTAGTCTTAGACATCACTTCCACTGACCTGATTTACACCTGTGTAACAATGAGTAACATCAGCATGATGTGTTTTACCTTCACAATACCTGTGTTTATGAGAAACTCATGACATCGGAGTTACACCTGCCTGACAAATGCCCCGTGAATGCTGTGTATGAATCTCAAAGTATTGCTGGCCAGGTGGGCTAGCTAGCCTTGAAAGTAACTATCCAGTTTCAAATTTCACTTGCTTACAAATGTGACTGTTTAGTTTTCGTCCTTACAATGATTGACATGGATAGTCAAAGTTTGTTAAGTAACACAGGTTGTGATTGGTTAAAATACAAATTACAATCAGTCAATACATATTTGTTATACACATTGTTACAGTGTCAACTGTCACTCAAACAAGATGAAAGAGGATAACTCTATAATCTTGCAACATACATTCATTATGGATATTTCTTAATATTTTTCTATTCTTGATGGATCAACTAATATGGGAGAACTTTTTTTTAGCTTAATCAACTGAGATGTGTGCACAAAAACATTTGCTATTAAAATTTCAGTAGTCAGAGTGAGTGAGTGAGTGAGGTTTTACGACGCTTTTAGCAATATTCCAGCAATATCACGGCGGGGGACACCAGAAATGGGCTTCACACATTGTACCCATGTCGGGAATCGAACCCGGGTCTTCGGCGTGACGAGCTAACGCTTTAACCACTAGGCTACCCGACAGTCTTGTGACATTTCATAACCTTTAGCCCGACTGCAATTTTGCTAGGCACTGGCCAGCTGGCAGGCAGCTATTGAGCACACTGCATGCATGACACCCGTGTGACACATGCACGATGACGATGGGTTACACGGTAACACCTGTGTAGCGGCCATAAAATTTCCGAGTCCCGGGCCGCATTGTAGGGTACTGAGGCTTATGTTGCTCAAATTTAATATGAACATGCTCAGCCCCACGTTGGGCGCCAATGTTGGCGGCCATAAAATCTCCAAGTCCCGTGATGGGATTCGAACCACGGACCTTCTGATGAGAGGTCGGACGCCTTGTCCACATGACCAAAGAGGTTAACCCCGTCAGCAAGCTGACAAGGTAAGGATGTCATCTGTGGGATGACTCCAGGCCCTGCTACACCTGCATGACAAATGACTCTCCTTGACACACAAGTGAAACATACACAAACCCATGCAGCTTTGACTCTTCAAGCAGGCCTTACAGGTGTTACTCGGGTGTAGGTTAAATTACACCTGAGCAACATGTTTTCGATAAGTCAAGCTGCATCTAAGTACATATGCATGATGAGTGAATGTATAGTACCAGAGTCTACCACTGACTACACGCTTGCATTGAGAATATTTAGCAACTAAATAGCGAGGTGAGCCTACCTGGCCAGGGACGTCGAAATACTTCTGTTTTTCACCGATTGGTTGTAGACGTGTATTTGTCTAAAAAGCAAGGACAAGTTTTGTGTGTAACGTTTGTGCGAGTATTTGATTGTACCCAAATATTTCTGACAAGCTTTACATAAATACATGTCGATGTATCCACTCTACGTATTGATGCAAACACATACACACTGTCTCGGAAAGTCTGTAATAGACAGTGTGCAGACGAAATTTACGGAAGTCTGCAAAAACCGGAAAACGTATAATATAATATTTTCCACTATACCATTAACATTCTGGCGTTTTCATGATCAATTCCCTGGGATTTTACCACATAAAATTAAAATAATTACAGATATACTTCATATAGATACTACTTGTAATAACAAGATCGTCATAATCTAAGCATAATTGGCATACATCTTTAATTGATCTATCTCTTCGTAAACATATATGAGATGTAGCATGTAAAGTAGTATCTTGTAGGAATCATGGGAAAAATTACAGTGCGCGGACGCCATGTTACCTCAGTGTTGGACTTATCACTGACATCGAAATTGTTTTGAGAAAGACAGGACCAATGCCTGACAAACAACATTTGAGCATAGGTACATGGAGAATACTCGCCTTTTTCGTTTGTGCATGGTTGAATCTGATTTAATTTGAGAAGTCTTTTGTCGTGTATCATTGGAATAATTAGGCTACGTGTTCGCGATTATTTTACACTGTTTTGTGTTTAGGAGATATCATTAGCAGATTAGCGGGGCAAATGCCGAAATTACATTAGCATTACATACAACGTCTTTCACTTTTGGAAAAGCCAACGTTGCCCGAGATGTATATTAGACTTCGTGTTCAAGCCATGCTTACATGTTACACGATAAATATGCTTGGCTAACTGGAATGACGAAGTGAATTAAAAAAAACCACATGTCGTTGGCAACGTAGAGACCGCACTGTCATATTTGTTAGCATAATTTATACTTATTCTTCCAACAGAGTCAAGAGAGACGTCCGTGCCTAATTTTGTGAATATCGTAATACATTAAAAACCCAAACTAACATAATTATTAATGGGTGTATGCAAATTCGTAACCCAAACGATTTCGTACCTGAAAAATGAGTAATAAACATGCCGTCTTAAAAGTATGTTTTTTACAAACCTATAAGCCAATGGTAATGTTGTCTTATAAACAAATATAAGAAATACAAAATAGGGTTAAAGATATTTTCTCGGGTTATGAATTTCCTAGGGTTTAAATGTTTCTAGGGAACAAATTTGTTTGGGTTACGAAGTTACCACCAACCATTATTAATAATTACTCCACAGGGTAAATCCATCAGTTACTGTGCCTCAAAAAGTCATTCATTTAATATTAAAGTGTGATATGGAACGAACAAGAGTTACAATTATGGTTGTAATTTGAAGCAGAGGTTATGGGCTGAAATCTTCCTTCTTAATTTACCTTTTGGTCTCAGCTGTGTATATACCGTATTCGACATAATAAGCGCCCCGCTCCAATAAGCGCCCACGGCGATATTTCCTAATATATTGGCTAGTAAACAATCCCAATCAGCACCCCTTCCGATTGATCAATGTACACAAGACTTTTTTTATTCGTGTATAATACGCACTCGTGTGTTATATCACCCTTAATAATGGGCAATTAAATTCTTGAAAAATATATCTGTCGTATGTAAACACTTCAGGCTGTTAGCATAAACCACGAAATTTACGATCTTTCAACTCAAAATAATATTCTAATAAGCGCCCCCTATTTCTAATTGTGAGAGCGCCCTGGGCGCTTATTACGTTGAATACGGTAATTGAAGCAAACAAATTTGGAAAGAGCTTGAAATATTTTTCATACAAATGACAGAATGAATCCAAATTTCTGATTAAGTTATCATGGTTTATGAAATTTTTATGTCTCTTGCTACATGTACAACCAAGCACCCCTTGATACATTTAAAGAGTGGAAGGTTGGTGGTTCAATCCCATGACCAGGGTTAGAAACTAACAGTTTTTGTCCACTAGTCCTTATAATGATAACATAGAGCAAAACCCCTAAAATGGGCCAATTTCTACTAGTCCTTAGGATACCTTTACTATTGGGCAGTTTCGTAAGGACTACAGGACTAGTGCCAGTTTCTAACGCTGATGACCTTGTCATACCAGAACACTTTAACCCAGCCTGGTGCTCAGCTTTTAAATTAAAGAGTATGGTATTAATCAAGGACTGGTCGGCTCAGAGTCAGTGTAATGTGACTGTGTGGCATGGTATCTCATTGGCCTAGATACCAGTGAAGATCAGGGTTAGAATTGGTCTTCAGCAACTCTTGCTTGTCGTAAGAGGTGACTAACAGGATCGGGTTGTCTGATTGGTTGATGCATATCATCATATCCTACTTTTGTAGATCGATGCTCATGATTATCACTGGATAGTGTGGTCCAGACTCAACTATTTACGGACCACTTTGAATATTGCCGAGTGCTGCGTAAACAAACAGTGGGCTAGAACTATAAGAACCAGCATAATTGTGGGTTCGAATTCCAGATGGAAATCAACCCAAAGAAGTAATAGCATCTGTACTTTACTAAGAGTTATCCCAAATATAACATTTGTTACATCTGACCACTTTCTAAATGGCATTGTGTGTTCATAGCATAAGTACATAGCATTTGTACATGCAGCCACATGTGTGCACTATAACTATAAAACTCAAGTGCTCTTGAATGCTACATCAAACCCCATTTTAACACAATCTGTATAATAATATGCCAGGCTTTCCATATGATCACAAAAGTATGCGCCCCACTTGCATATCATTATCGTGTCTTTTAATAAGAGATTGGAGCAATCCTGAATTATGAGGACTGAAGGAGACAAAATGTCAGTATGAATGTGATTTGGCCACCACTTCTTTAGACACTCAATATCTCCTATTCCCTATTGCACAATGTTTTTTTAAGTAATGCTCTAATGTTTAGTGGGCATGGGTGGCCCAGTTGTCTGAGGAGTTGCATTTCAGTGTGCAGAGTTGCTTCCCTTGGGTACACCAGAAACATATGACTGTGGGTTTGATCACAGTTTGACCTGATTATGTTTCAAGGTTTTTCAGCAGAGTGCTGTGCTCATGGGTTTCACCAAGTGCTTAACAACTGCATCTTCCCGAGGCAAGAGAGTTAACTGACTTTAAAAGTCAAGTTTCCACCCTTGGCAAACTTGGCTGGAATTACTGGGCTTGATCGTAGCGCCACCAGTGGCTATTACTAGTTATGTCCCTTCTAAGCCTCGCCTATGGACCAATCAGATTCAACCTCTCGTATCACTTGCGTTTGCTTCACACAAAATGGTGGGACCCAGTCAGGGCGATTGTGATAAAACAGGTGTTACATCAAGAAATGCATCAAATCACGTGAGCACCTTGACTAAAAACATGAAAAGATTAGGAAAATATCTGCTGACAACGCGTTGGCGGTGCACATGTTTTGCAAATCCTGCAATCGACCGAAATCTGCACGACAGTTTACGAACCGGACTTCGATTTCGGTGCGCGATTTTGATTGGACTAGGCATACTCCTTAGTCCAGCCAAAATGTAACTCCATAATACCAGCCTAGTTTGGCAAGGGTGGAAACTGGACTTTTATAGTCAGTTAACTCTCTTGCCTCGGGAAGATGAACAACTGAGACTTGCATCACTTCAGGCTTTTTTCCCACAAGATGCAGACAGGCCATGATATAACTGGAATATTGTTAAGAGTGGCGTTAAACCAAACTCACTCTTAATGTTTTAGTTGTCCTCCATGACATGTCAATTTAGGGTTGCCCTTGGAGTTCTTTATGGCCTTGGTAACCATGTTTTACTGTACTAGTATTTTTCACAAGTAATTTTCTGTCTTGTGCACATTGAATGACTGAAATCCCTACTAAATACTATCTTTTTACTTCAGTTTGACAGATTTATTGTTCAAGATGTGGTCTAATCCATGGCAGTCATCTTGGCCCCCTTTACAACAAGCTAATTTTCAGAATGTACCTCATGATCAAGGCAAGTTCTTTCATTATTACTGTTCATGTAAAAAAGTAGACAAACTATATTTGTGTCTGTTTACATACCTATGACCATGATGACACCGACATATTGAATGTTGAAAGAAATGTGAAAAGTGTAACAGTTGTTGAAACACTGCAGAGTAGCATACAAGTACAGTCAAAATAGACAAGCTCTGTCACATGCTGTGTGCTACAAAGTGTTCTCCTTGTTGCATATTTAAGGGTTATTTAACAAGAACAAAGAAATGAAGGAGTTGTTTCATGTTCCTTTCAGTTGATTGGGCGGCCCTGGCCAAACAATGGATAGCTCAGCGAGAGGACCCGAGCCATGTGCCCCCGCTGCATGCAGCCCCTCCTCCTCCCCCACCCCAACCATCACAACCCCCCTTCCCACCACAGCCCTTCATGCATGGAGCACCACCAGCCCTGCCCCCACCACAGCCTTTCCCAGAAGGAGTCAGTCAGAATGACATGGACATATCTGATGAGGAAAATGGCTCCAATAGGGATTCAAGTAAGTACTCTTTGCAGTAATAAACTTGAGTTTAAGATGTTATCATTACCCAGGGTTACAGATTCGTTCATTTTCTAGAACACTGACTGAATAATAATGTTCTTATACCATTTGTCTGCAGCAAAATCACTGTTATCACTGAATTGATCACAAGTATGAACTAGTTATTAGGCATGCTGAAATATTACTCGATTTTACAGATTTTCGTGGGAACCAACATCAACAGCCCAATAATGGCAACCATAACCAGTCTGGATGGGGATGGAATGAAGAAACTTGGGGTCCTCCACAAGGAGGATGGAGCATGGCAGGGGGGGACAAGGTAGGTTATTGGATTGCATGATGTTCTCTTATATATACAGTTCAAATAGCCATATTCGACGGAGGTATCATGATCTAATAAATGCCCACTTGTCTGCAGATTTGGAATCAGACTATTCGTCCAGATGTAACTAAAATATTTTTGAGAGCCAAATCAACTTACATTGAGCCTGATGAGTATCAATTAAACACATATTTTCATGATTTTGTTGAATCCGAATTGGTCCCCATTGTGCCATTCTTGTAGGAACAAACTAAACTAGCAATGGGATTGTTACAATGTTTGTCTTGACTGTAAGACTGGATTCATGCATTGTTTCTAAAAGTATGTCTAATACTGGATTCACAGG